CCCCCGGGGAGATTTCCCTCTTTCGATCCCGAGACCTGGTCTCGCCTTCCCGTAAGCGTCCATGAAAAATGTGAGGAGGGGAAAACCCTCGGATGACACTTGCATCACACACTTCAATCGCTAGGCTTGCGCAAATGCCTTCTGCCGAATCTCATTTTAGACATTGCTGTCTCACAGCCCGACTAGCAATGGCCTAGACCTAATCAGCCTTTGTATGTGCTGAGAGTATACTAGTCTCCCAACCAGGGTGTACAAAGATAAACTCATCATGATGCACTCCAAGGTGAATGCGACGGACGAGATCCTCCAACTGCCTCTCCAGGGACCAACCCCCGAGAATTCATCCCCTCCAATCGCCAAGCGACTAGCATAACAACACTAGATTGTGTATACGGTCCCGAGGGCGATGGAAAAGGTAAGGAAAACTCTTCGCCAAGCGAGAACAGAAGATGGATATGGGGAAAGCGGAAAAAGGGGAGGGCTGGCTCTCTGAAACGGAGCTGTACAGGCGGAAGAACTAACATAAGTCGAGGGATAACCTCCCGAGGAGTTCTGGGCATTAGCACAAAGATCCAAATGGATCCATAGATCTATTTCATTCACAATCATTGAAGTTTCCTGGGGTCACTGGTACCGGGTGAAGCTTCAGCCAACACCAACGTTGGTTGTATGCAGTACTGTTTTGTGATGGACCCTCATGGTCCGCACCCCGATACCACCCTCGGAAATCAACCATGATCTATTAAATGTTCCCTCCCAAGAGCACCATCACTCCGACGGATGTTCCAAGGGACCCCTTCTTTCTTGTTTTGCGTTTTACCATTAATCGAAAGAAAGAGACTGAAGAGGATCTCTGAATAAAAACTTGGCCCATGGTGCAGAGAGTCTGGCCTCGGCCTTATTGAGACTGGCGAGATGATCATGATGGGGGTCAACTGCGCAGTTGGCCCGCCATGCCTCCGTCCCTCCGGAGTCGGCCGGCGTCGGAACAAAGCTCGAACATGTCCATTCGATTCGAAGGCGCCTAGCCCGCCGTGTGCATCCGCCCTCTGATCGCGAACGAGCAAGTTGGAAAAAAAAATAAACGAAGGGAGACAGACGTGGACGGGGCAGGGGTGTCCATGGGGGAGGGGAGTGTGCACCACCCTCCATATCAACGGCACCGAGTCCTTCCTTGGTGCAGACACAATGCATTTGGCGCGGGGAGGAAGGGGGAGCAGGAGGATTGAGGGTTCTGGGTGGGTAGAGTGGAGGAGAAGTTGAGAGGGGGCGCAGAGCCTGGAGTGGGTGGTGGTGCCCTTCTCAGCCATCGATAGCTCCATCTCGCAGGCGGGGTGGATGCAGCAGCGGCGGATCGTCGCGAAAATCACAGGTTGGCTTGGCTTCGTGTCTCTTCCGCGTTCCTCACGTTGTTGTGTCATGAGCGGCGCTTGGGGGTGGGATGGGATAGGCTTTTGGGGAGCAGGTTAACATGGGGGAATCCAACCCCGTCAAGATATCCCACTTGATCTAGTTAACCCGACGTAGGTCACCCAGTTTGTCCATCCATCTCCCTTGACCGTTTTCTTCTTCTTCTTTCTGTCCTTTGACTCTTTTTATTATTTTTCTTCTTCTTCTTTTTCTTTCCTTCGGAGGAAAAATAGAGGTACGGGTAGAAATGGGGAATAGAGGGAAAGATAATTGCGTGCTGGACTCCACATCTGAAGTGCAGGCCTAAATGTCAATATGATGCGAGATCTATATCTATTGGATCCATCCATCCATGGATATATCAGCTTGCCGTGGCTAGCAAAATAGCTTTGTCGTCCCCTTCAGGTTCCTAGAACAAGGTATCCGGAATGGCGCGCCCCGTCACTTGAAGTTGCCCAGAGCAAGACTGGCCTAGTCTTGCCAGTGGCTATGGCTACGTTGCTTCTGTCGATCGGCGGGTGAATTTCGATGAACCCAGAGGGCCGGACGGAAATGGGACGAATGCTCGGTAATTCAACGACGGGCCTAGTTCCTGAATGACGCACAAGGCAAATCCACCAGTACTTTGTTGTGTCTTCCCACTAGTACCTGAATGTAATCTTGCTTCATTCACCCAGGCGGGTGAAGCGAGTATTTATCCCTAAATTCGGCTTAAATCACTGAAGCGACCCTCTTCTGTATTCCGGGGGTGGGAGTCGCGGGCAGAGGCCAACCGTGTTCTGCCCTGCGGGCTCGGGTTCGCAGGACGAAGGGGAGGGTCCCGTCAAGTATTATGTATTGGCTGTTTAGAGTGTGGAGTTCGAGGCTCGGTTGAAGATGGGCAAGCGCCGAGAGAAACCCATCGGTCATCCGAGGTCGAGAAGCGCCTCTCAAGTCGAGTCCAGCACAACCCACACCTTTTCCCAATCAACACCAACACCCAAGTATACATGTAGGAAGAGCAAGGAAGCAAAGCAACCAGCATTCCGGATCGTGAAACGGAGCCTCGAATAGGATCAATTGCACAGGGACCGAAGACCCTCGACGCTGGGCTGCCCTGACAATATTTGAAACTTGGGCCGTATCTCCGACCTTGTTAGTAATCCCATATCCGAGCAATGCAGACCTCACTTAATAAGCCACCTCAACTGCCAACCCACAAATGGAAGACTGTAGGGGTACAGTGCCGTTATTCGACAATCGTGCTCTCCGTTTGGCGGTGCTGGTATTAGACTTGGTCATAACCTCAGTGCTGCGGAAGACAGCGAAGGTGGGACCTGTTTGTTCACTGATATCGGTTCAGTGCTGCTTGCACTTAACGAATGGGCCAGCAGTCTCGCGACAAAGGATTGAATTGATGGATCCATTCAAACCCCCACTCCATGGTTGGCGCACCCCACTCTTTTCTCTTGCAGGGCCCTCGTCAAGAGAAGCATCAGGGTCGTTCATCTTCCATCCAACCCACGCCCGGGGTGAGTGTAGAGAAGCCTTCGGATGCTGCTCAGTGACTTTCCCCCACCCCTCGTCCTCGTCTTTTTTTCTTTTCTTTTTCCTTTTTTCGGAGACTCATGCCTCAGACCGAGAGGGGACCTTGCCGCTATCCCTGTCAATGGACGTATTACCCCGACCCCAATAATCCAAGCAGCATGTTCTGGGTGAGCACACTGATGAAAGCGAACTGGCTGTCGCGCTTCTCCCCATCTACAAGTGTACATCCAGCTGCATCTTCCCATCCTAGTGAATGGGGTTCTTCATTATGTAGACTTGAGGATCTATCCTGGTCGAGTTATCATTGAGGGCAAGGAGGTCATAAAAGGAACCCAGGCCCCGCCACGGCCTGCTTAGTCCTGGAGAAGACTCCATTTGGGTTTCCGCATGCTTGCAATAGTCTCCGCGACATCGCCCCTTCCCATGCTTCAAATGTTCCTTGTTCCCACTCGACACAAGCTTCCAAGTTGTATTACCGAATTCCGCAGAGAACGAGCAATCCGTCGCATTCCCCATCGATCTCCCTTTTCTTCCGCACCAGCCCCGTTGGATGTTGGTCGAGCGGTTCCCCTTCGGCCGCAAGTAGACTTGAGTTCCCAGCTTCTCCCGGTTGGCGGCTTCTGAATCCGGCCAGCCAAGGCAGCACGCTCGAAACGCTGCAGGTTCGTTGACCCGAACAGCCACCCTCGAGGGCCTACCGCGGTTGTCGAGTGCCCTCCGTCATTGGGCGAAATATCCACCACCACCACCACACACACTCACACATACTCACACACTCACACACTCACACGGACGGATACTGGTCCATTTTACCACCCGACTTCCATCAAAGACACCTTCCACTGTTGGATCCTTTGGCTCTTGGCTGTCATCCGAGCTTACTCTGTTCCTCCCGACCGAACCCGAGGGAAAAGAAAAAAAACCCTGATTTCCGAAGAGAAGGTCCTAGGCCTGCTCCTTCTTTTGCCAACACCAAATTGAACCAGCCAGAGGCAACAACGCGAAAGCAGCCAAGGGAGTCGTGTTAATATTCGCAAAAAGACGAAGAAAAAGAAAGCAGGGTAAAGAGGACTAGCAAAGTCACACTCAGACTAAAACAGAGAAGAAAATCCCCACCTCGTCCTGCCGACAACTTTTTAGCGAGCCAGCACCTATTAGGAGACCCATGATTCGTCGACAGTTGAAACCTGCCCGATAACGGAGTCACTCTGGTCAAACTCGGCTCTTGCTCAAACCCGCTAATAGCTTCGAATTTGCCCGCGCGACCCGCGACTTGTCGCATCAATCCGTTCCCGTCAAGGACTTGGACAATCGTTGCTTGACTCTCACAGCTGCCACCCTGACCTCAAGCGGACAAATCGAGTCAAAGCTTTGTTCCTCCTCGGGAGACCTGTTTTTCCCTTCTTTCCCCCGACTTTTTTCCTTTTTCTTTTCTTTTTCTTTTTCCCTTTTGCCAAACCCCCTTTCGGTGACTGCATCAACACCCCCTTTCACGCACACTCCCCCATCGGCCTGCACCCACGAGCTAACCAGACAACTCCACCTCCTGGTTTGTGTTCATCTTTCTTAAGCAGTTCTTCTTATTAGCCTTCTGGTGGTAGGTGGAGAGGAGGAGCACAGAGCTCTTGCACCAGAGAGTTTATGAAACTGGAACCCTTCGAAGAGAAACCTCGACAAACAAATTCCTGAAATGAGCTCTTGACTGCCGAAAACCTCTGAACTATTCTCCCTTCTTCCCTAACCCTCGCCCTTTCAACCTCTCGACCCCTCGTCCACTCCTCCCCATTCACTTTCTTTGCTATTTGTCCCATCGATATTTTGGCAAACTTAGAGAGAGGAACTGGGCCGGCCTATACCCTCTCGATCCGCACAAGCCGAGAGTGCAAGGGTCTTTCCCCTTCTGAAGATTTCACGAAACTTGTCTCAAGTCAACCTTGGTTGAGGACTGCTCTTAAGCCTCCTCGACACTGCTTTTTTCGTTTTTTTTCCTGCACTCCTCGCCTCCCTCCCTTAGCTTTTTCAAGATTTCTTCTTCAAATCGCATTGGGAATTTTCTTGCCAACATGATTATCGACGGCGAGAAATATGCCTGCGAGGCTTGCGTTCGCGGCCATCGTGTGAGCAACTGCCAACATTCAGGTGAGTATAAGTGGGCAATCCGGCCATAGCGAGTCTCGGAGTCACGCGAAGCCAAAAACAAAACGCATCTGGTCGCTACAGATAGGACAAACTAACACGAGAAATTTACCTGGCAGACCGCCCACTCCAGCACATCAATAAGAAGGGCCGCCCAGTATCACAATGCGCGCATTGTAGGGCGATGCGCAAGTCCAGATCCGCCCACGTGAAGTGCGACTGCGGAATCAAGCCTAGCAAATGCATACATTTACAGCCCACGCTCGAGGGCCACACCCGTAAGTATAGCACATAACCTTACAGCTGGGCGCGAAAGGGTCCCGAGGCATGTCTGGGGTATAAGTCTAACTGGGAGTGACTGCCCTGCAGAAACGTGCTGTTGCAACCACGGAGGCGCCTGCTCCTGCTCACACACACACAAGCCGTCGCCTTCCTCTGATGCCTCGACTCCGCCCCAGCTCGGCGCCGGAGACTTGAGCCAGGCTCGCCAGCACACGAAACTCACCTCACGCGCTCGACGCGCCAGCCTCGTCACATCGCCGACTTTCCCTGGCGTCCAAAAGTCGATAACGCAACCCAGGGCCTCACTAAAGAGCCGGGCCCCGGTCACCCTTGCGCGGGCCGGCTCCCTCGCTAGGAGGCGCAGATCATCCGGAACTCTACACACGCTCAATGGGAGCCCGGATCATGAAGCGTCGGGAGATACTACCCCCGACAACTCGACCGAAGAACCCGGCTCTCCCAACTTCGGAGATGTCTCCGGAATCGCCCTAGCTAGTCACCTGCCCCCTCTCGATATGTCACGAATCGCGAGATTTTCTTTTCAACCACCCACTGGCAACGCCGGCTTCGATCTGTTTAACACGACGGGATTCCCTGATACCGACGGCCCGCTCTTCAGCGCTGGTCTCCCGACCCCGTCAAACATGTGGGGTAGCATGGTAACGCCGACTTATAACACGATGCCCCCAATATTGGCGCCTTCCTGGGTGATTTCACCACGGCTCCCGAGCACGGCGAGCAGTCCCTCGACCAGCTCCCTAACCTTGTAGCAACCTCCGGCGAGGTTTCGGAAGTAGACGAAGGCCACCCCGAAGACTCCAGCGCAGACCAGCTATTCCAGGGCTTAGAGAGTTACGACATGAAGAGGGGGTGACCCAGCCCGAGATTCTTGACGACATGGGCGACCTCAACTTCAATTTTAACGACGAGTTTCTCGCCATGGGCTACGATGACATGCCTTCCGCGGACAAGGCCGCCGAATACCACCAGTATTGGCCTCCCTCGCCATGAGCGCGAATCCTGCACCGACCGAATGCATTACTTGGGGACCTATCGGCCGCCGTATCCTCGTTCTTTCCTCCCAATTGTTTTTTTGTGGAGGGGATCGTCGATATTCGACCGGTCGAGCCGATAGGTTGAACCACTTTACATCATCAGCCAAATTTTTTTACTTTACATAAGCGCGGAGTTTTGAGGAAGAACGACTTACACGAGCATGAGCGATTCGAGCCGCGAGAAAGACCGACCCAACGAAGAGCAGAGAAACGAACGAAATCCCGCAAAAGAAGCGAAAAAAAGGTGCTGGAAGAAGTGGGTGCAGCATGTGCGGCAGGTTTGAAGCCCGCGATGCGACAAACAATCCTATCAAAGGAGCCAACAAAAGCAATGTCTTTTTTGTTCTATTTTTCCACCGTTGCCGCGCCTGACCTCCAGGATGAGCAAACTCCATCATCGAGCTTAGGCGGGCCTTTGTTTTTCTTCTCCTCTTCTTACGTCCTCTTTTCCAGTCTTTTTATCTCTTGGTCGCAACCTATCTTTTTGGTTTTCTTTTCTTTTGTTGTGGATCTTGAAGCCAATCTCAACATCGGCAATGTCAACTGATGGTAGCCACGCAGCGTGCCAGCGATAACGGCGGGAGAAGAGCAGACGGATGGGGACCCTCTTCTCTTCTATCTTTTTTCTCTATTTCCTTTTTCCTTTTTTGTTGTCTTACTTTCCTATGCTACAAGTTTTACAACTAACCACACGGCGGACGACATGGTGTCTTGAAAGGGGAGGCGGATTTTGGGTTTGATCAAGGGTGGATTCACTTGCTTCAAGTTTTTGACAAGCGCTTCGAGGTGAATGCTGGTAGTGGCGGCGGTGATGATGACGGGCCCTTGCTGTTGGTGGATTCGCTTGATGTTCACAGCAGCGATTCTAGTTAGCATCTGTTGGCTTGAAATCTGTCAATCATCATCGGCGAGCAGTGGCTCTGTGTCGCTTATGCGCCGCTTTTTGTTAGGCAGGGCATTACTCCTTGCCTCTGCCGTTGCTTTCTGTTATTCCCGCCCCCCTTCCTTTTTTTCTTGTTTTTTTTTTTTTTTTTTTTTGGTTTTATCATCTGGGCCGGTCTATACATCTGCAGTCATTTCACTTTGGCGTTTTATCTATGTTGGGAACGGATTGGGATCAGACCAAAGAGTTTTTTTCTTTTAGCATGGGGGTTATTCTGCTTCTTTCCGATTTATACAAAGACCAGCGAACTTAAGCGATTTACATTGGGCGGTTACTTGTGTTTTTTGTCCGGCTTTACTTTGCCTCATAGGGCGGCTTTCTTTTTTTCCAGCACTCATTACGCTTTCTCGCAGCTTCAGCTTCAATGTTCTCACAGCGCCTTTTCATTGCGAGATACCATTCTGATGCGATGCGAGCCGAGGGAGGCGGGCGTCAACTCGGGTAGGGGACAAGGGCATGGGTTACGGGAACTCAACTTTTCTCAAGGGGGCTTTTCTGAGATTTGGTCGGCGCTTGAAATACGGGTCAAGGGACCTGATGGAATGCTTTTGGACACTTCATATTTTTTTATATTCTATATTTTATTCAGCTGCACGTGTGGAATGCAGCACTTGGACCGAGCGATCCATCTACACACACACATACATATTGCATCCACGGATGTATTGAATGGACTGATTGACCCGGGTTTCCTTTAACAGGGCAGAACCTGAGATTACATCTGTATTATTTTCCCCGTTCATTTCGCGCTTGCCGTGCCTCGATCTAGGGATGTTGACACATCCACAGTAGTAGATGCATCCACCGTCATGCGGAGGCTGGCCCTTGAGCAAACTTGGGCCCTCGATGCATTGGACCAGGGCAGTATTCGATTTGGTCTGCATCGACGCGTCCCAATATATCTACCCGTGTGTACTTTTACAGCCTGCTGCCTTGGTTCTTCGAATTGCGTCTACATTGAGGCTCCCGCCTGCGCCGCGTCCTAGTCTCCCTAGAGAGGGACAGCCAAATCATATCTCGAGTGGAAGTAGCCATGGGTCTTATTTCCAGCACAGCTTCCGCGGTCTCTAGCAACCCACATGTGACGTAGACACATTGACAGGCTGTCCTATGTACATCGGATGCATCAGTTTGACCCGTCTAATACATTGGCGCATTGCTGATACCTGACATGTGATCTTTCGATTGTCCAGCGCGAGACTCGTCGGCGCAAATCTAAGCTTGTGCGCCCCCTGAGCTCCCATTTCACCCCATGGGCTTGTGCAAGGGGGCGACGAAACGAGCACCGGCACGAGCTTGAGGCATGCTGGAGTTAAAAGGTTAGCGATGGGGGAGGGGGTGTTCGCTAGCATGCCGAGGGCAGGGTTTCACGAGGCGAAGAAAAAGAAAATAAAAAGAAAGAAAAAAAGAACCTAGGATCCGTCATCAATAGAGAATCTTGATTCTGGTGCTCTTGTGTCGGTGTGTGTCGGGAGGTTGCAGAGCTCTTTTTTTTTTTTTTTTTTTTTTTTTTTTTCTGTTTGTTTGTTTTTCTATATTTGATCCAGACGCAAGGCACACCTCGAGCTCGTTTGTACGGCAGCAAAACATGGAACACGTGCACGTATAGTACCGAGCGGGCGCTCGTGTCCCGATACAGTATCCTCCTTCCTTGCTTCTTGACAGGGACCCTCGCCCACCTCTCGACTGCGAGAACTGAAAGCGTTCAATTCACATGTTGCGTGGTCGACAAAAAGCGTGTGAATGTACGCCGTCTACGGTCAGGTGTTTAAGCTTAACGTTACAGTAGGCCAATGTTCAAAAGCCTGTTCGGGGGTGAATAGATCAATAAGAATCGGCGCGGCCGTCATCTATGATATGACTCTTGGTGCACGCCGGATTTCCACACAGAGCCAGGCGCCGTCGTCTTGTTACTCCAAAATGGATGGGGAAAAGAGGGATATCAGATTTGATTATAACCATAAAGACGCTATTCGTCTTCTGCAAATTATCAAAGGCATAAAGTTGGGGGTGGGGGTATTCTACACTTGGCGGTGATAGTTGAGTGGATAGATAGACTATACGATCTCAACGAGGCAAAAATGGCAAAGATGGGGAAGAAAAAGAAAGGTCGTAGGAAGGGGGAGAAGAAGAAAATAAAAAATAAAAAACCATGAGAAGCTTGGAGAGTAGGTGCCATTCAGCCGGCGATGGCGATGCAGATCGTATTATAAAGGTTGCGGGTCGAGCTCGGAATGGAGCTTATGCATAATATGAAGAGGGACAAAGACTCGGGGTGCCCGGTCAAGACAAACGTAGGGAAAGGGTGGGGGAAGACGTGAGAGCGAGGTGATGAAGGAAGAGAAAGAGGGAAAGAAAAGGTCAAGGGAAATTGGATATTTGAAACGACGCGTGATCAAGACATGAATACTCTCGGACGAAGGGGATAAAAGAAATGTGGGGATGCGGTATGTCGGGACCAGCGCCGATATGAGATGAACAAATTGCCTTATCATAGGGCCACAAGCGATGTATGCTGAATCAAAAATCGTGCAGGCGTAAAGAACAGAGGCTCCCTCCTAGCTTCAAAAAGAGTGGGAAATTTCTTTGGGGGCCCTATGAGGCTAAGGAGGAGAATGGCAGAGAGAGAGAGAGAGAGAGAGAGAGAGAGACAGAAAGGCATGGCACAGTATTGACACCACACCTACGGATGCATCTCGCGCATGACGGTTAGGTATCCGACCCTGAGTATTGGCGCAGGATTGAAGCCTAGGTAGCGATAAGGGCGTGTCGGGGCCTCTAATGAACTCGGGCCACCAGCGGTCTCGCCGCCCGCCCTACCCTCCGTTTCAGGCGCTTCGCCGTCCTTGGGGGCCGCCGGATCATTCGGGTTCGTCTCGGACCTGGCCGTGGCAACGTCTGCTAGGCGCTGGAGGCTCTCCTCGCCGTCTTCTCTACCGAACCGGACTCTTGCGGCGCGAGCGCAAGGACGGCCAGCTTTTCCTCGACCGTTGCCTTGATAGCGCTATTCCAGGCCGACGGTGCTATCGAAAGATCACGGAAATCTCTCAAAAGAGATAGCGCTTCTTCTCTCTGGCTTGGCACCGCCGTTAGCTCGAGGAGGCAGAGCGTCGTCAGAATCGCGAGATGGTGATTGAATGGGCTTGCGAGCTCAGAATTTTGAACTAGGAGCCCAAGAGCTTTCCCACACGCGGAGAGGAGCGTTGCCGCGGATGCTTCCCCATCCACAAGATAGGCGAGTAGGCGGCAGTGCCAGTAGGCAAGGTGGACGACCGGGAAGCGGCCCGGGTCAACGTAGTCTGGCAGCTCTTCCCTATCTTCCTCTAGCCACGTATGCAGGAGAGTCGACAACTCCTGCTCGTTGGGCGTTGGAAACGTAGGGGGTCTTGTAGGTTGGAGCATATGGTAGATGCCGGCCCAAGTATCCTGGTAAAGCCTTGATGTAGAATGTCGTGTTAGTGCATCGGCCACCCGCGGGTTGGGGCCTCGGTAGGAGCCCGGGCCAAGAAGGTAGATAAAACTTACGGAGCAGATAATAAAAACCTTCTCCCAGCAGCCTCTTCAACCCCGGCGGAGAAACCATGTCTCGTTTGTGAATCATGACGCTGCTCCCGGCGCTAATGGCGTGCCATCTATCTAATACGACTAGAACCCACCATGTCTTGAGGTACAGAGCCTCCTCGGCATCAGTCGCCAAGGATGGGTCGCTCGAGGAGGTCGGCCGATACCGATGGAACCGTCGAGAAAGAGCACCGCTGATAGCTCTTCCTATAACAGCCTCTTTGGGCGGGCCTCCGGCGTTGGGTGGTCGATTATCCGCCTCGACGACCATGAGGATCAATGTTTGAACATATACAAGATCGGTCATGCGTCGCTGACTAGAGGGAACCGCAGTCAACGACAGCTCCCAATTCACAAGTTTTTGATATGCGCGGCCAACATCCGCAGGGCTGCTGGCGCCGGGCTAGATGAAAAGGATGAGACCGTAACGGTTAATGATTCGATGAAAGCGTCCTGAAGCAAGATGGGACAATGCGCCAGATGGCGTTCCATTTGCTCTCTGCTTTCTGGCAAAAGGGAAGGTAAGAGTGGATTGCGGAGATGTACCTTGAGGTATGTTAGAAACTTTGATACAACGACTCCACATGCAAGCGTCAGTCATGAACTCACCCGCCATAGATATCAGCAGGGATGGTTGGCCGTGGCTCAAGTCCCGACCCAGCGCTGGAGATGTCTCTCACTGACATCGTTGCGCTGGCCCGAGCGAGCGGAGTACCCTCCAGTTCCGACTGAGGTAATAAGTCACTGGGGGAATAGGGCGTATGGTACCGGTCTAGCGCGGGGCCCGAGGCGGGCTGGGGTTCCTGGGCTCTGTTCCCCAGAGTAGGGAGCGCGTCGGAACAGGCGTCGCTGTCGCGCTCCCAGCCGACATGGCAGAAAACGAACGCTTAGTACCGCGATCTTCACCTGGACCTGAAATGATGGTTTTAGAATTGAAGACTTCACCTGGGCCAAGCAAAGAGGGGGAAAACCAAGGAAGAGAGGCAAGGGAAAAGGGGGGTGTTCATACCCTGGACGAGCTGCTCGATGCTGCCAATGCGGTCGGCAAGCTCTTTGATGTAGCTAGAATCCAAGTTAGCGCACAGAACCTTCGCGAGGATAGCACAGCAATTGATATTCCGCCGCTTCACGCCGCAGAAAGACACGCTGGTGGTCCTCTTCTTTCCTCTCCCTTCTCTCTAACATACCCTTTGCTCGGACCGCGCTTCTGCGGAATGCGGCTAAACAGGCACTGTAGATTCGCGCGTCGGCAACTGGAACAGGCTGCATTGCCCGTGTCGGTCTGGGCGTCGCATTTGACCTTTTTCCTCCGGCATTCATCACAGGCTCGGGAAACCTTGGATCGTTTTCGGGGAGGAGGCTCGGATGAGCCAAAGGGCGATGCTGTGTGATGATGGTCGAGGGCCATGGGCATGGCGAGGGCCATCTGATCGGCGTGATGCTGTGAATCTGTAACATAATGTTGAATCTGGGCTGCGGCATCCTGCTGAGCTTCGTGCACCTGTTGGTGCTGGGCCTCGCCTTCCGCCGAGGGATGAGGGAGGATATTGCGAAGGGCCTGATCGGGACCAGCATCCATAGCAATCTCAGCCGCGGCACCCTGGATGAGGGCGGCCGTGCCGGCGAGATCTTGCCCCAGCTGAGCGGCGAGTTGCAGTTCTCGAATGTTGTGAGGTTCGATATCGGGCGCCGGGGGTGGTTGAGGTTGAGCCTGGTCTCGCGGGGGCGAGTGGCCGATCGGATTTGGGCTGGCCTTCTGGATCCATCTGGTGGGTGTTCTGGTGGGGATCGCGGGGATAGAACGGATTCGAGCTATCCACGGACTCCGTAACTGGGGTAGGATATGCCTGCATGGCAAAGTCCAGCCACCAGCGACCAGCGTGCTATTGCCTCGTATCAACTATAAACATGTGGCGCACAATCGGTTCTTGCCGCTACTGGGCCGTCTTTTTCCCGGCCTGTTGAATGTCCTGGAATTTTGGAGGGAAGGCCAGGGAGCACGACTGAACTACCCAGTGTCGCCAGGTGCTGACTTGCTCTCTCAAAGTCGACGGTGTCCGAGTATGGAATGCAGCGTGGGGGATCGCGTTGCGATTTCGGTTCGGCTCCCAGGCGGCGAGCTTCGGTGAGATTCGGAGTAGCTCGTAGTACTTCACACCCAATGCACCTCGTAAAGCAGGTGCAGCCAATCTCGAGCTTGGGTGGGCTGTGGTTTGAACGTATAATTTCGGGTTTGCGATTCGGCTAGAAACAATAGAAGAGAAAAACCCAGGTAGAGTGAATGGATCTATAGATGGCTTCCCGTTTTGGCAGGTCAGCAGTGCTTCCATCCACTGGCAACTTTACGGACACCGCGCGTTCCACAGAAATTGCGGGTTTGGTAAGAGTGCCAACCCTCTTTCCGCTGTCGTCAATCCACGGTAGCGGACAGAAGGAACTGGTGACTGAAAATCCAAAAATTCGCCCTCATGATGATGAACACGAGGCGGCCAATTTTCTTTTCTTCGGGAGCAATAACGTGCATTCAGAATGGGTGTAGGGGAAGAGGAAGAAAAAAGGGGAGGGGGCAATGAAAGAGGGATTTGAGGCCAAAGGCTGTCAAGAGCTTACCGAGTATTGGTATCGAATTATCACGGTCGCGACAAGGAAACGCGAGATCCGGTAAGATGGTTGGCGATTACTCTGGGCGGAAAGGAAGAACCAGGGCCCGAGGAAGGTGCGGCAAGGGCGCGGTATAATAGCAATGATGGAGGGGGAAGGGTGGATCAATTATGAGTTAGGTGGGATTGATGGTTTGGTTGGTGTGCGGCAGAAAAAGGTTCAAAGGTCAGCCAGATTCATGCGGCAGTTGTGCCAATAGGACTTGAGCGCCGTTTGAATTGGTGTTCCGGGTTTTCTGGTCGATGATGAGACAGCGATGTCGCGGAACAGTATCAACGCGCATCAACAAGAGGCCACCCAGCGGACGGGCATGGAAATGAGATCCAACGGAAAAGCGCCTGCCAATCCCAAGGAAATACCCAGTGTTATAACGTTAGGAAGTTTGGCTTAACCGGCAACGACCCAGCGCAGTTGATCCCTCAAATGCTCAATGTATCGAAGTCGGTGGCTTGTGGTGAACCGGGCCGTGGGGCCAACAGCCACAGATGCCGCGAGCTCGTTGCGTCTAATAATTGAACAGATGGATCCAGCGTTCGCTAGCTCAAAACTCGATGCAGGTGGCGTGTGCACTCCAGTGCTTTTTCTCGTTCCTCCCGTCTCTTAATCCGCAGTCAACTGGGAGATGATGAGCCGATGGGGCTGCGTTTGTGCCCCTCGCTGGCGCCCCAGGTTGATACGATGTAATATCACAATCAAGGGAGCTGAATTTAGATCAAGGTTGAAGTTCCAAAGGGTCCGCCCCAGTATTGCGCACACCGTCCGGAACAGGAGTGCAATAGAATTATACTGAGCTGAGCAGAATCAGTTGGCCTTTCGAGTTCAAAAAGACCAAGTGACGATCGGGTTGATGAACGGTCTCATAAGCTCCTGCCAGGTCAGCAAGCAGCCCACGGGAGCTTTCGGAGCTTGGACCACGAAGTGCCCACAACACAAGCACGAGGCACACCAATTGATCCACTCCGTCTGTGGTTGATCCAACAGGGGCAGCGCGACCCTGCACTTATCGACCCTCTGAGGGTTGAGTTCCAGGCACCAACCGGACCTGGAAAACCAGGCTTCGTCAATGGCGTTGAGGCTGCTGGTGCTGGAAGCACTCCTCGTCAGGCACGTCAAGCAGGCGAGCAGGCGAGTGTCTGTCTTGTCAGATGTCGGATGACGGATGACGGATAACGGAAAGGGGAAGGGCACTCGGATGAATCAGATGCCTTGGTCCACACGAGGCGGCCACGCACTTCCCAAATTCTTGATCACTTCAATAGCCGTGGACCTCCCACAATATTTCCTGGGTTAAACTACTACAGAGGCGTACCTCCACGAGCCCAGTCGAAACTTGCCTTGTTGGGGTTTGCCTGCAACAGCCTGTCTGGCTGCTGTCCGTTCTCGATCTGTTCGGCGACCCGGCTCCGCGAGAATGGATGCGTCTCCTCCTCCGACTGGTGGACCTTTTGAACCCTTTTCCCCAAGGATCCTCCAAAACGAAAAAAATATGGATCCAGCGATGACCCTTGGTTTGCAAGGAAATGGCAGCGAGTGGGGTTTCCGGCCACTTGTCCACTTGAATGAGTGATGGGTGGTGCACTCCGTCCGTCAAAATCCCGGCTCGGAAATTATCTTGAAGAAGACAAGCTGAAAATATTTATCATGCAACGTCTCGTGGTCGCTCGCGCTGTCGGGATCGTTGCGGTCGTGGCTGGGGGTTGTGGTTGTAGGATCGCTTTCGCGCGGAGCACCATATGGAGCTATGGTTTGATGTTCCTGGCGATCTCTCGCTGCAACCCTCCACAGTTCGCACTTACAGCCAAGCCGACAAAAGGTGGGTTTGGATGCAGCGTTGGCATCCCCCAAGAGCTTCCTCTCCTTGGGGACCGTCGCACGGCGGACCTGTTTCCAACCTCGGCTGCCGTTCGTCAAGGTCCCTGGAGTGGTGGCGTTTCTCCAGCTGCAGGATGTCAAGAGTCTCTAGCACTTGCACATCGTTGGGGACTCGTAGGGCGAAAAGAGGACCGGATGACGGCTTTCTCTGCTCGTCTTTTCCCCCTGTTTCCCCTCTGTCTAACCTCAGAGGCCTCGAGCACCGTCTTCGGACGCGATAACAGTTTCGATATACGTGTGTTTGATATACCTTAATGCGGAATGCAGCACAGGATTTGAAATGACGGATGTGGCGGGTGGAAAAGACAAGAAAGGGAAAAAGAAAAAGAAAAGAAAATACGCAAGGAGGGAACTAGCGGGAGTGTGACTTCGCCTGGGTCATCGAGAAGGGTGACGCCGAAGCCTCCCCAGCGGTTTGGATATATAACAGGTCGGCGTTTGTAAGAAATCGGCAGCCTGCAGGTCTCTCACGGCTTTGGCAGAAGCGGGCACGCCTGTGAGGCGAGGCCTTTTAAGGAAACATGAACATGTGTGCCCAGTACGATTCTACCTCAGGTGTGGATATCAGTACCACGCTACCACCGCTCGCCCCGAATTGTTGCCGGCCTCGAGATGATTTCACTACTTTTTTGTTTTCCCTCTCCGCCTTTCCTTAAAAAGCCCCCGTCATATCACCCGTGTCCGAGAAGCAGGTTCCGACGGTGAGCAGAGGGTAGCTTGGGCGAAGACCTAAATCGAGAATCCTCTTCCTTGCCTCTCGAGGATGGCCTGCAGAGAATGGTCATTCTCGCTGCCGGTTGATTTATTCCGCTAACCATTAAGAAGAGTTCAGTGCTAGCCTCCCGCCGGTTTCCCTCGCCGCACCCGCCGAGTTAGATGAAAGGGAGGCGTGGTTCGAATTAGATTGAGTCATGTCCAGATATAAACCTGCTGATGGAGCCCCCTTTATCTGGAGGGAGGACGGGTGCTCAGGGTAGGTGTGCTTTCGTTCTTCGGCCTGCTCAATGAGCGGGCCGCCTGTGGCATCATATTTTGCCGGCAAGCGCAGGCTGTATTCATACGCCAATGTCCACAGCACACAAAGGTACAGATATCACTCCACGAGGTGCTACCAGATGAGCAGATAGGCCTGCGACTCTTAGAGTGATCTTGTCTTCACTTCTTCACACCCTGCCTAGTTATCGTCTATGGGTTTCTTACTCTTGCACATCTTTTAATGCATGGATGCATCCATGGATCTATTGACGGGCTTGTCCCTGTGTTAGTCTTTCCTTGGCCTCAAGGTGGATGGACTCGCGTCCACCATCCACTCAGCCATAGGCCAACCCAGATTCCGAACTGTCACGTCACGCGTAGATTAGAGACGTGAAAGAGGAAATAAAAAGAAAAACAAACATCAACAGCATCACGGGGTGTATGAGGTGCAGGTGCAGGTGCAGGTAGGCATGTCGCTAGGGGAGGGGTGAAGTAGACTGATGCTGGCGGAAATACCCCGCCATCGCCATCGATCCTTAGATATATATCTTGGTATCTGGGTCGGTCCAAATGCCTTGAAGCATCGGCAGGAGTTTACATGTAAACACCGAGGTTTTGTGATTCAAGCCAAGCCCAGCCGCCAGGGAAGCACACTAGAGAAGGGGGACGAAAGGGGTGGTTCGTCGATCCACGGTTTGGAACCGGGGGGCTTTTCTCAAAAGCGAGGATGAAGACAAAGGCCCCCAATTATGGCCATGCGACAAGCGATGGGTAATTCCCAATGCCTGAGAAGGATATCAAACAAACCCGGTCCGAATGCAAAGAACGGCTTTCCGTACATTCGCCCTAGGGCCAATAAGGGTCTTGTATTTCCTCCCTCCCCTTCGATCGCCAGCGAGCGGCTTCCCCCTCATCTCAGTCGCCTCGTCAGATTCGGATTGCACCTCGCTCTTCTCCCCATCACTTGTATCTACTACAACTACGCGTAGCGTTGGGTGGGCTGCAACCTCCTTTGTACCGGGAATCTCGCCCAGAGTAGCCTAGAATCACGAGGCACAAATTCGGCCGCTTTTGTTTGGCACCTCCCTTCCCTCTTCTTTCTCTCTTTCTTCTTGTTTTCTCTCTCCCCCAATGTCACTTTTCTGATGGGGTGGCGGCCTAGAGGCAGAAGCGTAGAGGAGCGGTAGTTGTGCTAGGGAGGAATGTGTATCACTCGACTTGATCATCGGTGCGCAGTTCGATAGTGTTAAGGTTCGGGAGCCAGGCGATCCGCTGTTCTGCCTGAACCCGCCCATTGTAGGTAGCATCGGCGTTGTTGTCGAGAAAGCCCCGAGTTCGACAGAAGCGGTGAGGGCCAAAGCCGCCGGGACGCTACGTTACGGGAGTATCATTGATCAATGGCATTTCGATACACTCTAGGCCCTGGACGTGAATAGCTACCGCTATTTAAGCGCTATATCGATGAGCGGTGATCTCGTCGTCAGAGTGCGTCTCATTTCTTGCTCTTGCAACAGACCCGAGAACGAATCCATGGATCCATCCGCCATCCATCATCGCCTGCCCGTCCAATACAATTGACTAGATGCTTTTCAAAGAAGAACTGTGCCCGCCTCGACAGCCGGGCACACGCATATATTCATAACATGTACTTACTGTTTATGAATACGCGGAATCAAAAATAAATAAGGGGATCGAGGGCGCGAGAGTATTTCTAAAAGAGGCAAAGAGGAGTCGCTGAAGCCAAACGTCCCGTCGTCGTGCTTTGGGATCGTCGCCGAGATCTACATGATACACTCTTCATTGTTACAACGTTCAACGAACCCCCTTTCTTTTTAAGCCATTCACAGGCACATTGATAACGACTGCGAGAGGGTCAATAAAAAGAAAGCGAAAAGAAAGAAAAAAGAAACAAAGGAAGAAAGGGGTCCACCCGACATACAGGCGAAACTCCCAGCCGGATCGCAGTTCCGAAAACCCTCGGTATGCGGAGCAAGGTTGATTATTACCCGCAGGCGGAGTGTGGCGCGGGCTCTCTCTCTCTCTCTTCCCCTCCCCACCTCTAGACCATTCACGTACGTGAGGTGATTCGCTTCCTAAAGCGCCGATGGGTTAACAAAATCTAATTTTCCAGTGCTACCTCTGTGGTCCTTGAATCTTGCCTGGTAACGACACTCCTCGTATATTCTCCCACGTCTTTAGGGCGGCCAATCCGCATTGGTATTTTTTCCCGCCGCCGCCAGGTCCGCCAAAGAGATGAAAAAGATTAGATGGGGTATCATGCTGCCGATATAAGCCCGATCCAACATAATGATATTGGCGGCTGTCTTTCTTGTTGGCTTCGATGAGCGGTTCACGAACGAACACTCCCCTTTACATCCCACCTCGTCCATCTTCTTCTTCTTCTTCCTTTTCTTCTTCCTCTTCTTCTTCGTCTCTTTGTTATGCTCAATCATTACCTGTAGTGCGTGTGCCCGTTGATCGACACTCGCGTAGGGAAGTAGATGTTTGGTTATGCCCCCAGTCGGTTATGCTTGCCATACCAGCCGTTGCTGGAATAATAGCCCGAGCTTCAGAACACGAGTAGCAGGCCGATCTAAGAGCCACAAAAGCATTCTCAGGCAATGAGGAGTCTCAAGTGCATGCGCGAGGTACAATATGCCATCCTTTAGCGTCGCAGTTGGCCCATCGTCATGTCCGGGCTGAGGCGATTTATGTAGAGCATCGTTACATTGAATTTCTCAAAAGGCTGGATCCGGATTGCACATGCGGACTCTTGCAATGAGGAACTCCCCGAAACACCCCTCTCTAGAGGCAGACCATCACGCCCATAGATACATATTTCTTCCGGCCGGTCTGACAAGCAGATTGGAGCGGTCAAACACGAGGACCATTTGTCCGTCGGACCCATCGCACTGCAACTTTGGAAATCGACACTCGTACACAATGGCCGGGTTCCTCCCACCCCCATTAACCCCTTGCTCGCTCCCTCTCAGTTTTTCTTTTTCTTTTGGCGGGTGCGCCCCGGATTTCCCTTTGTTTTTGGTGTCCCTTTGGAGACGGCACGGGCGGGCGTGTCAGAGAGGAACTCCGGAGGAGCGACAGGGGTCAGCGCAACATTGGCGAATTTTTGCCGATTAGGGAAAAGGAAAAGGTCAAGGCGAATGACGTGCGGCAGAGACACAAGCTTGCAGATTGTGGCTGGAGTATATACCGGGAAATAATAAAGGGTAACATCTGTCTCCTTGCTACGCTCGCTCTGGTTCATGGCAAAAGACGAGCTGTTCCCAGCGGCCGGGAGGCACGAATATACCTGGACACCCCCGCCCCTTCCCCACGAGCCACACCCCCGCATTACTTCTTGTCAATTGACAGCATTAAACCCAGATGTGGCCTTCGGATACCCGATCCCCCATCCCCCCTTTCTGCCTTCTTTCCGCTCAAGCAGGAACAGGAGTAAGAAAAAGAAAAAAGGAATAGATGGAGGACCCGCTGACTAACCCTCGCCAATATCGCTCAGAGTTTTCGGGATGATCTTGCCTTGATTCCGATCGAGGAGGCGCGTTTCAGCTCTCGAAGGGTGTTCATGGGCCGCAACGGCAGACTGGTTCAGGGTTGGAAATTGGGCCCTGTTCAATCCCAGGCTCCGGTGCAACTTGTGTTACAGAGGCGAGAGGGGAGAAAGTGAATGGGGGAATAATATGAGAGAGGGAGAGAGAGAGAGAAAGAGGGAGGAGAGAGGACCGGATATGGTAGCAAAAATGAGGGTCAAGGCAGCATCGGGATATCGGGCTCTTTCTCCACGGCTCCACTATCGGGTATTCTGGCTCCCCAGAACCCTTTGCCATAGCTGACCAGTATCTCCTCTCCTTTTAGAATGCCCGCCGCACCCGCGCCAGAGCTTGCACTCGCCTTGCCAGCGGCACCGGCGCTGCTCGCTTTACCGGCCGCAGGCTTCTTCGTTGCCCTCGAGTTCTTCCTCTCTGGGAGGACAAATACGGCCATACATCGCTCTTGGTGCCTCGCGCTCCAAACTTCTCTAAACTCGGCGTTTGGACGATCTTTCACTCCACGATAATCGTTGACGAACCGTGCTTCGTTTCCGGACCGGGATGCGTCGACGGCGATACCAGCGTCTCTGTCGAGCCAGAGGTCGTAGTCAGATTCCTTTGCCTCGACATCCGTCTCCGGGTGTACGTTGCCTAGGTAGAGCAGGATGAAGGTGCCCGGTTTAAGGGCCTTGTTCGCAAAGAGACCGCTCTGCCCGTTTGCCGGATGGGATGGATCCGAAATAGGCGTGATCCTTATGTTGGAGTAGGGCGTGCTGCTCGCTTCGGTGGACACCACTGGGAGCTCAGGGCTCTAGTGCGCGCGACCGCTTGATGGTCTTTTGTGAGGAATTTGGAGCGTCCAGGACTCGTGAGATAGGTCAAGTTGGGTGGCCATCCTTTTGGGGGTGCCATGTGAGCTCCTGCGTATGCTTTTTGGGCGGGAGGCAAGCCTTCGCCACCGCGTATCAAGGATATCCTGAGGATGCTTCCAAGTTGGCCAAGGCTCGTCCAAGATGCATGCGCTGCGTCACGTTTTCGAGGCACGAGAAGTTGCTGTGATATTACATGCCTTCTTGGACGCATGCATTCAAATCAAGTACCGCTGCCGTTCAATGCCATTATAAGTCGACAGCTGACCTCGAAGTAAGGTGGAGTATGTCGCCGAGTCGCTCAAACACAACCGGGTTGATGTGACGTAAACCACTGGTATCTTATGAACAACTGGTGGCCTCTGTACCTCGATATCTGTATTTCTTCTAGACACCGTTCTCGGGCATGTTGTGTTTCACCAAAAGTAGGATCAGTTTGGTGTTCTCCATTTGATGGATCTTTGGCGGGGTCATCAGCTTTGAACTTGTGCAGGCCATTTTGTGCCTGGGTTGACCGCCCACCAACTTGAACGGCGCTGGAGCGCCATTCACAGCACACGGATCTTGGCCTCAACTAGCCGTAAAATCCCCATTGTTAGGGCTGAGGGTATATACGGTTGTCCTAATTTAGAATCAGGTCAAATAAAATCTACATGTAATCTCCAGCTCTTTTGATGATGCGGATCAAAGATTCTTCTCATCTATGGGGGATCGGTGGAAGATGGATCCATCGCCCATTCGATATGTAAACGAAACCAAATCCGAGCCCCGCCATTGCTGTCAAATTTATGCCGGGGTTGACCGCCTAAAAGTTTGGCCTTTCAAAAATTTCTTTCAAGTCTGATTGACGGCTCTCTAGCCCTTGCCTAGTTTCGCCTCACGCTGAGACCGCAGCTACTTTTCTCGCCCACGTCGAGGAAGAAAGCAAAGAAGAAAAATGCCTCCAAAATCGAGTTCCCGCGCGAAAGAGTTTGCCGAGTTGGACAAGCGACCGGCTCAGGGTACGCTTATCTATACCCACCCTAAGATCCTGCTCCTCCCTTCTCTCACCATGAAATTAACCCACAATCTTGGTTGCATATAGACTACGACCCGGAAGATACTCGGGACAAGAGCGACGGAGATGAGGATAGTGAAAATGAAAGCGAGGTGGAGCGTGCTGGCACAGAACACTATGTTTCTGTCGGGTAAGGCCCCTTTGCAACCCGAACCTAAATCCATGCAGAAGTGGTCGCTAACCCGGTCATATATAGCAAGAGCAAGATCCGGCAAAGGACGCCGTCACGTTAGGACCGCAATACCGGGGCACACGGGTTTCACGCGAGGCCCTCCAGGACGATGACGATGACGACGACGATGACGACGAGTCGCAGGAAAGCGACGATGACGAGGAAGGTCTCGGGTCCGGCGATAAATATGACGACCCGGACAAGGCCGACCTAACGGTTGATATGAAGCGCCTTGGTGACGAAGATTTCGAAATCGACAGCGACGAAGCCTTCAACGACTCTGATGAGGAAAGGTTTCAGGGCCATACTTTTCGGGGTAGCTCAAAAACCAAGAAAGGGTCGGGCGAAGGCAGGAAAACAAGGCCGATCGCTGCCGACTTCATGACTGATAGCGAGAAGGAGGACCAGGACGACGCTATGAGCGAAGACGGTGATGAAGGTGATGAGGATAGCGACGATGATGGCGCTGCCCTTGGCTCCAGTGGGGAAGAGGAGGAAGATGAAGAAGAAGAAGAAGAGGAAGAGGACGAGGAGGACGATGAGGATGGGGGCAATGAGAGCGAAGAATCTGACGGTGGCGTAGCTCTTGGTTCCGACCTTGAGGAAGAGGAAGAGGAAGAGTCAGACGCATCGCAAGAAGAGGACGCCTCAAAGTCCGGATCCCGGTCTGACAAGAAGACAGTCCTTGCAGCCATTTCAGACTCGGCCAAGCAAGACGCCGGTAAAGGACAAGCCGTCCGGCAACAGCGCAAAATTTTCGATGGTCTCCTCAACATCCGTGTTCGTCTCCAAAAGGCCCTCATTGCGGCCAACACCTTTGGCCAGATTGACCAGGCTGACGATGACGATGACGATGACGCCGGAGCAGAAGCCTATGCCGCAGCGGAGGCAGCGGCACTTAAACTCTGGAGCACCATTGACGACCTCCGTTCAGGCATAACGAGCAAGACGAAGACTGGGGACAAGAGGAAGAGGGATATTGACGTCTTGACGAGTAATGATACCATCTGGGGCTACATGGACGAAACTGAACAAGCGGCGAGGGCGAACAGGAAGAAGGTTTTGGATAAATGGTCCAACAAGATCGGGGCGACGACAGTTCCAGTGGGCAACAGGCTCAACCTCGGTGCGACGCGCAGCTCGATCTCCTCGGTCCTCGACGAGCAACTCCTCGCTCCGGGTCGTCTTCTCTATCGCTCCCGCGTGCCCCGCTCGTGCGCCCCCTACAGGCCTCGAAGGGCGTAAAAGAGGACACCGAGATTTACGATGATGCCGACTTTTACCAGCTTCTACTGAAGGAACTCGTCGACCAGCGATCGGCGGACTCTGGGACGACGGGTGGGCAGGAAAACGGAGTGGTGACGGTGCAATGGGCAGCGATGAAGGAGGCCAAGTCGAACAAGGTTGTGGATAGGAAGGCTAGCAGGGGCAGGAAGATGCGCTTCACGGTGCATGAAAAACTACAGGGATTCATGGCATCGGAGGACAGGCGCTCCTGGGAACAGGATGCCATTGATAGGTTCTTTGGTACCTTGTTTGGGCAAAAGATGCAGCTCAATGAAGATGAGGAGGGAAGCGATGAGGAGGACGAAGAGATGAACGCCGAGGAGGCCGGCCTGAGGCTCTTCAGGTCTTGATATTACCAAGTGTTTTGTACATAGAATTACAACCCAGAACTGGCCTTATTGGATACCCAAGTCTCGGCTACACGCTCCACAAGTGGTCTCCCCCTCATACCCGTACATCTATGTTTTATTCGCCCCCACCAACTATAAAATGCTACTGCAGCGCAGACCAGAGGAAGGCTGAAAGGAGAACGGAGTGAACGCCCAGATGAACAACAGGCCCTCCGAGCGTCTGTTGCGTTTTGGCACCCTCCCCTCCTCTAGACTGGATTCGAGCGATGGCTCGATAGCATGGCCACACATGCCAAAAGGCAAAGGCTAGAGCAAGAGCGCGATCTGCGTTGTCCCAGGCACCGCTGTCGACGGCGAACTCGGACTTGAATGCAATAATCAAGGCGATAAGGGAGGACTGGAGGAGGGCACCGCCGACAAGCTGGCTGACGAGGGAGGCTTCCCGGCTCGGGTTGGGGATCTGGGAGGCCGGATATAGGATGAATGAGGTGGCCCCTATGCATTCGATGAGCGCGTGGGCGAGGAAAGGGACTGCTGACAGCTGCATGGTACGTCGTTTGGAGAGGATTTTGCGGAGTGAAGCATTGCCTCTTGGCGAGAGTTGGTGATTTGGCGGAGATAGGGAAGGGTAAAGAGAGAGAGAGAGAGAGAGAGAGAGGATGAGATCGCAACGAGGTGTATTAGTGAGGGATGGAAGCCTCGGAAGGATTTCAAGCTCTTAATCCTCTTTGCTGACAAGTAATATTACGTGCATCCTATATTCGGCATTTCGCTCGATGGCAATACGTAATCCGCTCCTGCATGAATAAGAAATGCAAGCGGGTATTGGAAGAAGACTAAATCAACGTTCTTTTGTCCTCGATGTCTGGTGTTGGAGGTGAATATCGATGATGGATGTCGAGTCGAGGCGATATATCGCATCACTCTTTTCGGGACTGAGAACCGCGCTAGTTGAATGCCGGGCGTGGAAAGACGTACATTGAATGGATCCATCAATTCAATTGATCAAATGTACATGGAGTAATAGTGGTTAATGTGTTGCTTCAATGTGAACACAGCCCAGCCCATGCTCTTCCCCGTGTTCTGATTGGGGCCTTTCTCGGCTCAAAACGTCTTGGAGCTGCCCTCAGCAACCCCTCAACGTTGTTTTAATCGGCTACTTCGTATCATACACTAGATGTTCCTCCGAAGGCCTTCTGCTACGCCTCTGCCCCGTCATCAATTGATCGGACTTTTGAGCTCGAGGAGGCTATGGCCCGCTTTCTTCTGCGAGCGGAGTGCGCGGCCCCAAGCTAGAAGCCATCTAGCGTCGGCAAGATGTTAGGTCGAGGCCCGGGTGCCCTTCGGGCAAGGAGCAACGAATAATTCCGTCTCTACGCTTGGCTTTGCGGCTTTGCCCTCAATCATGTGAAAAAAAGATGGGATGGTCTGTAATCCTCCCGATGGCGCAGCTCAAGCTAACGGTTCGCCGACGTCGAGTTCATTGGCAACGGCGGTGACTTGAACAAAAACGCGGCAGGCCGGTCTGTATGCCCAATTCGACCTATCAACCCTTTTCCCGGTGCGTTTTTTTTGTTGGGACAAAGTACATGGATCCATGGATGGAGAGAAGAATCTCCATTCGACGTCAGATGCAAGTATTACTAGGGCAGGGAGCTCTGGGGTTCCCTCTCCTTGAAAGTTCCAGTTGACAAGACCGAAAGCTTGGCACTAGGTTCTTGAAGAATCTATGCGTCGATATGGGGCCTACTAGTGGGCACTGCGCGGTGGTTTTGGTCCGCTACTGGCTTCCCGGGTTCGAGTCATCATGATCATCGCGAAAGAGACGAATGGTCATGGATGCGGAATCGCCATTTGGCGCTTCGGGATTTATCAATCCTTTGCGCGCGTGGCAAGTCGACATAGTCAATATTCAATGAACCAGCGAACCTCTCACAGTTGATTCGTCTCCCCCTCAATTGATGTCGACCGTTTGCCATCCAATCACCATTGATGTCTCCATGGCCCCGGGCAGAGCTTCCCTTTCAAAACGATTCCAGATCTCCAAGAGCCAGGGTCGGCGTTCGGACCAATATTGCCCGCCACCGCCAGTTACGCAACAGTCCCTGAAACAACCCAAGAAGATCTGAGAGTCCATCCGTCGCGCCCCAGAGTTCCAGGTGCGCAAGCCCCCTTGGCGCAGAACTCGCCAAAACCGTTACTTTTGCACTTCCTTCTCGAGACGGGAACCCGAGCCCAGCCCTCCTTCTCCCTTGTCCCCTATCATCTTTGCCGCACTAAGGAGTCCCGAGTTTAAGTTCGCGATTCCCCCAACAGCCGGAGCTGTTGCACACCTCCCCTTGGGACTGTCGGCCCCCTTTTGAGCTCTCTTGTTCAGTTTCTTTTTCTGTTTGCCCTATTCTCGAGCCCAGCCCCCTTCCATTCTTTTCCTTGCCGCTGTTCAAGTTGCATTTGATAAGCTGGTTTCGCGATTGGCCTTTGGTTCAAGTCCCCGAGGCTAGTGACATCACCCTGGTCATAGATAAAGTTCCCCACGTTCAAACTCGTGAAGGCCACGAGCAGGGCAAGCATCAATTCGCGCGAAACCTGCCCAGAGACTTTCTCTCCCACACGTTGATACCCTTCCGCGTCTGTGTCACGATCTCCTACTCAATTTCTTACACCTTTCTTGCCGGTGTCTTTCTCTAATTGCTCAGCTGAGGCGTCCTTGATACCCTTGCGCCAAAGTACAATTTGAGCGTGTCAAGCTCACAACGTGCAGGTCGAAAGAAGACCCAGACCGTCACAAACCAGCAAACACCAGACGCACACACAAACGCACCCACACGCCTGCGCACTCCAAAAGGGGAACAAGAACGGGAAAGCTCAGAAAAAGAAGCTTCAACCTCAATTGAGAAGCCACCCACCCTTTTTCGTCGTAAATATGGAGGCCCCAAACACTTTCGGCGAGCTAGGCTTGTCTATCATCGGCCTCGGCTCACAATATCCCCCTTTTGTCTGAAGGCGGATGCCCTCAACACTTTGAGCAAGAGATTTTATCCAGAATCCCCGCGTAAGTTGCCACGTCCACAGTCTACCTCGTCTTCTTCTCTTGCTCTCATATATATATTTATTTATATACGAACTTTTTTTCTTTCGTTTCATTTGTTTACTCTACCCCGAGCTCCTACCCCTCCTCATCCGTTGTCCGTCGACGAGTAAGATGGGCGAACTTGTTGCTGACCAACGTGGACCATTCTTTCTCCATTCCCAACAGAATGACCAAGGTGCTTTCTATCAATCAGTTCACAGGGATTGATAGTCGCTCGTCAATTGGCAATCCTGATCACCCAGCGGTGAACCAAAAGGACACGCCGACAATAGACAAGCTTGACGAGTTGTATAAGAGTGACGGCGTCCCGCTTGCCATAGCTGCTGCGCAAAAGGCCATTGAGGAGGCCGGGATTGACATTAGGCAAATCACTCACATCGTGTCGACTACATGCACGAATAGCTCGAATCCGGGCTTTGACCATTATGTGGCCAAGGGACTACAAATAGCCCACCCGGTCGAGAAGGTGCTACTTCATGGGGTTGGCTGCAGCGGCGGACTCGCTGCCTTAAGAACGGCGGCAAACTTGGCTCTCGGTCACACTGCTCGGGGAAAGCCTGCGCGGATATTATGCGTAGCTCTTGAGGTTAGCAGCACAATGGTGCGCAGTGAATTGGATAGCATTCATGAGACTCAAGAGACTAGGATAGGCGTTGCTCTCTTTTCCGACTGCGGAAGTGCCCTTGTCTTGAGCAATGGAATCGGCCCCCTGCCGAGCCGGTCTATGACCTCCTTGGCTGGGATCACAGCATGATTCCGGATACGGAAGGCGATCTCGGATTCGACGTTCACCCTAATGGTAGGTAGGCTTGAAAACATTGGGAGACGACTTTTTAACGTGTCGGGCGAGATCGGGCTTGATAAGCGAGCGCGGATGTGACAGCCGCTGAGTCGTACGATGAGATCCCGAGCTAACTTTGGAGTATCGGCAGGCTGGAAGGTTGTTCTCTCGCCCCGTGTGCCCAAGCTTACAGGTGGTGTCGTTCGGCCCGCATTCACCAGGCTGATGGAGGCTTTGCCATCGCTACCCGCCGACTACGCCTCCGCGCCCGACTTTGATTGGGCGATGCACCCCGGAGGTGCCACGATCCTATCAGGTGCAGAGAAAGCCATGGATATTCAAGCCGAGCACATGCGCGCCAGCTACGACACATACATCAACCACGGGAACTCGAGCTCTGCCACCATCTATAGTGTCATGAATAGACTGCGATCAAAGGAGATGGATGTGTTGGCGCCCGGGGTCGCGTACGCGAGTATGTAGTCGGGTGCGCTTTTGGGCCGGGTATCACGGTGGAAATGTGCATGCTGAGGAGGAACATGAAGCGGGGTCAGGGCATTACTGGCCTACAAACACCCCCGAAACCGAGAGTGAAGGGAGCCGGAGTGAGGCCGGGGACGAGGCGGGCTCTGATGAACGCAGAAGGAGTGGCGCCGAAGTCCTCGTTGCGCCATCGCCTGCCGAGCCAGCTCGAGGGCCGGATACCCGCGACGACTCTTCAAACTTTATTGCAGAGGCATTGGAAAACCTAGAGCTTGACTAGAATTTTTTTCTTCTCCTTTGTCTAAAAGTCATAGAATAAGCGTGTTACCCAGTATGCCAGCAGTGTGTCCGAAGCTCTCTGTTACTGTCCATCGAAATAAAATCGATCTTCAATGGAGAGGCAGGGGACTATCTATAGTGGAGGGAATTGCCGATATATGTCATCATGCTAGCACCGATGAGCATGTACTGCCATCTTCCTTGGTCTAGTGGTCAGGATACCTGCTTGTCATTGAACAAGTCGCAGGTGGCCGGGGTTCGATTCCCCGAGGGAGAGTTCTTTTTGCGCCTAAATTAGACACAACAGGTCCTGGAGACGGAATTTACGTTATCATACTGTCTTTTTGACCCCCATTTGACGAACTAATTTTGGATGTATCATTCATGAGGATGTTTCTGCTTGACTCGATCATCTACTTTTTTTTTCATCCACCCACCCCTTTGGTTAAAATGTCGTTGCGAAATTGTTCAACCTGCCACCATCAACCGTGATTAGGTTGCCATTACAATAACCACCAGCCCTCGAGGCGAGATATAAGATGGTTCCTGCCATATCTTGCTCGTCACCCATACGGCCTAGAGGTACCATTTCCTTGGGCAAGCTGGTCTCGGAGCCGGAGGAATTACCGCCAAAGCGCTCAACGATCGGCGCCGACATTTCACTTGGAAAGACTAGATGAACACGTGAATATTAGTTTGGCAGCGATGTGGAGCTGTGTAGGCGGGCTTCCAATCTTGGAGGACTTACGGCCGGGGCAGATGGCATTTGCTCTAGTTCGCACATAGGCTGTTAGCTTCATTCGCGTGAGAAAGGCTGCCTGTGGGTGTGAGTGGTGATACCTGATGTTCCACTGCGGCAACACAACCGAGAGCTGTTTCACGAGCAGGTTTACGGCGGCCTTGGACTGTCCATATGCATACCCTCCAGGCGACATCTTGTTGAACGCGGCGATGGAGCTTGTGACTACAACCTGAGAGGTCTGCGTAACATTGCGTGATTCGTTTCCCTTGCCTAGCAAAGGGAGGAACGCCATGGTGGTGTACCAGACGGCGGCCGTGTTAACCTCAAAGGTCCGGACGTAGCTGTCGATCCCATGGTTCAAATTGGCCGATGCCCACTCTTCTAGAGATGTTTCTGCGGTGGGCATAGGCACTTGAGGACCGCCGATACCCGCGTTGCAGACAAGGAGGTTTAGAAATCCCGCCGAGGAGGATACCTCGGACACGGCGGAGGCTAGGCTCTCCGGAGAGGAGACGTCGCAGACTATAGGGTGGACGGAGGGCCCTAAAGCTGCGGCCGCCTTGGCGAGGACATCGGCTCGGCGGCCGGAGATGAAGACCTTTGCGGCACCATTCTGGGCCAGTGCCTTGGCTATCATATATCCGATCCCTAGGATATGTGCGAATCAGAGCATATATGGTTAGTGTGACAAACACTTGGGCACCGCGCGGGGAAAAGAGCGGCAACATGGGTTATTGGGTGAAGAGGGTTTGCGCAATACCGGTTCCCCTCCCGTAACCAGAGCTACGAGTCCCTTTGCGGAGAAGAGGGTTTCGCTCTTCAAAGTTGTGTCTGCCATTGTAGGTGATGGGATCTTTTGGAGCTATACGGAGGATTTTGTTCTGCTACGCTTTGGAGAGACCGGAGAAACGGAGAGACGGAGAGACGGAACAAGGATAAATTTATCTACATACGTCAACAGCATTATCGTGCCCCGCCGGAGTTTATATACAGCTGGGGGATGGTTAGCTATCGATTCGACCAATCCGTGCGATCATAGGTGACGAAGGAAACTCATGCCAGAGATCAACCCCCAGCGGTTTGTGGAGAGGGGAGGGGGTTCTGCTGGTTGGCTCGCTGTGGACGACGGAGGCAGGGAGGTTACACTTCGCAGGAGACCATAGTGTGAAATATTGGTAGACACTGTACGACCCACAGCCATTCATGCCCCTCCAACTTTTTTTCTCGACATGGTATTCTGAAAACATTCTATACCAGACCGTCGGGCCCTTCTACCTTTGGGGAATCTGCACAATCTCTAAAGAGCGAGGGTTAGAGAAATCATGCCGAAGAGAAAGAGAGCCGAAGATAGCCTAGACGAGAGGCTCCCTCAATTCAAGACGGACTTGTTCCGTGCTCTCAAGAGGGTCAAGGGCTTTGAACGACAAAGGCTGAGTCGACGGCTTCACGAGAAGGGCCTACCGGAAGAAAAGAAGCAGAAGTATGATTTGGAGGTAGCTGTATTAAAGGTAAGAAAACTCGAAACTGTTAATTGCCGTATTGAAGGGAGCCAATTGGTTTTCTATGTGCCTGGAAAGCAAACTGACTGACTGGCCGCCCTGCTTAGTCGCTGGACCTCCATCAAACCGCGTTCCACTACCTCTACACCTCTTTACTCAGAATTAAGTCGATTGCTAGTCACCCAGAGCTACCCGAAGAAGTGCGACAAGAATTTCCGAAGCCCGAGCTAGACGAGAAGGAGAAGGCGGCACTTCACCATGTCACGAGCTGTCTGTTTAACCGCCTCGAGGTGAGGCAGGTCATGGACAGGATCATTAACCAGACATGCGAAGCTTTGGATATACCACCGCCAGAGAAGAAGAAACCCAGAAAGAAAGGCGCCAAGGACAGACCCGAGGGCGAAGACGAAGAGGGAAGCAAGAGACCACCATCTCCGGTGACCGCCCAGAGAGTGATGGCCACGATGAGGACGACAGCGATGACAATGTCGACGGCGAAGCAGACGGAAATAAGGCTCGCAAACCTAAGTCGGCCAAGTCAAGTTTAGGGGCGGAAAAGGACGGCAAGCAGGAAAAGAAGAAGAAGAAAGGGGATCAAAAGAAAGCACAGGCCGATAAGAAGAGGCTACTTGACGATATCAGCATCTCGGGCGGCGATGAAGACGCAGAGGATGAGGTGGCCGAAGAGCGGTCATTCTCCAAATACGACAGGTTGCTTGGTGGCTCTTCCGATTCTGAAGCAGGTAGCGAATCCGACTCCGATTCTGACGGCGGCGTAGTCATACCAAAGGGCAAAACGAGGAGCATCCGCGTCCGGGATATGTCCATCTCCCTGTCCCCGGAGTCAAGCGAGGCCTCAGATGCGGATGATGAACCCGATGAGGACGTAGAGTCCGAATCTGAATTTGGCGGCTTCTCGGATTCAGAAGCTGAATCTCTCCCTCCCAAGCCAAGCAAGCCTGTCAAGCCTGCCAAATCAGAGAAACCAGAGAAACCTTCGGCCCCGCCCAAGGAAACCAAAGCCAAGACGGCAAAATCCGTCATAGGGCGTCCCACGGACTCCACGTTCCTCCCATCCCTCATGGGAGGCTACATTTCGGGCTCGGAATCTGCGTCCGACGTGGACGTGGCCCCGCGCAAAACAGGCTTGGTCAGAAGCAGCGCCAGGCTATTTGGGAGAAGAAGTTTGGTGTCAAGGCGAAGCATCTTCAGGAGCCCGTCAGGCCACAGGGCAAGGGCAAGGGCAAGAGGGACGACGGGTGGGACCTGAGGAGGGGCGCGGTGGGCGAAGAGGACGGCGGTCACCGGAAGCCGTGGAAGAAGGGTATCGACAACCCCCTCGCAGCTATGAATAGGGAGGCGGGGCATCAGACGCAGCGGCCGAGCCCAGACGGAAACCCGTGACGACAAAGGATGACGAAGGCCCCTTGCATCCCAGCTGGGAGGCGAGGAAGAAGGCCAAGCAACAAGCACAAAAGATTACGATCCAACCGAGTTCGGCTAACCGAATCGTGTTTGACTAAAAGGACGCGCACGGCGGCAGTGGTGGCATATAGTTTCTTTCTCTTTCCACACCCTCCCCGCATATCTATTCGTCTTCTGGCCCTTTTTGACGTATGCACCCTCTATACCCAGCTTTCCGTACATAGCTTTATAGTAAAGTAAAATTATAGGAGATTCTTGAGAGTCGAATGAAGATGAAAAGGGGCGAGAATGAAGAAAAGAAGCAATTCCCAAAAATAAAGGAGACAAAAGGTTGGTCTTGGTATATCAGACGCGTATGTACATCCGGAATTCAAAACACACGAGATATGCACTTCTTTGACAAAGGAGACGGAAGCCGAACCAAAAGGGCCGAGGCCAAAGCAAAAAAAAAAGAAAACGAGGAAAAGAAAACGAAATAGAAAGCGCAAAAAACTCCGATTGAGGGTCCCATTTCCTTTATCTACCACAATCCACCTCCCAGCCAGCCATCTGTCCATCTCTACCCGAGCTCTTTTTGTTCTTCAACCCCGGTTTTGTTTCTCTCTTACGCGTCGGGTCCGTACTTCATGGTGCGGAAGAAGTCCATGACGCCGGTGAAGACGACGAGAAGAATACCACCACCGGGTCCGAGTCGGAGAACCTTGGGGATGAAGCCCTTGTAAAGAGCGCCGAAGCCCTCCTCCCTGGCGACGGTGAAGAGAGCGGGCCAGGCCCAGTTGTACTTGGGGATCTGACCGGGGACCTTGATGGTGTTCTGAATGCGGGACTTGACAACGTCCATGGGGGTGTTGAGGATGGTACCGACGGTACCACCTACGGTACCGGAGATCAAGTCGTTGGTGAGCTGGCCGGACTTGTCGCTAGCCTTGGGGAGAAGCTGCCTGACCTGGAAGATGCAGCCAAAGTAACCGGCGTTCCAGGTGATGTGCCTCCAGAGAGTAGACTCGAGACCGTTGTACATGGCGAGGAGACCCTCGTTCTGGATGGTCTTGCGGACAACATCCATCATTCCGTTGTACTTGCCGGCGGAGGCCTTGTCTTGGAGTCGGATCTTGACAAGCTCAAAAGGCACGACGACGAAGGATTCGGTGGCACCGGCGCTGGCGCCAGTAAGGATGGAGAGGGGCTGGGTCATCTTGTCCATGGCGAAGAGGTTGCGGTAGATCTTTCCCCACTCGTCGTTGGCGGCGAACTTGGTGGCACGCTTGGGAGCCTCCATCAGGATGGGGGCGGCGATACCACGGTAGAGACGCGAGGCACTGCAGGGACCGAAGCGGTAGACTATTAGAACTTGTTTTCTCGACAGAAGGCGAGCCCCGGGACAGCAAGTCCCTAGGCATTACTAGCCCACAAGGAAAGGGAAAAGCGCGGCCTACCCCTCAGTCTTGATGATCTTCTTGAAGCAGTCGAGCATGCCGGTGTAGGCGTCGGCGCCAGCGGCGCTGGTCTGGAGCTGACTATAGATTGGGGGTAGAAGGTTAGCATCGATCTAGGTAGTGGGAGAGCCCGTCGAGGACTGCTTGCTCGGGGCGGGAAATACTCACACCCTAGTCTTGACGACATCGAGAGGGTACCTATATTCAGAAAGTGTGAGCGCGCTTTGATCCCTGGTTACCGGATGGAGGGGCATTCCCATCGCCCTTGCACGAGGCTATCGACGTACATGACCAAGATCTAGCAACAAGCCAAGGTTAGCACATCAATTGGATCGCGATCGTCATAACTAGGGTCTTTGTTCTTCGCATACCTCAGAGACACCGGCAATGGCACCTATTTGCAAAGGCTATCGTTAGTCACGAGGCTCTCCGATATCGCCAGTCGAGATTTTGCTTACCGGCGCCGAACTGATAGACGAAAGGAAGAGGCTTGTTTTCGTTGGACATGTTTGCGGTATGTTTGAACGAAAGAGGCAGGAAAGGAAAGTGAAGTTAGAAAAGAGGAAAAGAGCAAGGGACCAAAATCGAAACAAGTGCTCGCGTGGTGGTGCAAAGGAGGGATGGGGGAAGCGGAAATGGGGTGGGTTCAATGGTGGAAGGGGGAGAAAAAAATAATCGGCTGGTCCCAAGAATTTCCGTCGCCCAAGAAAAGCCCTCGCTTGCCGGGCTGGAGTGGAGGGTATTAGGCGGGTGTGCCTTTGGAGGTGGGAGGAGCAACAGGGGTAAGACAAGCGCTAGTTTCCTTGATTCACCGCTTTCGCAGCGGGCGGCGCCAACATTGAAAATCCAATGTGCTATCAATGGAGTGCCAGCGCTGGTCAGAGTTCAATCCGAAGGGGTTCAATGTTGGAGAGGCGGGCTAAATTTGGCCTAGCCTGATAGGCCCCCTCTGCGCGGGGTTCCAGTGACTTCGACTCTCTGCAGAGGACCCCCAATTTGACGGATCAATCAAGAGAGCACATACTTTGTACGAAGTAGGTTGGTCAATTATCAATGCTCCAATTCATCCACTATCTCTCCAGTGTTCCTCTTGTGCCATTATCGAGCCCGGCCTTGTTGCACGCTCCTAAAGACGTTTGCTACTTGTACTTGATGCATGTACAATGGAATGGATTGATCAATGCATTTTTCCGCCCCGTGCAGCTTACCAAACCCCCAAAACCCCCATCCCATTGATGAACCCCCATGGCCCCACCCTTCGTGGGAAGGTCCCCTCGAACGATGCGCAAGGCACCTTAGCTAAGGAAAAGATCTCCGAAATTCGGACCTCCTTATTGGCCTGGCCTGCCTTGGAGGAGCTGGGGAAAGTTGTCAGTCCAGTGCTATCTTTAATCGAGCACAACCTATTGGCGGGTCAACTGGACTTCGGCATCGAGGTTATGCGGACATCGGCAGTGCTCCCGGAACAGCCAGGTAGCCGGAATGCCGAGAGGCCCTTCACGCCTTCGTGTACCACAGGTTGGTACAGCGCGACACGGTCCGAAAAACACGAGTGGCTTCTTGAATCTAGTGATACCAGCACGGTACTGGTCGCGACACCGCAACCACATAGCTACCCTCATGCACTGACGTCACTTTGGCGAGACAGCTAAGATTGGCCATCAGCTTCAAGCCTTGACCATTGGTACGTGCAGTTTAATTGGAGTGTCTGTATGTATTGTGATAATTATTTGACCAGTATATAAAGAGCAAATTGGACAACATCCCATCTTCCTTCCTAGCCTTGGTCGAGAGGAATATGACTATCCGGGCACCGTTAGACAGATACAGGAGACAGAGGCCACTAAACTCTGACTGGTGGTGGGTAGATTGGTGATTCTCACAGCCATGAACTTTGTGAGCTACTAGGTTCATTCATATCTTCTTCTTCGTTATCTTCTTCTTTTCCTTGATCTACGTGCATCTTCTTTCAGTTACCATTCTAGTCGAGGCAGTCTCAAACCCTTGAAGGTACCGCGACTTTTTCCTTTCGACGACGATTCTCGTGGAAAGGCAAACAGTAGGAACGAACTTGCTATATCATTCCAACCCCAAGGAAAAGCGCGAGCCATGACATCGCCAAGCACCTGCACTGGCGAATTTAGGAGTTCGGGTAGGGCTAGTATTGGGGTCGAGACGCGCTTGATTGGTTTCTATCCGCTAAGGTTCTCATGGCGCTTCGTCAACGAGAGGCACGTTGCTGAGCGAAGAGAGACATTGACGCGGCCCTATTAATTGCTTCTTCCTATATCGCGTCTCCAAAGAATTAAAGGATTTTTAAAGTATTAAGGGACTTCCATCCTTGGCTGGACTCGACGAAAGGAGCGAACAATTAACAGGTGATGTCTAGTTAGAACACTAACTTGGAATTGTGCGCAGCGCGGGTGTGAAGTGCGCGATGCGAGGTGTGCGATGCGCGATGCCCCTCCTTTTTCCATCGTTCATTTGAAAGGAAGATTAATCGCAGGCAGCTGCATCCGAGCCCTGGTCGGGAGCCCTGGACCTGCTTGCTTGCGTGGCATGGAGCCAATAGGAGCAAAGGACGTGAGCTTGTGGCAAAGGACGTGGGGTAGAAGTGGAAAACGCTTGGGATTCGAGCTGACCTTGAGTTCACCTTGGCGAATTTATCTCCTTATCATACGCACATTCAGAGACACTTTCGCTGTTCTTTCTTTTGCCCTTCGCTTCTTGCCAAATTTGGATTTACCATCTAATTGTCCTAGGTTTATTATACCCAACATTCTGCTTCGCCTTTCCAAATTCTTCTCGCGCGCAAACCTCGTCTCGAAATCCCCTTTCCGCCACCACCTCGCCAGGTTCACAAATCCACAGTCCGGGTTATAATTCGCGCGCCTCTCGACGTGTCCAGTCCCTCATCCGCCAGACCCGCTCACGGTCGTCGTTCCCCGCGCTCTCACCTGCACCTTTAAACAGGCCGTGATCCTCAGAGACTCGCAGCGAGGTGCATCGAGAGTGCTGGAGAGCTCGCGTTATACCACCCTCCACACATGAGTCACCTAATCTGGAAATCTTACTGGGATAATGATGTCGACAGGTTTCGCCGACTGTTGGCACCGGCAGGCTTCAATGCCCAGTCCGCAGCAAAACCCTCACGGTGAATTTCGCCCCTCTTCTGGAGGTAGTCCCGGAGGGCTCGGCACATCACCTCGTCCCAGTCCTAAACCGCGAAAAGGATCTGCCTACGGCTCAGGCGCTCCAGGGTCCAAGGGGAATCCATCTAGTGCTGCCGGAACGATCGGAAGGTCCGAAATAAATAGCCGTGACTATGCTGGCCTGACTCTACTCCTTCGCGCTGCCTCGTCGACCGCGCCGGACGCCATTTACTTTGTCGAGGCCCTATTGGACCACCCCGCGATAGACATCTACGCTCGCGACCATGAGAGTGGCTGGAACGCCCTTCATCGTGCTTTATACGTCGGAAACATATCTATCGCACGTCTTTTGCTCCAGGCCGAACAGCGCATCCTCACCGAGACCCTCAGCGGCTCGGTCAATAGCCGAGTCGGCGAGTTGATCAAGACGAAGGATCGCGAAGGAAACAGCCCTTTCGATCTCTATAACTCTACAATCGCCACAAGAGATGCAACTCAGGGTTCCTTCGATGATACTTCGGACACCGATTCTGTTGCCAGCGGCCCCGGTGAACCGCAGTTGTTAGTCTACCCTTTCTTGAACTCGGGTCCTTGTACGGAAAATCCTTGCTAATTCTTTTGTTTTTATAATTAGTGATGATGGCGTTCCTGGGTTAGGTCATGGTGTGCATTCCATTCCTGGGGATGAACTATACACCTTCGGCAGCAACAAGAACTTTTCGTTGGGTGTGGGGGACGAGAGCGACAGACAGTTCCCCGAGAAACTCACACTCAACCGGCCAGAAGAACTTGTTGAGCTGTTCCATCGTGACACATTCACTAAGAGCGGTCAGGGTATGACTGGCCAGAATCGGGAGGAAACTTGGGCAGTATCCCTACCCTAGTACGCGCACGCCCAATGCATATTCGAGATGTCGCGCTTTCAAAATTTCACAGCGCTGTTCTCACCACGGATGCCGTTTCGAATCTTTACGTATGCGGCGTTGGCCGAGGTGGCCGCCTTGGCCTTGGGGACGAGAACACCCGCTTCCGGTTCGTGCCCGTGCTGGGCGCCCTTGCGGGCAAACGCGTAACTCAGATTGCCTTGGGCCAGAATCACACTCTTGCGGTTGTGGACAACGGAGAACTGTGGTCGTGGGGTTCTAATTCTGTCTCACAGCTTGGTTATACGCTACCGACACCTGCGAAAGCGGATGAGGAGCCCGTGAGCCTGACTCCGCGTCAGGTATTCGGGCCTCTGAAGAAGGAAAATGTTGTGGGCATCGCTGCTTCTCCGGTACACTCCGTCGCCCATACAGCTACTTCTCTCTACTGCTGGGGCCGCAATCTTGGCCAGCTCGGCCTGATGGATGCCGACTCTCGATCGCTGGAAGTTCAGACAGCGCCCCGAAAAGTCGCCGCATCGCTAATCTCAACCCCGATCCTCATGGTATCGGCGGTTGAAAAGGCGACCACGGTTTTGCTTGCGAGCAATACCGTTTATGTCTTTACGAGTTACGGTTACAATCTGATCAAGTTCCCCGCGCCTGATATTTTCGCCAATACTCGGCTGGGCTCGGCCGCTCATTTCTCAAACGCCAACATCAATAAGATCAAGGCCATTACGTCTGGCGGCGACACCATTGCTGCCTTGAGCGGTCGTGGGGATCTGTTTCTCATGAACTTGAGCCATCAGGTTGATACCAACATGTCCGCCACCTCGACTACCAATCCTGCTAAAATAAAAAAGGGTGCCGTGTCACAGGCGCAGTGCATCTGGAGTGCGCGTAAGGACGGCGTGACCTCTGCCAGCATCGGGGAGCATGGCTCTGTAATTATATGCACCGAATCTGGCGCAGTCTGGCGACGAGTGAAACGGGCGAAGGCCAAAGATGCGAGCATGCCAGGCACGGCCGGCATCAAGAGAAAAGATTTCAAGTTCCAGAGAATTCCCGGCATCACCAACTCCGTTGCGGTCCGAAGTTCAACATTTGGCGCCTTTGCTACTGTCCGGAGAGACTGCACCTCCGTCGCAGAAAGAATCAAGATTGAGGATCAGACACTCTGGGAGAACCTGGCTAGTCTGTTCCCTCTGGCCGACTTTGAACCAAGTGCTCCTCGCGGCAACGGTGACGTGAAATTCTGGGACAAAGAAAAGGCGCACAATAGGATTACACACATTGCCTACGACGTACTCCGCTCTCCGGATCTAGAAGCCGACCTCGAATCATGCTTGAGGTTCCTACTAATGGGTGGCGGTAGCTTCGATGCCGTCGTCTACACATCGTCTGTGCCGCATATCAAGATCCCGGTCCATGGCTGGGTGCTTTCTGCGCGGAGCCCCGTCCTACGTAAGGCTCTCGCTCAATTCTCTGAAGGAGGAGAAGCGGAAATACCCGAGGTTCTATCGATCGGCCGTGATAGCGACGGCAAGACATCACTCGCATTCCTCGGCTTGGATATAATTACCCTGCTTAACCTTGTGGTGTATGTGTATCGTGATGAGGTTATTCCTGTCTGGAACTACCTCCGCCAAGTCCCTCAAATGGCGTTCCGATACCGCCAGGCCCGAGTAGAGCTAATGAAATTGGCATCCCGCCTGAACATGGCTAAGCTTGAGGCTGCTGCACGCACGCAATCGAGGATAGTCAAATCTCTAGATCGAGACTTTGCAGACGCTGTCAAGGATGCGGATTTTTAGAGAGCGGCGACGTTGTCATCGATCTCAGCGGCGCCGAAGTACCGGTACACAGCCAGCTCTTGTGCCAGCGATGTCCTTTCTTCTACGGTCTCTTCCAGGGCCGCTCTCGCGGACAATGGCTGGCCGGTCGCTTGGAGCAAGACGAGGACGAGGATAACAGAGTCCGTGTAGATTTGAGTCACATGGAGCCGAGGGCCTTTCGCTATGTTGTCACCCATCTCTATGGCGATGTTGGGCTCGAGCTATTTGATAATGTGGCGTGCGAGGATGGGGATGAGTTCTCTGACCTTGTCATGGAAGTCATGAGCATTGCCAACGAATTGATGCTCGACAGGCTGTCACAGATATGCCAGCAGGTCATTTCGAGGTTCGTCAACATTCGAAACATCTCTCTATTTTTGAACGAGATCAGCCCATGCTCCGTCACCGAGTTCAAAGATGCCGGTTTGGAATACGCTTGCCTGCATATGGAGGCAATGCTCGAGAACCATCTCCTCGACGACCTAGATGATGACCTCATGGAGGAGCTGGATAGCGCCGTCCGCGAGAACCAGTTAGCTCGGGCGCCGATATCGCGGAGCGGCAGGGCTGAGATGCTGTTGCATGAAAGGCACCCTGAGCTCGTGGAGGATATCGATGAAGAAAGGCGGCGGCGAACAAAGGAAATGGCGTGGCGGGCCACGCACCGCGAGGACGAGAAAAGCTATCTCTCTCGTACCGAGCAAAATACGGGAGCTTTGATGACGGTCTTTCTACGTCGCCGCTAGGCGATAGGTCACGGCGCAAGACCAAGGGACCAGCCCTAGATACCAAGAGTCCCAACTTGCGGGCGCAGCCTTCGTCGGGAGACATGATGTTTGGAATGGACGAGGAAGAAACCCTTTTGGATTGTCCCATGTCTCCTAGCCTGCGCCAGGGAGAAAGACGGGGGCCATCCGGAACGCTGCAGCACGCCGGGTCTGCCTCAGGGCTCAGGGATAAGGACAAGGTTAGCTTTCGGCCTCTCTCGCAAAGCCAAAGGCGCCAGCCCGCCGAGATCGCCGCCAGTCCTGGTCCTGCCAACACGCCTCCTCAACTTCCCGCGACACCGGCAAAAGAGACAGCCACGCAGGATGCCCCGCAAACCGACAGTAAAGGCGCGAGCCCCTGGGGAGCAGCTCCTCTCGACCGGCAAATTAGATCTACGTTCGATCTTGTCGGAATCCTCGGCCCCGAAGTCGTCTGGCATCGCCGCTGGATTGGCGGCGCAAAAGGGCAGAGAGGCTACTCAGAAGGGCACGCCAACTAAGCTATCCCAAAAGAACGGAAGAAACAACAGCAGATGGAAGCCTCCCAGCGCGCTGCGGCGGAACTTGCGGCCCAAGACCAGCCTAAGAAGGCCTGGGATCCTCAAGCTTCGGAGACGGCGGCTGTGCCGTGGAAGATTGCCGACACGAGGGGACCCAAAGTGTCACCGGGCAACGTGATATCAGCCACCCTCGCGAACAGGAGCCGAATACGCTACCGAGCGGCGCCGGGTCAGGCGCTAGCTCGGTGAATCGTCTATTGGCTGCGGAGGCTGCGGGTCCGCATGCGACGTCGCGCCGCACGGCGTCCCCTGATACTCGATTCTCGGGACAAGCACGAACGTCTACCTCCTCATCTAGGCCTGGGGCGCATGGCCCATCGACCTCGAAGGCGGCTCAGAAGCTACCCATTGCTCCCTACTCCAAGTCATACATCAAGCCGGCGCCCAAGGTGGAGGTCAGTTTGGGGTTCAGCCTCGAAGACATCATTGGGCAGCAGCAGCGGGAGCAAGAACTCGTAAAGGAGGCAGTCGCAAAGAGGCCGCTCGCCGACATACAACAGGAGCAAGCATTCCAAGAATGGTGGGATCAGGAAAGCCGACGGATGCAAGAGGAAGAAGCGAGGAGAGTTGGCAAGGAAAAGGAGAAGACGAAAGACAAGGGAAGCAAGCGTGGTGGTCGGAGAGGACGCGGAGGAAAGCCCAAGGACGGGAGCGCCGGCGGGGAAGGCTCGGGTGGCCCACCTAATGCCGGCGAAGTCGACGGTGGTTCGGGAAGGACTGGGGCTCCACAGCGTAATGGCAGAAGTACGGGAGGTCGCGGCCGGAGAGGGGCAAAGGCGGCGGGACAAGCGACCGTTTCGTGAGGCGACCATTTGACTTCCTTCCCCCTGGACCCCTTTTGGTAGTAGATTCACTTTCCAATCATCAGCATTTATGGGTTGTGATGAGCACACCCTTTTGCTATTTTCTTTTTTTCTTCTTGATTGGCGAATTTCTTTTGGTTTAGTTACTAGAATGGCTGGGGCCGTTGTCTGTTCTCTCGCTACGTAGCTTCTCACGAAAAAGGTCTTGGCGTTGGGGCACTCTGCGGGCTGGTTTGATACATGTACTGCTATATAGACCTAACTCTATTTGAAGGAAGAAGATCCTCCACTCAATGATCATGTCGGGATGTAAGTAGAATTCTTATTGATCACTTTTCTTAGTGCGGCCAAGCATCGATGTGTTTGTTTCCCTTGCTTTGGAGCAGTCTCAACGTAAGCCCGTGGCGGCGGCAAGTGGCACCATTGACCGCCAGCCTTGGTCACACTCAATCCGCTGTCACAGTGTCGTGATGCCACAGATGGACTTCATGACGAAATCTGTTGAACCGTTCGCCGGCCCAGGTTCTTTAGGACCGGCCGCGGAAGAGGAAATGTGAAAAGCAAGGCGATTGATGTTCGTATGCATCAAGTAAGCAATGAATTTAGATAGTGGATATTTTAGGGGTTTAAGCAGCGATTTCAAGGGCTGCAAGACACTCGGACACTAGACTAATAAGTGAGGCCGAATCTGATACGACAGCCGTCACCTTGCAAGGTGGGCATCATACATGGAGCACAAAAAAGCAACGAATGGAAAACACGACCTTGCCGAGATAGGGAAGCGCTGCCTGCCCGAACTAGCAAGTTTCCCACTTTGTGAAGGAAATGGGAGGGGGTGGAAGAGACAAATGGGGAAGAAAAAAAGAAAGGGCGAGAAAAAGAAAAGCCCGCTGGGCAAGGAGATATGACGAAATGAGCCAGGGGCAAAGCATGCGTTCTCTTCCCCGAGGGTACTAGTGATATTATTACTCGCTCCGTTGTGTGTCCAGGTGTTAGGTCGACATGGCCAAGGCAGATCACGAGGCTGGCCCGATTCGGAAGGGCGAGTCAAGAGGGCAGTGGTCAAGCGATGCTGATGATGATGAATCCGCTGATGAACAAGACGAGAGAAGAAAACACATCCTTGGATCAATTAAGTGAAGCGTCAGGGTGGCGAGAAAACTCTGGTTGCTACGAATAGATGGCATGCCGACAATTGGTTTATATCGCCGTAATGGTCATATCACTGTCCTGTAATGTTTGGCGGGGATGGGGGAATGACTTTTGGGAGATCATGCTTTGCTTGATGCAAAGTCAAGCTCAAAAGGGTGCGTGAGAATTGCTGGTCAGCAACGAAAAGTCTAGATGGGCCTATTCTTTTCAATCCCTACGTCCTGCGGACCCGTTGTGTCTGAAGAGTTTAAAGATACGGGGAACGTTTAGCGAAGGCCACTAGAAGAAGTCTACAGAAACATTCAATCAGAAGAGTGAGAAACTTGAGGGCTGGGCATCGCTGGCATGGTTTGGAGCTCCAGAAGGAGCCAATCCAACGGCACCAGAGGTCATCTTCCCGTAATCTCCTTGCTTGTCGAGTCGTGTGAGAAGTGTGTTGATTGGAAGGAGGGAAGCGCCGAAACGAGCCAGGTTTGGCTTCGTGACCATTTCTCGCGCCGTGTGAGCGAAACCGGAACCTCACCTGGTTTTATCTTTACTTGTGTTTGTTGGGCGATCGAGTGAGGCGATGCCCACCGACGGATGTACTTTGTCGAATGGACACTGCCCTCCTCCGGCTTGCGCCGGCGGGAAGGCCGCTGCCGTATGTCTCCGAATTAGGCGGGTCCTTATCGCCAAACCTCTCTGAGATGTGTTGCTCGGGCGAGGGGGAGGGGCCAAAGAAAGATAACAATCAACATTGTACTACAGGATGGAACCGTACTCTTGGGCCTCGCTCGTAGTAGTCCGGTGTTGCGAGCTGGGAGAGGATGACTAGGTTTTATCAAATATGCAATATCGAATGGTGTGAGCAACATTCCGTGTACGCTCGGCCAACGGGTTTGATTTCTTCAAGCTCACGAGACAGCAGAAGGTGATGGGGCTATTCTAGGTTCAGCTATGTCCCTGATCCCATGTCATGGAGTAGAAATTGACAAGTAAAGACCTAAGGCGGATCATCTTTCCGAATTTCCGCCAATGGCCTGGGTCAGCCCAGATCTCATTATTGATTAAGTGTTTGGCAAACGCTTCTTGGATGATGTTATCTGCCTTGTCAAGCTTGTATGCAAATTGACGACTCCGTGATGGATAGGATTGTACCTGGGAAACCTGCACGCTTCTTCCGGCCGGTTCAGGTTGACCGCCCCACCTCCCGAAAGGGAACGTTGAAGACCTACGTCACACGCGCGGATCCATCAGGCCAGCTCCAACAGCAGGAAGGAAAGCGGATCTGACCTGAGGTTAACTGGCCGCAAGGTTATGCTTAAGGCAAACCGAAAACTTGCCAATGCCTTCCCGACACCTGAGATCGGAATTGAGGCCTCTTGTTTTCCTTTTTATCGAGGTGGGAGGGAACCCGGCCTGTGGGCTGTGTACGAGCACCAGAGGGGAAGGAAGACATACTGAGCCCCTCTCCTTTGGAAAGGGCGTGACGGAGGGTGGTGGGAGATAAGGGCTCTGAATTAGATTGAATGGCTAGATTTATCGCATTGATCCATCCATCCAGGATTGATCTATCTTTGATTTGCCTCCAGCCTACTTGTAGTCTTTCGTCAAGTTTGCGCTGGACGAGTGTGCCCAAATCCCGGTCTCTGGTGCTGAGAAACAGCGATTGATACACAAGACAAGACGACAAGACGGGGAGAGTTGGGCCAGCTGACGGGATTGGGAAACAGACGGCCACGCCTTCGCACGGTACTGGCCACACTGTTGCTGGTGACTGTCGTGCTCCTGTGTCGCCCCGTTGTGATGAAGAAAACGACATCGACGAAATATGAATGTGCACGGTCAAATGGCCTTTCCCCATTCATTCCAACGATTCCATTCAAGCACGAGTCGACGCATCGCTCCTGCTCCACACTGTATTGCACACTTGACTTACGGAAGGCGTGCATGACAATACTCCACTGCCTCCCTCCGCCTAGCCAGTCACAGCAGGTCAATCAAGGCCGACCAAATCAGCCTCCATCAGTTGGCCTCCAAACAGTCCCCAACCACCCACCCCTGCTCGGCTCCAGCTTTTAGACCAAGCTGGGTTGGGGATGCTTGATCTCTCCACGACCAAGGTACACGATAGATCCATTGAATGGCATGGATGGATGTTTTTTGTGTTTGTTGGGGCATGGCTGGCCGACGATGATATTGTTTTCCAAAGGTAAAAGGGGCATTTTTTTCTTCTTTTTCTTTCAATCTCATCTTTCTAGTTGCCTTTTTCTTCTTTCTAGTTCCGTCTTTTAGACAAGAACCCTGATGAACTTTGCAAACTCTTGGTGGTTTGCAGTGTGCGAAACCCCACCCTTGCACGGTCCATTGAGGCCAAAACCAGCCAAAAGGGTCCCTTTCCAAGATCCGGGGCACCGTAGAGCATCGGCCTGGCAGCGTGTGGGAAGGGCCGTCCAAACCTCTAGGTCGATGGACTGTTTCAGCATCCACTGGATGACCACTCAGGCTGCCACTTGACACGCAGTGCAGTGCCGCACGGCCAGCACGTACAAAGTATTCCCCATTGCTCGTTGATCGAATCGGAACGGAACCGTCAAGCGAACCGGAGCCGGGAAGTAGAGGGTGGAAGAGAAGGGAAAGAAGCAAGAAGAGGAAAAAAGGAAAACGAGAAAAAGGTGAAAGAGAAAAAAGAAAAGAAAGAAAGAAACCTAGGTGCCTTGCTCACCGGACTTGAGGGGCTTTCCCCTCGCTCCAGGATCAATAGATCAATCATTGGTCTGGTCAGCCAGGCAGCACGGCTCAAGCACTTGGCCTGCGCTGGTGGTGAATTGAAAGAGAGCGCACAGCGCACAGCGCACAGCACGCAACAGGTCCACGAGGAGCAGCTGTTGGCATTGAGGTACAAGGACCATCTGCACTGGCCTGACTGGCCACTGAAATAGTACGGGTACGGTACCCACGCCCGCGTCGCCCACTCAGATCGATTGATCCATTTTGGATGGATGGACGCTTGCATGGATCACCCACCCCAAAAGCCAAAGGACCTGACCCTGCAACCTTCGAAGCCATTTTCCACCCTCCACCCGACATTTGCTTCTGCGTCCACCTCTCGCTGCCTATCATCCCCAATCTTGAACGCCCCAAAGAACAACCCGAACGAGCAGAATCCCGCCCTCCCCCAGTAGGCCGCCATGCCCTGAGCCTCCTCCACACCCTGCTTGCACTTTATCAACTTCATCTTCTCTTTCATCTCTACGACGCACCTCGGATCTCGTCGACCCTCCAGCCATCGACCTAGCCCTCCTCGCAAGGGTCTCAGCCTCGACACGCCCTGTGAGGTTCGAACCTTTCAACCTTGGTTTTACCTTTCTTTTTGGAGACGCCACCCAACATCGCTCTGGCTACCAAGACCCTCGGCGTCGTCCTTTTCTTTTTCTTCTTCTCTTTTCCTTCGTCTTTTGGAGAATGAGAATGGACGATCAGCTCAAGCGGCATAGCGACACCATCGCCTCTGAAGCTTGAGGGCCTCTGCTCTCTTGATTTCGGGCCCTCTCCACCCAGTAGAGACCCTCTTGACATCTTTTACCTTGACTCGGCCCCATTAACGAACCAGAACCTCCCTTATATACGGCCGTTGTTGCCATACCGCCTTGACTCGCACCCCGCGAAGTCACTACCGCCTTTTCTCGCTAACCCTCGCATCATCTCTCTTACCGCCATAATCAACCATGCACCAACATCCCCGTGCCCTCCACGGGGTGCCTCTCCGCCTCTTCCGCCCAGACGAATCCGACTAGAACCAACAACCCGAGGGATCCTGGAAATGCTCCCTCGCTCGCTCGGCCGGGCTCTTCTGCCTCTGGCCACACCCGGCGCGATTCCGTCGGCCACCCGATATCACCAGATGGCGCAAACTCTCGGCCGCCGCTCGAGTCGGTGAAGAAGCTGGATCAGATTCTACAGGTGTGCCCTTTGCCCCTTTGCGAGCAAATGCTGTTTCCTTCCTTGCCGGCCATGGGGCCATTCTGGCTTCGGGCCTTGGGCCTTGGGACAACCCCGCTAACAATATCCATTCTTGTGTCGCAGAATTTCTACCTCAAAGCAGCCGCGCTCATCCTCGAGTCTCGCATGTCGCTTCATTATACCTCGAGCTCTAAGATGAGCAAGTGGGTGCGTGCAACTGCCCCTCCCCTCCCGGACGAGCCCTTTTCAGACCCCCTCACTCTGAAGACGGAAAACATTTTCCCGTTCACTTTCCCTCGACTGGTAATACTGACAAAGTGCGCAGTTCCAAATAGAAACGCGGGATTTTGACGACTTTCGGGAAGAGTTGCGAATGTGGAAGACCTGTGGAAGTTTCGATAATCGGCCTCCTCCACTTATCATTGAAGTCTACCTCGACACCTCGGAACTTGCTACGAGCCAAAGCCTCGTCATCATAGACGAGCACGGGAAGAGGTGGGACGTGGCAGAGGCGCTTGCGAGCTCCGGCTCCTCGAGCTCCGAAAACCAGAGTGGTGGCCCAGCACGGAATACCGATATCATCCTCGAGCGATGGCGCATAGACCTCAAGACAAGCGCGTACGACAATGACGACTTTGCCCCCGTTCTCCCCACCATCTACAAGAAAGCCATCGTCTTTTTCCGCAGTCTTTACTTGGAGACGAGGATATCACCGTGCTTTCACTTTTCTCAACACGATAAGCAAAAGGACCTGTACCCCACTCTTCGGCCACGGTGCCGGATAAAAATGAGCGAGTCAGAACGTCGCGGCCCGGATCCCCTGAAGCATCCGCTCTACAACTCGAGCAAGCAAGTTTACGAGGAGTACGTGTTCGGCGATCTAGAGCTGCCCGTAGGCAGGCTCTACGCCTCTATTGCCTACCGCAAAGATCTTAACTTCCGCATCGACGACTCGGAAAAACTGTTAAGCTCTCGGTTCATGGGTGCCGACGAGAGTTTGTTCAAGCCTTCTTTACCGCAGTCGTTGGGAAATAGGCAGCATAGTGCTTTCCGAGAGATTGGTACGCAAGGAGGCACAAAGAGACCCCCTCTCCCAGCCCAAACCTACGGTAGCCTGTCGACATTCCACGGAGCCGGCCCGATCGGCACGAGCCCTATATCTGCGCTCAATGCTGTCCGCGCGCCGGGGTCGGATACAAGCTCGCCGCCCCAATCCCTTCCGACGAACCCTGAACCCGAGCCCCCACATTCCGTTCCCATAACCTCTGGGTTTGGAGCGGGGAACCGATTCTCTACTGCGCCTACGGGCGGGCACAACCCCGTCGACCCTCCATATCGTTCCAGGGTGGAAAGCACCCTTTCAAGGCGGGTTCCCTCTCAGCTTCCCCGTCCCCGCACCCACGACGGGGAGCCTCCGGGCTCTCCCCAATCGCTCTCTCGGGTTGCTGGCCTAGCCGCCCTAAGCCAGCCGAGGAATAGGAGCTCTTTGACGGCAGGAATGCCAGCATCCCTGCGTGGACCAGCAGTCCCCATCAGCTCCAGTCATGTCCAGAGCCCCGGGATACCCGATGCACTAGCCAGCTCCCGCGACCGGCGTCGACAAGCCGGTACAGCAGCAGCTTCACGCATAGGCGCGGAAGACTATCGTTTAGCGGGCCTAACAAGCCTCTTGATGATGACCAGCTTAGCAGCGGGCGTCAAAGCGTCTCGTCGTCTGTCATACAGCCAGGCTCAGGGCTGCTCGCGGATGCCGGAGCAGTGGCTAGCTCTGGGTCGTTTCAGACAGACGACGACAACATATCCGAGTTCCTCAAGGTGCTCGAGAACAAGAAGAACCTAAAGAGCTTTGAGTCGTCTAAGCGAGCCGAGTCAGCCACGAATCGCACGGTCGCTCAGCTATCTAGGTTCCACCTCATGAAGGAAGCCAACCACCAGTTGACCGAGTCGATGACATCGTCCTCGATACAGATGCAGCGGTCGTCGAGTACGTCTAGCAGGCAACTCACGAGCGTCCCCGGCATGGTTGCGCCGGCTTCTGTGTCAAGCTCAGACTCACCCGTCAAGCCTCTTTCACCGCATACACCGCACACGCCGGCGATCCCATCGCGTCTGAGTGAGAATTCCATCATCAGCTACCCGCGGGACCATCGAGGTGCCCATGAGGCCGCTGGCTCAACTCGGGATGCTGCCCCTGCGGAACCGTCACGCGAGTCAACCATTACCCAAGAGCGGGTTGCAGCCATTGACATTCCTCTCTCGCCGCGGGTGGGCCCGCATGCTCGACGACCGAGCTCGGTCGTGCAGGAGCCTAGGGCGATCTCAACGGACGATGACGATGCCGATATGCCATTTGCCCATCGCAGCATTAGTCTGGGTACGGACCGTGAGCCTCTCGCAGCTCTGAGCGCGTTACGAGGCATGCCATTGGGCGTCGAAGACGACGACGATGATGACGACGACGACGACGAACCTCGAACGGCTCCACGCGGTATCGGCACGGATGCGAGTGATGTGGTAGCAAGCCCGTCAGAAATGATGCCGCCTAGCTCGGGAGATGGAAAGTCCCCAAGCAGCCTCCTCCCCGCGTCCTCGAGCTCACCATTTGGGCGCCGTCGATACATGGGCATGGCGCATGCCATTGCGGGCCGAGGCCAGACGCCGCCGAACACGAGTCGCGGAAGCTACATGGGCGCTGGCGGCGTCAATCGGCATAGCCGGGTCGAGAATGATGACGACGAGCCTCTCCTCTTTGTCATGTCGGAGATGGATGCTCACTCGAGACGCAGTCTTGAGGAAGGACGCGGAGGTGGTGGTGCAGGCTCGGGACCGGGTGCTGATCGTAACGCTGCTCGGCGTGGGTGGTAAAATGAAGCCGTCATACACATCCCTCACGCACACGCGCGCGCCCACACCCACATGCAGAAAAAACACGCGCGGACAGTCAATATTATTTTCTATCCCCATGTTTTTTTACTTTTGGAAACTTGCGCCCGGGGATGCCCAGTCCCGGTAGTCTGGCTAGTAGTGCCAGTCGTATGATCGTATATTACGATATCTTGACTAGTCTGGCTTGCGACCCCGGTGAGCGATTGGGAATTACCTGCTAGAGCCAAGGCCTTGTAGTGCCGTTTCAGTTCGCCCTTCTCCCGGGTCGCATCTTTTTCTTTTCTCGAACCCCCATTTCGTTGGGCCCTCCCCCTTCTCCCGGGTCGCATCTTTTTCTTTTCTCGAACCCCCATTTCGTTGGGCCCTCCCCATCTTTCCATCACTCCGACTCGGGTGCGGGTCGAGAGGTTGAAGGGGAGCGGAATCTCTCGTCTCGTGAGTAGGTTCTATACTATATGATACAAGTAGATGTCACCCTAGGCTTTCCACTTTCCATTTCTTGCCCTCTTTCTACTTGTCCTTGATCATTTCTGGAGACATAGTTATATTTGGGATAAGAACTTTTGGCGAGCCAATGACCTACCTTTTGCTATTTTTCGTTTCCCCTTCTTTTCACTACGACTTTTTCTGCGGGAGACATTTTTGGTGGTGTTTACTGGGGCATTTTCTGGCGATGATCCAAAGGACATGAGAATAGGCTGTGAAAGTCGTTTTATACATGGATATTACATCGCTGTTATCGGGACTACATTTATACTTTTGAAGAAAAAGAAAAGATTGACCTTCTCTTGATTATTTCCCTATGAATGCCCAAGGTTTTCAATGTCGTCTGTGCTCTGGGGATATCCTTCGTTCCGGTGAAGTAGCTGGCAAGGGAGACTGACATCTGTTTGATCAATCGAGAAATCGAGGGAGTCGAGGCCGTCACGGCGTCCGAAGCCTTCGGTGTTAACTTCAGGCAGCACTGCACTGCGTTCATCAAAAGCCGCCCGCTTGGTATTGGTACAAGTACCTGCACTTGGGCTCCTGAACGTTGCCATATTGGATGAGTAAGCACCACTTGTCACTGTACCGTGCGAGACTCGATTGTGGCGTCTGTTGGTTGCTGGGGAACCAGAGGAGCCGTGCTCTGCGGTGCGACATGGAACATCAATTCGGTAGACTTGTGGTTCATCAGTGTGTTCGTTGGCATGTGTGAAGCGCATTCGATGATTCGGCTTCTTCTCTGCACAGACTCTATCTTTTATTTGTCCCTTGTGTGGAAGAGATCTCCTCACCCATCTCCCTCCGTTGTTGGTGCCTAATTGACGAGATTTGCCCCTCAATCGCCTTGGGAATTTTGTTGGAAAGTGCAAGGGGAAACAAAAAAATCACAACGGAATCCGGCAGTCTATAACTAAAGAGAGCCCGCCGTTGACACCCAAGCCAAGCTCTTCTGTCACTGTCGCTAGGGAACGAACGAGGGAAACTTTTCTACCCCACCATTTGGTTAAGCTCTCCTATTATTGATGAAGTCAGTTTGTGCCAACGTCAACACCAAACCAACCAACATCTCTTTGTCCCCCCTCCGCCCCCGCGCTCAACCTTGAAATTCCTTTTTCTTGCCACGCAAACGCTGGGAGCAAGTCGAAGAATTCTTTTCTCTTGAGCGCAGCGGATGATTGGGGAACTTAATAACATAACCATTTATTCCTAACACCGCCCAAAAACTTTAGGAAACCGGGCGGCCAATTTGCCTTTGCCACCGCGACACCCTCTCCTGCGACGACCGACCTCTCTTTCCGAAATCACCCACGAAACCGAAGAGGAGGAACGGCAAAAGGAACGAGGTCAAGCCGCTTGACAGCATGGTGAGAGAACAAGCGCCTGCCAAGGTGCCCCTCCGGCCGATTACGGCAAACGAAGACGCCAGGCGACCTGCAGAGACGACGAGCCATTCCCAGGGCGCGCCCAACACACCAAACAAGAGCACTGCTGCGAGTAGGCCGACCGCGACGACCGCCGCCACTTTGCCCTTTGACGAAGACTGGTTCGAAGACGGGAGATCGCCGGCTCACAGCCAGAGCCAAGGGCAGAACCTCTTGGACCGATTCAATGCGCTCAGCCTAGCCGGATCCCAATCCAAGTCGCAGGATGGATCGGCAGCTCCCGCAGACGCCTCCCTCGTCGAGATCTCCCCGCCGAAAGCCAGGGGCAATCTCCTCTCCTCGACCGGCACCGGCTCCAGCCAGGGCGCGAAGAACAACCCCTATGGCGGCGGCGCGGCACACAAGAATCTCTTTGGCTCTTCGTCGTCTTCTCAGGGCGGCAGGGGCAAGGCCGGGTCTTGGCGGCCCATGTCGTCGGCCCAGCAAAGGCCTACAATAGCGTCTTTGTCAAGCAAACTCGACGCCCTGAGCATCACCGGGACGACCGCTACCGCATCTCGGCCCCTACCGCGGCCAAAGCTGCGGATATCCCGGCGGCCGCGCCCAAGATGTTTAGCTCGGCGGACGCGTTTGAGACGAAGCCGTTTGGGCACTACGAGCCGGGCCAAGAGTTCTACACCGACCCGAAAAAGGCTGCGTCGGACCTGAAGGCGCTGCTGGAGGGTGGCATGGATGAGGAGGAAGAGGAGGAGGGGAGGCGGAGGGTGGAAAGGCGGTATTGGCGGCCCAGGTGGCGCAAGGCGGTGGGGGTGGAGAGGATAAGACGAAGCGGGAGGGCTCTGCTGGAGTGGAGGAGAAGAAGAGCAAGAAGATGCATGACGGAACGCTGGAGGGGCTAAACGTGAAGCTGCTTCCACATCAGGTCGAAGGTGTTGAGTGGATGAAGGGCCGCGAGCTTGGCCCCGTAAAGCGCGGCAAGGTGCCTCGGGGTGGCATCTTGGCGGACGACATGGGTCTTGGAAAGACGCTGCAGAGTATCTCACTCATACTAAGCAATCAAAAGCCGAACAAGGAAGATAAGAGTTGGAAGAAGTCGTATGCCGGCGTCGAGAAGACGACGTTGGTCGTCGCCCCCTGGCGCTGATCCGACAGTGGGAGGCGGAAATCAAGGAAAAGGTGGCCAAGACGCACCAGCTCAAGGTTTATGTTCACCACGGGCCGCAGAGGACGAAATCGCACAAGGAGCTCGCGCTCTACGACGTGGTGGTCACCACGTACCAGACGCTGGTGTCGGAGCACGGGCACTCGAGCAGCGCGGCGGACGGGCCTAAGGCCGGGTGTTTCGGGGTCAATTGGTGGCGTGTGATCCTGGACGAGGCGCACTCGATCAAAAACCGTAACGCCAAGGCGACCAAGGCGTGCTGCGCGCTGTCCACGGTCTTTCGGTGGTGCCTGACGGGTACGCCGATGCAGAACAACCTCGACGAGCTGCAGTCGCTCATCCACTTTTTGCGCATTCAGCCGTACGACGACCTCAAGGAGTGGCGCGACCATATCGACCAGCCCATGAAGAACGGCAAGGGTACCTCGCCATACGGCGGCTGCACTCGCTGCTGCGTTGCTTCATGAAGCGGCGCACCAAGGACATTCTCAAGGAGGAGGGCGCGCTGAACCCGGGGGCAAGCCGTCGGAGCCGGGCGAGGAATCCGCGACCGGGTTCAAGGTGACGGAACGCAAGGTGGTGGACATCACGGTCAGCTTTTCGCCGGCGGAGAAGAGGTTCTACGGCCGGTTGCAGGCGCGCGCGGACAAGAGCCTGGAGAGGATGCTCAAGGGGCGGGTCAACTACGCCAACGCGCTCGTGCTGCTGCTGCGGCTGCGGCAGGTGTGCAACCACCCGAAGCTGGTGGAGGGCAAGCTCGAAAAGGACCGGGATGCCCTCTCGACGGGGAGCGGTACCGGGGGCATCGGCAAGGAGGTGTCGCAGACGGCCATGGACGACTTGGCGGACCTGTTTGCGTCGGCGTCGATCCAGACCAAGTCGTGCGGGATCTGCGGGTACGAGCTCGGCCCGGTGGATTCCATGTCTGGGCGGGATACGTGCCAGGATTGCTACGATGACTTGGCGTACTTTAACGATGGGGAGGATGCGGCGGCGAAGAATAGTGGCAAGAGGAAGACGAAGCAAAAAGAAAAGGGAGGAAGCAAGGACAGAGGTGATGGGCGACGGAAGCAGACGGAGGCGAAGACGTTGCGCAGGCGCGGGGCTAGAAAGGTGATTGTGGACAGTGATGACGAAGACGAGGAGGAGGCGGATGGGAGTTGGCTTGTGCCCGAAGACCAGCGCGGCGCTCTCCGGCTGGGTAAAGCGGGTGGCGAGGAGGATGAGAACGCCGAAGGTGGTGGTGATTGGATAGGATCCGATGACTCGATCCACAAATCGGAGGCGGAGGAGGAGGGGAGCCAGCTCGATAGCTTCATCGTGCCGGACCACCAGGTGCCCAAGGACTCTTCATCGGTGCTTGCGGCTTACAAGACTGATGATGATGATGATGATGACGACGACGACAGTTTCCCGTCCGTGCAGGAATTGTGCTCGCAGCGCTCCCAGTCTCGGACCGTAAAGGGTGACGAGACGGGATCGATCCACGAGAGCAGTTCCGGGAGTGAAGACGACGATGACACGGACTCGGATGCGGAGTCGGTCGATACGGGGATCGACGAGGCGGACATTGCCAGCGGCAGCGACGACGACGAGCCGTCAATTCTTCGCGCGCCCAGACGAAAGGGCGGGACCAGCCAGCAGGTGCTCGCGTCGGCCAAGATCCGGCGGCTGGTCAAGATTCTGCACAAGGAGGTGCACGAGCACAAGTTTATCGTGTTTTCGCAATTCACGTCCATGCTGGACCTGGTGGAGCCGTTTTTCGAAAAGGAAGGGTTCAAGTATACGCGGTACGACGGGGGCATGAAGAATGACGAGCGCGAGGAGAGCCTGCACAGGTTGCGAAACGACAAGAATACACGGATTCTGCTGTGTAGCTTGAAGTGCGGGTCTCTGGGCTTGAACTTGACGGCTGCGACGCGCGTGGTGATTCTCGAACCGTTTTGGAATCCGGTATGTTCTTTTCAGCCCCTCTCTATTTTTTTCAACTTTGCTAACCATTGGGCCCCTACATAGTTTATCGAGGAGCAAGCCATTGACCGGGTACATCGCCTCACGCAAAAGATTGACGTAGTCGTCTACAAGCTCACGGTCGGAGGTACCGTGGAGGAGCGCATCCTGCAGCTGCAGCAGAAGAAGAGGCTGTTGGCCGAGCAGGCGATCGAAGGCGGCATGAAGAAGGGGCCTTCAAGCTGGGCATCAAGGAGATGCTTGACCTGTTCAAGCACGAGGGCAGCGCGGACTACGTTGGTACGTATGAGCAAGGCCCCGGAGACGAGGATGCTGCTGGAGGCAACGGTGGTGTGCTGGCATCGCGAAACGTGGATAGGCGGTCGCAGATGAAGAGGCAGGAAAGCGACTTGTTTGGACGACGGTGGTAGCACTAACAAAGGGGAGAAGAAGGCAGAAGATGGGAGAAGGGCTTTGATGAATGTGACGCATGATTTGCATTAAACGGCTTTGGGATATGCATTACTACTTTGGTTTTCGGTGGGAGGGGGTGATCCTGGAGGTTTCTTTTCCAGGCCTTTTGTTTTTTTCCTTTTCCTATTTCCTGTTTTCCTACTTTATGGTTCTTGTAAAAATAAGGTTGAAGTAGATAGAGCATGACATGAATTTCGGCCTGCTGCAAGAGGGCCTATTTCTTCGTGATTTGGGGAATCTCCTTTGGCTTGCTTGTTATTTTCCTCTGATGTAATTGTCCATTCCTTCTTGAGAGCGTGTCTTCCCCTAAGGACCCAAGGACACAGAGAGGCCGAGAAAGCCGAGTCGAGAATGGACGTCTTTTCTCGGAGTGTGCATGATATATGCCTCTTTCGCTCTGCGGATCTCATTCTCTTGTCTCTCTCCCAAAAGGGCTTGGCTCACTCACAAAGGAAAAGAACAAAAAACGTGGAGGTGGCCCAAGCTTCCCCAGGAACCTTCAATTTCGGCACAAGCGCCCATGCACGCGGGCAGCACATGAAGAAGAAGGGGTCTGACATGGGATTTCGCGGTGACGTCGCAAGCCAGGAACCAAAAAGCTGCCTCGGTGTCTTTAGGAACCCGACCAGACCTCAATTTGCCCTCCTCCCTCCCCCGACCGCCAATTCGCATCCCCCACAATCCCTGCTTGTCTGTCAACCACTTGTTTCTCTTCGACTGGAACCGCATCGACTGTTGCGTATACTAAATAGCTTTATATCTCGACAGCTGGCTGTCGAACTCCGCTTGCGCCGCTCTCTCCCTTCCACCCACCGCCTCTCGACCCTCTCAACAACGCGCTCCTCCCTCGACCAATTCCCACACACATTACCGCGAAGATGGCGCCCTTGCTCCCGCGCATGCACGTCTTTGAGATTGACGACCAGTCCTGGTATGATACCGGCCCATAACCACCCTTCCCTACCCCGTGGCCAACGCGCAAGCAAAACAAGCGAGGGGCGGAAAGAGCTTCATTCCCCTTTCGTCCCCCACAACAAGAAAGCGCTCGCTAACACCCACTCTCTCTCTCTCTTTCTTCTCTCGCCACGCAGGTTCCCCCTTTCTCCGCGCCCACGTCCAAAACGCCCTCTCCATCGTCTGGACCACCGCCCTCCCCCTCTCCTCCTCCCCCGCCACCCTCGCCGCCCGCATCCTACAGCACCACCTCCCCGCCTACGCCTCCCACACCTACATCGACTTCTGCGCCGGCGGCGGCGGGCCCACCCCCGAGATCGAGCGCGTCCTCAACGCCGGCCTGCGCCGCCGCCGCGTCGGCGACGCCACCTTTGTCATGACCGATCTGCACCCCAACGTCGAGAGCTGGCGCCGCTGCTGCGCGGGGCGGCCCTCCTCGCGTTCGAGCCCCGCAGCGTCGATGCCCGCGACGGCGGCGACGTCGTCCGCAAGTGGGTGGACAAGGGCCGCGCCGAGGGGAGGTGGCCCGTCGGTGCCCCGGGCGCCCGTGACGGCGCGAGGGTCTGCCGGTTGTTCAACTTGGCTTTTCACCACTTTGACGACGCGTTGGCCGGCGATATCGTCAAGGATACCGTCGAAACGAGCCACGCTTTTGCGTACGTTGCATTGTTCTTCTCGTCGCTCCCTTTTTTTCCTTGTCTCTCGCATCCTGCTAACCGCGCAAGGGACCCTCCCGACTACAGAATCTTTGAGCTTCAGGATCGCCACTTCATCTCCTTTATCCCAACTCTCCTTCTCTTCCCCGCCACACTCCTCCTCGCCCCTCTCTACGCCTTACGCCAACGCTCCCTCTCTGCCCTCCTCTTCACCTACCTCATTCCCATCATCCCCTTCGTCCTCGTCTTCGATGGCTGGATGTCTGGTCTGAGGACCCGCACTCCCGACGAAGTCGAGGCCATGCTCCGGAGACATGGGGGCCCCGAAGCGGCCAACTGGACGGTCAAGAGCGGGAGAGAAATGCATCTCTGGCCTTGCGGGTACGTAAACTGGATAATATGTTACAAGGAATAATGCAAAGGATAATGCATCGGTGAATACATGTAGAGAGGCTTGCAGAGCCTCAAGTGGGGCCAAGTCTAGACTCGTTCCAGGGGTTTTTAGAGAAGAGATGCTCCTGTCACCAAGTTATGCGGGAATGAAAAAGGGCAAGAGATGCCCCGGTAGTATCTTGAGAATAATTTTCTTTTTGAAAAGACTTCAGTCGAGCTCTTAATGCTCTCCCGAGATAAGGGAAAAGATAAAATAAAAATGCCCTAAGCTAAATCCCAGCTTTCCGTATAATGCAGCGCAGGTGGATCCCGCGTTCAAATGTGTTCCTTGATTCCCGACCTTTAAGACTTGTAATAACAGAACAAAGGGTGTAAGGTTAGAGAGAGATAAAGAGAGAGAGAAAAGGGGGAAGCATCAAAGCGTAGAAGCGTTTGAGAGACGTCCCTAGATGGAGGGAGAGAGAGAGAGAGAGAGAGAGAGAGACAGAGAGATTAAACTGGCATCAGGGGGTAGTAAAACAAACAGATCAAAGAAACGCCTGAAACGATGTTGAATTTTCTTTTGGTTTCTCCGCGCAACCGACCCTCAACCAAGGGGCAGGGTCACGGTCACGGTCAGGGCCAGGACCATTCTGCGAGGCACTTCGCCAGCGCTGTCCTTCTCCACGAGACGCAATTCTCGGCCAGTTTATACGGCAACCTGAGGAGCGGCACCAATGGCCTCCTCAGTGGCTTCACTCTCGTACTTGGTGAAGTTCTCCTTGAAGAGCTTGGCGAGCTTGCCAACCTCCTCGTGGAACTTCTCGTCGGTCGAGGTCCAGGCCTTCTGGGGGTGGAGGAGTTCCGCGGGGACGCCGGGGCACGACTTGGGCACCTGGAGGTTGAAGACGTCGTAGTTCTCGTACTCGACGTTGTTGAGCTCACCAGAGTGGATGGCGTCAAGGATGGCACGGGTGTACTTGAGGGGGCAACGCTTGCCACCCTGGGTGTAGCCGGCACCGACCCAACCAGTGTTGAGGAGCCAGGCGTTGGCCTGGTGCTTCTCGATCTTGTCAGCGAGCATGCGGGCGTAGCGCATGGGGTGAAGGGCGAGGAAGGGCTGGCCGAAGCAGGCAGAGAAGGTAGCCTGAGGTTCCGTTACACCGTCCTCAGTACCGGCCATCTTGGAGGTGTAGCCCGAGATGAAGTGGAACATGGTCTGACCGCGGTCGAGCTTGGAGATGGCAGGAGCACACCACGGGCGTCGCAGGTGAGGAGGATAATGTTGGTGGGGTGGCCCTCGGAGACGCAAGGAATCTTGGCGTTGGGGATGTACTCAATGGGGTAAGCACACCTAGTGTTCTCGGTAAGGGTGGCATCATCGTAGTCGACTACACGGGTCTCGGGGTCGAAGACAACGTTCTCGAGGACGGAACCGAAGCGGATGGCGTTGTAGATATCGGGCTCCTTTTCATGAGAGAGGCCGATGCACTTGGCGTAGCAGCCGCCCTCGATGTTGAAGACACCAGTGTCGGACCAGCAGTGCTCATCGTCACCAATCAGGCGACGCTGGGGATCGGCGGAGAGAGTCGTCTTGCCGGTACCGGAGAGACCGAAGAAGAGGGTGACCTCTCCCTTGTCGCTCTCGTTGGCGGACGAGTGGAGGGTGAGAACGTTGTGCTTGACGGGCATTTCGTAGAAGAGGACGGTGAAGATACCCTTCTTCATCTCGCCAGCATACTCGGTACCGAGGATGACCATCTCCTTCTCAGCGAAGTTGATAGCCACCGAGGTGCCCGAGGTCATACCCGAAGTGTAACGGTTGGCGGGGAACTTGCCAGCGTTGTAGATGGTGTAGTCGGGGGTGAAGTGCTCGAGCTCCTCACGGGGAGGCCTGATAAGCATGTTCCTCATGAAGAGAGCGTGGTAGGCGCGGGCGCACACAACGCGCACCCGGATCCTGTACTTCATCCCATCCCGCATAGCCGTCAATGACGTAGATGCGGTTACGGGTGTTGAGGTAGTCAACGGCACGTTCGCGGTTGATTTTCCAGACCTAACGGAGGTTATGCCGATTAGTTTCTGGCCATTCTGAAAAAAAGAAAAAAAAAGAAAGAAAAAAGAGGTAGCTGAAATAAAAGGAACAAGAAAAGAGGCTCATTGTGCAGTTCCCCGTTCGGTTCCCCTATGCCATTCCCCTATGCCATCCCTCATTGCATGTTGTCTCAATTGACCTGATCGCGGAGATATCATGTGAGGTGGCCGCACTCGCGGGGAATCGGGTCTTGGCAAACTCGGGCGGACCGAGTGTGCTGTGACACCAAGGTGGCCGAAACCACCGGAGCAAATCGGGTACTGATTTGGGAAAAATGCAGGGTCCAAGCACTGGATTGGCGGGTGACTCGGGGAGGCCTTCGGCTAACCCTCGTTCGCAGCTCGGATGACTGTACCCGACTCTACCCCACATCCCATCCTCGGCTCAAGGCTAGGTTTTGGGCCTCCCACTTCGTCCATTGCAAGGTGGGGCCGATTGAATGACGACAAACAACCTGCGCTTTTCTCCCCGCTCTTTGAAAAGCTGAAAAGAAAAGCCAAGGGGAAAAGGAACGGGGAAATCAAGTGCGCCGGTTTTCAGGCAGCTTGAGACGAATGCGTAAGATGGGGGATATGGGCGCAGGGTAGGAAAAGCCAGGGTCTTGCCGTCGTGCTAAGTACAAATGTACAATGACGCAGGCAGAGCCGATGACAAGCGAAGGAGGGAAGGAGGCAGAAGCGAAAGCACTAGGGAAAGCGCCAAAGACAACTGAGACAGCTCAACCACATTGGGCAGAGCAAATAATTAGAACACCAATTGAGAAAGTACGACTTACATCAGGGCTCATGGGCTTGTTGACAGGTCCCCACCAAACATCGTTCTCGGTCTGGGGTTCTTTGACGACACGCTTATCAGAGGGTGACCTGCCAGTTTTCGCACCGGAGTAAGCGGTGAGAGCACCGGAAGATGTGATGGCGGTTCCAGTCTCGTAGACGAGAGCGTCTTCGTAGAGAGCGGCTACTGAGGGGTTGGCAATCTATAGGCAAGGAGACAAGAATGCAAGCGTTAGTCCTCTGTTTTGCGTTTCCCGGAACCACCTGGGGAAGGGAAGGGTGTGCGGTGCGCATGACTTACAATCGAAACTCGGGAGTAGTCGATGTGCGCCGTCTCATAAAGAGACTCTTCAACTTCCGTAACTTCGTGCTCTCCATGGTCCTTGTCGAAGTTGGGCCTGTGGAAATCCTTCGATTAGCAGCCGTCGCCCGACCAAGGCAAGAAGGAGAGGGCAGAGAACTTACTGGACACCCGCGGGGTGAAGGGGGTTTTGTTTACGTTCATATTGGGGATCACTGCCGGGTAGGGCTTCCGTGTTAGCAAGTTCGCCATGATGGGTAGGTAGTGTGTTGGGGTTGGATTCTCAAAGGTGAATATAAGGGAAAGTCGGTGGGCAGGAGGGGCAGGTTGGAATAAGATGGTAGCTAACTTGATGTGTGCGTGGAGGGAACTCAAGCGCGTTTTGGTGGCTTCAGATGGGAGAAGATGGGTTTTAAAGAGGCGGTCGTGTGAGGCGGTCTAAGGGTCTCCAAAGGGGCAACTAACTTTTGTAAAGATCGTGTTGATGACCTGATGATAAGATTTGAGCTCTTGGTCCTTTGACTGAAGGATCAATGTAAGGAGACTCGCTTCTCTGGATGGGGATCATTGCCTTTATGAAGGTTTTCCCAAAATCTATTCTTCTTTTCCACGACAAGCCAGACCTTGGTACTACTCGGCTCGGGAATCCCACTCGAGCTCCTGATAGGTGATGCGATCGAGACTGGCTCCGGAGGGCGTGCGTGTAGCGGCAAGGAACGTACGAATTTGGCCCTGTTCCGCTGATTGAGGCGTAGTATCGCTAGCGTAGACGTGCGATGGCGGGATGTTGTCGACGAGCTCGGCCGTCGTATCTGGTACTCAAAGGTACACGGATGAAGGAAACTGTCTAAGTGAGGGTCGTGTGTCCGTTTACTCCCTTGGACCGTCCCTTGGTTCGCACTTTCTGCGCCTGTGGTTGGTCAGTCATGCTCCGTCACGTTCCTAACCTGTCCGGCCATGGCGGGGTGAAAACGGGGGAGGGGGAAGGGATTGAAGGGCAGGGGTGTGGGGTGTGGGTGTGGATTGATTTCAGAGGGGCGTCTTGGCTGGGGCTGCGCCGGTGCTGGTTGGGCTACCCTGTAGCATATCATTTGCTGCCGTTTCGGGGAACCAGCTGTCGCTGGGACGCTGGGGCTCTGCGTGCTCCACTTGGCGTCGACGCGAACGAAAGTTTTCGGGGAGATTGGGAAGCGAGGGAGAATGAATTTGCAAAAAGAACGGCACTCGAAGAATATGGAAAATAAACAAGAGAAGAATGAAAAGAAAAGAAAAAAAAAAAAAAGAGAGACAAAATCGAGGAGAAGGGCCATACGGTGCGACGACAGACACCTAACAAGATATGGGGAGTTGGGAATGGAATGACCGCCAAGTGGACTGTGGTGTGGAAGACTACAACTAGTGTAGTGCAGACCAAGCATCAGACCCCTCCTGTTCTGGCTGCGGCTTTGCTGTAGGTGAGGGGCAGGTTTGAGTTATCGATAACAAGCGAAAGTGGGCTACCAGACCGTATCCAATAACGTACTGTGTGATGGGGGTAAACGGGGAACTTTTTTCGGTTCTTCTTCTCTTTGCTCTTGCGTTTTCTTCTTCTTGGGCGTTCGTGCTCTTGCTTGCGTTTGGCGGAATACCGTTAAGCCGGAAGTGCTCTCAACTGTGGGTGTTTTCGGGTTAGAGGATGGGTCTTTGGAAGTCGTTGCAAGAGGGTCCCTCCCTCCCTAGGCAGGTTCAGGCCGAGGATATAAAGGCTCGGTTTTTTTCTCGTTTGCCAAGGTTCCCATGTTGACGCCGGTATTACGACGTCTTGGGGCTCGCCGGTGGAGGCGTGACTCTGTACTTGGCTCTTTCCGGATGGCAAAAGACCTGTGCGGCCCAGATCGAGCCACACCCGGATCGGTACTCACGATATTATCCCGGGGACGGACGAGATGAGGAAATGGACCTCGAGCGGCGCGCTGTGGGTGCCCTCTCAATAGGCCTCGGACGTGAAGACGAAATGTACCTTCAAGTCGTTTTATTGGTTTGCCGATACCTAACACGGACGGCGACGGCAAAAGGGATCTCATATTTCACTTTGATCGGGGTTCCATCGTGTCAAAGAACCATTGCATTCGACCGTCATTGAATAGTTCCAACCCTGAAAACGAGCTACCTATTCTTGCGACTGTACACGTCTTACGTCTATCCCACCATCTTTCCGGTGGCTGGCCATCAATATTTCGACGGTCTTTCGTAAGGTCGCTGAACACCCACCCAAAACCCCTTGGTCTACCTTGAAGTTGACACACACACACACCCGCCACTTATGACGGCCGCGCCAGAGTACTTATCGATCATCGGTTGGGAACTTTGGTTCACGAAAAAGGTCGATCTCAAATCAATAGATCTCTTCAGTGTTCTCCTGAATATGATGGCATCAACGGCTCTACGAGTTCCTCCTGCACCCGGAATTCCCCGAGACAATCCAAGGGTTTCGTATCTTTTGGATCTTCTTCATCATGGCGGGGTTCATTTTCTAACCGGGCAAAAGGTACCGTTGTAGGCGTCTCCAAGCTTCTCGAAGGAGACGACGGAACCTTGCGTAATCGTAATCTTGCTAGCCACCGTCGTTTTAGGGGCTTCCTTTTTCTATGCCGTTCCTTCCGTTTCTTCCCTTGCCTTGTTTTTCTTTTTACTCTCGTTTTCTTTTTACTTTCGCCTAGTGACAGGGATCAAGTCTCCACTGCCGAGCGGACAAGGTGCGGGGCAGCCGACGGGCAGGTTGACAATCAACAAAGATCGAGGTTGCCTGCTATCTTTCCCTTTTCGAGCTTGCCGAATTGATAGACGGTGATGAGAATGCCTAGCTAGAAAACGAAGCTACAAGGAGGCATCAAGCGAAGAATGGACTGAAGGAAAGGAAGATAAATCAGATTAACAGGAATCAAAACGAGAATGGGAGCGTTTTGAACCTCAACTCCAGTCCATCAAGACAGCGGCCAGCAGAGAAGATTGCTGGGCCCATCAAGCGGCTGCTCGAGCGGCTGTCCAGGGGCTAAAGAGAGTTTGCGCGATACATAGTATGTGGGCAGTTGAATCACCCCAGATTCTCCCTGGCTCGCCACTTCACAAGCAAAGTAGTCGGTGCACCAAATCGGTACTTGACTCCGGGTTTGCGGGACTGCCGTTCGGTTACTATCTTGACCACCCAGCCACCAACGATTTGTGGCCGACCGTCACTCTCAGTATCGCAACGTTTTGTTGTGCTCAGCATGCAGCCGTGCGAACAAGCTAGCCTTTCCAAGCCAATAACCACGGACTACGTAGATGTGGTTTGTTAGCCGTTAGCTGCGCTGAGCTTGTACCAGCCAAAATGAGAGTCACGATACTACCCTCGGCTTCACATCTCTCAACCGTCCGTCGCGTGCCCTCTCCAGGGCGCCAAAGAAAGTAGTCAAACCCGAGCGGCCCCAACAAATCAGGCATGGCCCAATGCACAGAAAAACCCCGAGTTTCAGAGATGACTCCTCGAGGAAGAAAGATATGAACCACCCTAGACATGCCCTGACGCATGTCCACTTGTTGGAAGGCGCAAATGAATTCCCGGCATGTTGATCACGCTGGACGTGTCAGCCCGCCTGGTGAGGGAGCTTGTTAGGGCTGATCTCAGCCCGAGTGGACTGGACGGCAACTCGCCCGTATTCAGCAATCAGGTGCCCAGCGGCCTGGGCGCCTCAATTGACCTAGGATCGATGGATGGATGCCTTCCAGGTTGGCTTCCACAGGAAGCTACTAACCCTAATTGGCCCTAGAAAATCCGGGGAGCCCCTTCTCATCGAATTTTAGTGACAGACGCAACACAAGACAGGGGAAGAAGTCTTTGCCATGCCAGATTAATGACGGGAGAAAGCAATTGATCAATCAGTGGATACGAGTCACTGGGCCAGTCGGGACAGGTCCCCTCTGGGCAAATGCAAGTGAGCATGCCTTGCTTCTCCACCGCCATACAACAAAAATATGATGCGTTTCCAAGAGCGATACCCAGGTCTTCTTTTCGACGGGACTCAACCTGATACATTTTCGAGTCCCAGTTCGATTCGATTCTCTTCTTTCTCTTGGGGCAACCAGAATGTCCACACGCCTCCCAGGTCCACATGCGAGCTGCCCTTACCCACAGCAATAGATGACTCCTTTCAGCAGGGAAGTTGCGATATTGAACCTGTTTCTTGGTAAAAGGGCTAGAGGGACCTTCCTAGCGACCAAGGAGATGATGTATCTCCACGTGATAATATGGGACCAAGGCCTGAAGCTCCACCGAAGCGGGCCCCGCCGTCAATGCCTGACCCACCGAAGAACAAGATTCCGCCCCTCATTGACGGTTGGCCCCTCCATGCTCGGCCTAGTATCTTGTTTCGCGCCTCAGTCACCCCTTCCTTCTCTCCGCAGACCTAAACATGCGTTCCGACATTTACCGACAATTAGGGACCTCACACCCGAGATGTCGAATTGGGGGAGAATATTGACCCGAAGTTTGTTCCCAGGTACATCCGACGGTGCGGTGCTTCGGCGCAAGAGAAAGCCAGCTCGGGAGTTCAACTCGGTGCTTCGACTGGGAACCCCGGGCCGGCAAGCTCCCTGAAACCGCGACGGGCTCGTCAAGGAAGTGCAGAAGCGTAAGCAGGCTGTTGCTTCGGCACCTCACGGAAAAGATGCGAGGCCTTTTTTTTTTCTCTCTTTCTGCCTCTTGTCTTGGATCGGTCGGTGAAAACTGACGTAACTGAGGTGTCGCTGGTCATTCCCTCAACGCTTCAGCAGCAATGCCCAAGCCAGTCCGTAACCAAAGATACCTTGCCTCCAGGCTCTGCGCCACCAGCATGTGACTTCCTCTCAGGGTTCTACGCCCAGACCAGCAAGCCCATTTCCCGGCGTACCCCTTGCGTACCCGAGAGTGACTTACACCACGGGACCTATGTGTCCCTGGAGACATCCTTGGGTGGATAGGATTGGAGACAGCTTCACTCTCAAGCCTACCCGGTTCGTACTCCGCCATCACCAAGGACGAAGCAAAATTCAAGGTCAGCAGGCTTCAATTTTTTTCCTTCTTCAATTCTCCTTTTGGGCGCTTCTCTTAGGCCCGACTGGTATCCAATTTCCTTCTCGCAACCCCGGATCCCAAGTTATTTTTGCACCTTCACGTGGGCCTTGACTCACGGACTAGTTTGGGTGACTAGCGTACTAGCAAAAGCAACCCCATGTAAGAGGAAGGAGCGGACACGCCGCTAAACCCTCCCACCGACCAGCTCCGGGCCAAACATCGTGAAACCCGTGGGACCGGGGGAAGCAGAAGATGAGCAGTCTCCTCCACCCAGGATCCGCGAAAACTGGTATCGTGTACTTGTCATTGACAGAGGAGGGGAAATTTTTTTCTTTTTAGATACGTGGGCGACGGTAACCGAATCAAGACATTGCCTCGCCTCCCATCCCCCTTTTCTCACCCATCCAGTGACGATCTATCTACACGCCCCCTTGACCAGCCTCGAACCCACAACCATCACGCAAGCGTGGAAGTGGAAGGGGCAAACCGACGATGCAAAAATGGTCGGAAATGACCTAGGATTGGGCGAGGAAAAAATGGAAAAGAAGGCAAGACATAAATAAACCTGCCAAAAAAGAAACAGAAAAAAAGAAAAAAAAAGAAAAAAGAGGAAGAGTATCCCAGTAAGAGCAGGTCCTTCCCTTGACGTCCGCTCCGACCTGCTCCGGTCAATCTGCGACCGCACGTCCCCGTGGCACACCGACTCAAACAATGTTCCTATCGTGAACATCCTCCTCCGTTGATTCCCGAAACCCTTTCGGGGCTGTAATCAATGGCAGATCGATTGATGAAGAAGTCGGATTTTCCGCGCTGTATCTTGAGCGGCCGCCCGTCGACTGCCTCCCTTTGATTGTGGTTCTTCCGGGATATTATCGTGAGGCCGCTCCCCACAAACAGGACGAACACTCAAGCCCTAGTGGAAAAGCTAACCTCCCCGCCCGAAATCTTAGATTTGATGCTTCCGGACGCGAAAGAAATCTGGGGAATACGTTGCCTTCACTTGAGTTTTTCTTTTCCCTGTCCCTTTTTCCCGTCCAGAGGAGCTAGCTAGTAAATAGTGACTTGCGTCTCCATCTTGAGGGGGATAGGGGAGGGGTGTGACCCGCGGCAACGGATGGATGGGCAAAGAGACGTGGGGCCCGCCCTCGCAAGGAAAACTCTGAACGTGTTTGAACTTGGTGAAGGACTCTGTCCAATCGGGTACGTTCTTGGGCGGGTCGAGACGTCGTTTCTCGCTGCCTCGAAACACTTCTACAGATTGACTTGTAGAAGACAAGGTCAAGACTTGTCACTCTACTATCTCGGTACCCAGCGTTTGGTATCAGTTATCAAGACGGATCCGGCTTGAGAAAGGGATAGAAGATAGCGCGTTTCTATTGAACTGCCGTTTTGCGGGAACTCCCTACTGCTTCACGATAGAGAAGATACTGTCAAGGCAGTGGAACGGGAACCTTGACGCAAGAAAATCTTGGCCAAATGCTCCCTCCGTCTTGTAGCCTCCCGAAACATATCAGAGCTGTCACTTTTGACGCAGCCCTTGCCCCGTCCCGTCCCTACAATCTCATCCAAGGCTTGCCTTCGGGGATGGAGGGATATATTCATCAAGTTTCAGTCATTTCTTTTCTACCATCTTCTCGCTTTTTGACGACTAACAGTGACTGGCCCACCGGGCGGAGCTTACGCGCCTGCGTGATAGCAGCTTACATGTGCGTGCTCGGGGAACACTACAGACCCTTTCTCTTCACTAGCAATGGACTGCACGCTACCTTCCTTCCCTCAGTGACCTCGATACGTCTTGGCGGGCCCTCTCCAGCTTGCACGCCCCCCTTAACCGTAAGCCAGCCACTTCCTGTTGTGTTGAAGGTGGGTCTACGGATTCTTCCGTATCAGCTTCACCCTCTTCCGAAGAGCTGCGGCCCGGCGTACCACAGTTCTCAAGACTTACTCAATCTTACCCTCCTTAGACCGAATCCGTAATAAGCTTGGTGATCTTGCCAATCGCGATCGTTTGTCCCTGGATGACCCCATATTAGTTACAAGTTTCATATCCCAGAAAGGGTGGGCGGCGGATATGGTGGTAAAGTGTTATGGTAAGCCGGAAAGGGTAGGGGCTTCTTTTTTTGTTCTTTCCGGGGATCGCTTTCTAGTAATCCCGGACGGGACATATAGCCCTATGGATGGCGGGTGTGACATACCTGATCTCTCAGTGTGAAGCGGCCCATTTGGGGGTAGTCTTCGAAACGTTCGACACAGACGCTTCCCGCACCACCGATGACTTGCATCCTCGCAATGATGCTGTCACCCTTCTTTGCATGCGTAGGAGGAAGCTTGCTCTTTCTGTTCGTTCCCTTCTGTAGCTTATGGAGCAAGGTTGCGAAGGTGACTTCCTCAATAGCAGCGTGTACGTGCAGAACGCAGTTGAAACCGGCGGTAAGGATGCTCTTAAGATCGAGAATGCGAATCTGGGCCTCGAACTCTTGGACATTGTGTACCAGTCGCTTAGGCGAGCAGAGAACGAAACCGGGGAGGATATCCTCCTCCTCAATACCCTTGAGTCGGATTCGTACCTGGTCACCACACTGGGCAATGGGAATTTCATCTTCGGCCTCGGCGTATACCGCCGTGACTTCAATGCTATTCTTATTGGGCATCATTACTAGACTCATGCCCTTCTTGACGACACCAGCCTCAATCTTACCCTCAACCATGGTACCGAGATCACGGTATTTGCCGTTTACCGCCATCATGAAGGGCGCGTTGACCTTGCGCTCGAGCGCCTTCATGTTGTCAAGGTACTCCAGCAACGAGGGGCCGTTCCACCAGGGGCAAACATCCTTTGGAACTCGATCCTTGATGCCTTGGATCTGCTGGGCAGCGATGGGGATAAACATGACATCGGTTTTGAGGTTGTAGCCGGTACCCTTAAGAAACTGAGAGAGCTTGGTGGTGCACTCCTTGTAGCGATCTTCAGACCACTCGACTGTGGGATCATCCATCTTGTTGATAGCAACCACGAGCTTGTTGACACCCTGGGTTTTGCAAGCATGGCGTGCTCACGGGTCTGGCCACCTCGCTCGAAACCGGTCTCGTACTCGCCCTTGCGGGCCGAGATGACGAGGATACCGACATCAGCCTGCGACGCTCCACCAATCATGTTGGGGACATAGGTCTTGTGCCCGGGGGCATCCAGAATACTGTATCTGCGCTTCTCGGTTTCGAAGTAGCCACGGCCAACTTCGACAGTCTTGCCCTTGGAACGCTCCTCCTTGGTCAGATCGAGAACCCAGGACAGGTACCAGGATTCGCGGCCCAGATCCTTGGCTTCTTTCCTGTACTTATCAATCGTACGCTCATCGACCATGCCGGTAGCGTACAGAATCGATCCACCAAGAGTAGACTTTCCGGCATCAACGTGGCCGATGAAAATGATGTTGACGTGCTCTTTGCCGTAAATCTCGGCTAGCGTGTCGTCGTCAACGTCGGCGGCTTGCTCCTTCTGGACAGCATCGGCATCTCGCATGGCCTTCGCACCAGCACCAGCACCAGCACCAGCACCAGCAGCGGGCGTCGGACTAGAACGACCGGACGAGGTGGGCGACGTCTTTCCGCTAGCTGGCTCTCCGGACTTAGAGATCGCCTTAGCTGCCGTGGCCTTGGCCCCTTCTTCGGCTGTCTTCTTCGGCTCAGCTTTCGGGGCCTCAGCCTTCTTCGGAGGGTCAGCTTTCTTGGGCTCCTCCTTCACGGTTCCAGTGGCACCAATAGAGAGCACCTTGGCCTTGGGCTTCGGCGCGTCTCCACCAATAGAAAGAACCTTGGCACCACCTTCCTTTTGCACAGAGGGTTTGGGTTGGGAAGCGGGCGCGGTGGCGGCAGGCGCAGGCGGCGCGTTCTGCTGTGCCTGGGGCTGAGCTCGTTGCTGGGGTTGCTGTCGTTGCTGAGGAGGCTGCTGCTGTTGCTGCTGCTGCTGTTGTTGAATATTCTGTTGGCCATACTGAGGGTACTGGCCACCTAAGGACGAACAAACATGTTAGTGTTAGCGAACGGCAACCTACAGTAAACCGCGGGGGTATATATCGGGCACGGGCGAAGGTAAAACGAACCATATTGTTGGCCGTAGCCGCCCTGCTGGGGATATCCTTGGCCGCCTTGGCCACCCTGACCGTATTGATCGAAACCTTGCTGGCCGCCATATTGAGGATAATAGCCCTGCTGGTAGTATTGCTGATACTGTGGCGCGTAGCCACCGTAAGACTGACCCGGTTGGAATGCTTGGGCGGTCGGCTGGAAGGCGGCCGCGGCCGCGTTGGCTCGGAAGGAGCCGCCTTGGTTCTGCCCTTGCTGGTTGATGTTGAGCTGTTGCTGAGCTTGTCTAGAGAGATTCTCGTCCTGGGCGGAAGGATCGTCTTCCCACGAATTCAAGTGAGACATCGTGATTTGGTGCTGGGGGTATTCAATGGAGGTTAGGAATCGGCGTTGGAAACCGCGGATCGAGATGTGTAGTGAACTGAGCTGAGGCTATATGTAGAATCCTTCAAGTTAGGCAAGGCAACAATAAGAGACGATGACGCACGGGGAGAAAGCCGTAAAAGTTGGCGCATGTAGACATGGGCGTGGCCACGGGGAAGGAGGGGTTATTGGGAACACCTTACTATTGCGGTCTCAACGAGGCGGAGCTTCAGGCAGAAGGAGCCTGAGATATACGTGACTCACTCCGTCGCGCTCCGGGATTCTACAAGAGGTCGTGGATAGATTAGAAAGGATGTCAGAAGTCGAGAGAGTGCGTCCGTTCGAGTGAAAAATCGACGCAGGTCAGGAGCGATGGGACTCTTTTCGGGTTGCGTTGCCTGGACGGGAGAAATGCCAAAAAAATGCCCCGCCATGTGTCCAAGAAAAACCGAGCGGGGCTCGAAAGGTATTCATACTGTGTGTTTATATGGGTGTACTGTTCGCTTTGTATGACCCAGGAACAAGTTTGGCTTCAAAAAGCACTGTGAATACACTGTCAGGTTTACTTCTTCATCCCAGAGCACCGGCTGGGCAAAAATATTTCGTTTGCGCAGTTGGGGCAAAAATCAAACCAGCGCCTTAAAATGGCAGCCACTTCGGCCTTCTCCCAGCTTGATGTCAAGCCAGCGGAGAATACCCAGGCATCGGCCTGACTAGCTGACATTCATGTCCACTGATGGTGTCTCAGGTTTATGGACTAGAATAAAAGAAGTAAAAGTTGAATTTGAGATAGTTGTGAGGAAGACGAACAAGATCTAACCTTGGGGTTTTCTGTTTGATATGCCACACCTTCGCTCCTTCCTTGGTTGTACCGTTCGCCAACGGCGCCGACCATTATCGTAGCTGTATATATCATCATCACTCACTCTCATCTTTTACCATGCAAATTGAATCCCTTGACTCGGCCCTGCCTAGCACAAACTCTGATGAGCCGCGCCGAGAACTACAGTTAGCCACAGCTTTCTCAGTGTTCGAGGGTACCAGGTGCGCAACGCCCAACGTCTCACCATGGATTCTTTTCTCTCTCGCCTGGGCGCGCAAGCCATGAACTATGCCATCAGGTCTGGTATAACTTTGGCTTCAACTTACGCAATCTCCCAGTGCACCCGATTAGCGACGACCGTCAGTGATAAGAGACTAGGAGCCGAGCTCAGCGCACTTCAGGGTCTACTTGACCGCAAGCTACAGGTCTGTTCTCTGTTCCTCTAGGAGGCGGGTACGGATGGAAGGAGAATTAAGCTGATATATGGCTAGATAATCTCGCCTGCCATTGACTTGATCGAGTTCAAGTATGTTCTGATTTCGGGATACATGGAGGCCGCCACCTTCCCCGGCCCCAACGAGTTCGTGATCTTGCTAATACGGATGGGCATTATAGATCCGGAAGAGGAAATGTCTTTCTCGAATCAGCTGTGAGCCTCGCCAGGTCGTTGCGCCAAGATGTTGTTGCTTTGGGAAAGCGCCTTGAGGGCATCGCCCTTCCGCAAGAGCGGCTGTCAGACGAGAGACCTGGAGTGAACGCGTTGGAAGGCCATGAAGAAGTTTTGCGCTCTATTCTCCACGATCTCCGGGACCTACTATCGCGGATAGACCATGATATCCCCTATTACAATTGGCTATAACGGCTTCTGGAGAAAGCTTAGCAACCTCCCTTCCACCCAGCGTTTCCCCTTCTCGCCTTCTCCAGGCCAGCACCCTCTTGATCGTCGGAGATACACAGTATGCGAACTCGACAAGCGCTATTCAGATAGGTCCTTCCTTCACCTTGTCTGTATATATGCTTTTCCTTGGACACGCGGCGACTCGTTTGGAAACGACAACAATCGCCAAAAGCCATGACAACTCGCCCCCAGTTTCTCTAGCCCGACCCAGTCCTGAGGAGGGGGACAGACCGTACGGATTTGGAGAGCATGACAGAAAGCCTATCTGGCAGGAAGTGATACATAAATCCCGTGTTCGCTTATGCCGTACACCGATACACTACGTGTTTAACCCTGAGGAGGGTTATGTACCGTGTGCTGAGCACCGCACGTCAACCCGGAGTGACCCATCCCCGCACTTCTTGACAGGGGATTTCCTATATCACTTAGAAATCATCGAGGATCTAGATGATGAAAGAGTCCATGACTCCATACTAAACAGTTCCTACGACACCGTCGCGAGCGCCGGAAGGAGGGTGAGCATCCCAGTCCACCATCTGTCCAAAATATTCTACACGGATACGGGTAGAATATTGAATGTAGGCAATGGGCTAGAGGGTGAGACCAGCCCGGTATTACTCCTTAAACGTGACACGGATCCGGATATGCCGCCACGAATGGTCGAGAGGTTCGAAGCGTATGCATCCCAAAGGGAGGATGAATTGCTGAAGACTGGTCCCATCACTTCCCAGAATTCGAACCCACAAACTGCTGGGACGGACGTCGATGATCTCAAACGAAACAAAGCATACGCCAAGACTTATCCGCCCGTTGATTTGGCTGGGACCTCATGGGGGTTACCCGCACATTTAGACCCGGAATGGATAGCCCTCGAAGTTTTTGAAGAGGACGATTCAGCGAGCAGCGAGCCCGATGAAGATAGCGACTCCGATCAACAGATTCAACCAACTTCGTGCAAGGGTAAACCCCGCTTGATCCCGAAGTGATTGGTCAAATTCAACACTTGTCAGCCATGTCGCTATCCCGCGATCCATCGCAAGAAACGTTGACAAGACCCTCCAGCAGCGAGGGTGTGGGCGATCAGCAGTCGTTGGCTGGCCAAGCGTCAATAGTGGCGAGATCCCCGTTTGGGGCCATCACCTCATCCCTTTCCCTCTTAGAAATGCTGATCCGATTAAGCGGACTCCAGGAGTTTCAGCAAGCATGTCATTTGTCCATACCAGACCATATATTGGCCTTCTTCCTTGAAGAAACTTCAACAACGGGCCTGGTTGGAAAAGAAAGATGGGATGCAAGGGATGGTGCTAAACGCAGTCTTGGATTCGACCCATATACAGACAGTCCTGGTCGATAAATGGAGGGACGAATAACAAAGTGTGGACGCCACTACTTCAACTTTAGAGAGATATTTACGGGAAATTTTCCCTGAGGAAAGGAGTCAAGTATTATAGAATAGCTTGAGAAGAAAAACAAGAATCCCCCAACTTCCTTGAAATTTCGAAAGGGAAGGCTCTGGAAGACGAGTTCGGCGTGGCGAGCCCGCCATTGTCACAAGGGAAAGTTGAGTGTGGTGCGGCTAATTTACGGCTGATAGTTGACAAGAGCTGGGCAAATCATGGCACAGGAAAGCGCCTGCCTGTGGCTTGCCTTCGTCATCCAGTGACGAAGATAGTATCGCGTTACGTATTACTGACTGGGTCAGCAAACCCCGGTTGAACGCAAGGCCAAGCCCAGGCCTGTCCATGCGCTGCGGAGGAATGAGGCGAATTGCTCATCCACTCCAACAGAGCATTCTAGGCTCCACCTATGATAGTATGCCTTTTGCATCAACCGCCACCTCCCCCATTGATGGAATACGAGAAACGCCCTTGACGATTTCCATTTAATGTTATAGTGCCCAGCTACTACCAGCTTGCGACAATTAATCCATCGACATCTTCTTGCACCGAAGCCCATCTGCGAGTTCGAACCCGCTAACTCCAACCGACGGAAAGAGATTCCCAACCCCCGCCCGCTCATCTTTCGCCGGAGTCGCTTGCTTCTTCGACCATGTTTCGTGCAGCCGCGGCCGGTCCGTTCGACGAGGTCGTCGGTATGTATCTACCCTCGGCGAGGGTTTTGTGACCTATTATAGCCTTCTCCGGAGCTTTAAATGCTGATTTCGCTGCTCTCCTAAATAGCTAAGGCGACCGACGAGAACTTGACATCGGAGGACTGGGGAGCTATCATCACCGTCTGTGATCAGGTATCCGCCGACACAAATGGCCCCAAAGAAGCCGTACAGAGCATAATCAAGCGCCTTGCCCACCGAAATGCGAACGTCCAGCTTTATACTCTAGAGGTATGTCTCAAAACTGTGGGGGCTGTCCATGAGGCGAACCCCTCCCCTTGGAGCTGCCACCATGAGGACGCATGCTGATGGTCCCCCGTTTTCTATAGCTTGCGAATGCACTCAGCCAGAACTGTGGCAAGGCCATTCACCGAGAACTTTCGAGTCGTGCCTTTACGGATGCATTACTGAAACTCGCAAACGACCGGAACACGCATAACCAGGTGAAGGTGAAGATCCTTGAGCGTATGAAGGAATGGTCCGACATGTTCAAGAATGATCCAGACCTCGGCATCATGTATGATGCCTTCTACCGCCTCAAGCAAAACAACCCTACGCTCGAGCCCCCTCTGCCCCACAGAAGAACAACCTGACCGATCTCGACCGTCAAAAGAGGAGGATGAGCTCCAAATGGCCCTCACGCTTTCGTTGCAGGAGGAGGAGCGCAAGAAGAAGGTGGCCGACTCATCCTCTGCTGGGGCTTCTTCCTCAGCGGCAGGCGGCTCTGCCGCTGGGCCCGCCCAAGAGATCAAGCCCGTACCCTCGGGCACGACGGCCGCCACCGTTTCTCGCGTTCGTGCGCTTTACGACTTCGTGCCCTCTGAAAGCGGGGAGCTAGAGTTCAAAAAGGGCGATGTGATTGCCGTTTTGGAGTCGGTCTACAAGGATTGGTGGCGCGGATCGCTCCGAGGCAAAACCGGCATCTTCCCCTCAACTACGTAGAGAAGCTCACGGATCCCACGGCCGACGAGCTTCATCGCGAGGCACAGATGGAGGCCGAGGTGTTTGCGGAGATTAAGAACGTGGAGAAATTGTTGACACTGTTGAGCGCTTCCAATACTTCGCCGCGCGAAGAAGACAACGACGAAATTGCTGTATGTCTGGCCCAGCTCCATCCTTTTCGTAATGGCCTAGGTCTAGTCTACCGCTGCTAACGTTGCTTGTTCGGCACAGAAACTCTACCATCAAACGACGGCAATTCGCCCAAAACTCATCCGTCTTATCGAAAAGTACTCTCAAAAGAAGGGTATATATCTCCTAGATCCCCCTTTCCCCGCTGCGGCCCCCGCCCTTGACGCATTCTAATCAACTTTGGCCACAGACGACTTCACGCAGCTCAACGAAAAGTTCATCAAAGCTCGCCGGGACTACGAGGCTCTGTTGGAGTCCTCGATGGCTCACCCTCCTCAGCCATCCTATCGCCAGTACATGCCGCCCGGGCCGTCCCAGCAGGGTTACCCGTCGCAGGGCCCACCCGGCGGGGCGCCTCACGATGCTCAGAGATTCTACACGCCCGGTCCGCAGGGTACGTATTGACCCGAGTAGACAGGTCAGTTCTCGCTCGCATTAACGTAATGCTACGATAGACTACCATGGAGCCAGCCCTCCACCCGCCACTTTCCAGCGGCCTAACCAGGCGACGGCCCCACCCTTCTACCCTGCCGGCGCCGATATCCCACCCATCGCACAACACCAGACGTATCCCCTCCGACCAGGGCCCTCGAGCGGCGCGCCACCCGGGCAGCCCGGCCCGATCAACACGTCCTCACCTCCCCAGCGGGCCAATATACAGCTTACTCCGCAAACCCAAGACCGGGGAGCACCTATGGTGCGCAGGAGCTCGCTACCTCAGTGTACGATACGCCTATCTCCCCACGCACCAGAACCCGCTCAATCCCGCCGCTCCTTACTCGCCCGATGACCCGTACAACACGCCCAACCACGGGCCCCTCTCCCAGCCGACCCCACCCGCAAATGCTCCACCATCACAGGCTCAGTACCAAAGCTACAACCCTCCCCAAGGATACGACGGGGCACCTCCGGCTCCTTCCGGGGCGGCACCCCCATACCCCAAGGGCAGCAAGGAGCGGCTCCCGGACGACCTGAAAATGCCGTTTCGCCTCCACCTGGGGGTGCATACGACGCGCGCCACGGGCTACCCAGCCAAATGAACAACGGCCCGCACCAGTATAAGCCATACGTTCCTCCTTCATCGGAACCGAGCGCACCGGGACCCGCCGACTATTATCGGTAAGACGATGACGACCGAGAGGGAAAGGGACATGTAGGGTCGTGGGTTCTGTGCGTGTGAAGCATGCGACGGCTCAATGGGTCTAGGTTGTGAAGAATGGAACGGCAAGGCTCTGTTGAGTGGGAAGCCTGCATGGCGTTTGGCGCGACTTTCCTCATCTGATCTCATTAGCTGGCCTTCTTGGGCCCTGTTGTTATGGCGGGCATGCCTTTGTATTTTTTTCGTAGTGATAATCCATATACAATATCGGGATGAGGTTTTGTCAGCTTTTTTATTCTTCCTTTTTCTCTACCTCTTTTCTCTCCTGTTTCTTCTCTATCAAGATGCTTGATCATACACGTACGATAAGCCAGTTTGCCCCGATGCGGACAGAACGGAATGAAGAGAGTGTAGCCATGTTCACGACGCGAGGAGAGAGGGTGTCTGATGTTTTAAAGGTCATTAGGCTCAATGTAGGTGGACATGGAGAGGCTCGGAAAGTTGACTCTATTTATATGACAAGTATTCTACATGATGTACAGGGCAAACGCTAGAGGTAGATAATTTCTATAATACATATGAAGATGGCCGCGTCGCCTCTTGGAGCTCATTATCGAAACCACCAGTTCGCGGAAGCGTTTAGAGCACCAGCGGAACCCTCGCTTTGTACGGAGTGCCACCATCCTACTGGAACGAAGAGGGCATCACCAGGGCCTACCCTGGCCTCCACGAGCTCAGGACCAGCCGACTCTGCCGCCACCGTCTCTCCAGGGCTCGCCGAGGGGCTTTCCCAGACAGCGCGGTGGAGGAGATCCCTTTCCGGTCCATGCATCATGTCGGAGAGCCTGATGCGTGAGGAGCCGCTCTTGCCCAGAGCAGCCTGGACCCTTCGGAAGAGGGCATCGCCGGCGGTGGGGCTCATGAGACGGAGGACTTTGTGCCATGGAGCTGGCAGAAGAGATTAGGATTGGGGTCCCGATGGAGTGGGGTGTAGGTGGGTTCGAGGCCGAGCCATATGCTCGAGGCGTAGACGTCGCCGCGACCCGCGCGGGAGACTAGGCGCGGTGTGGGAAGATCCCCGGCTAGAGCGGGGGCAAATCAGAGATGGGGCACTGCGCGATGTAGAGCTGGCGGAGGGGCGCCTTGGGGGAGGATAGGTTGTAGGCCAGGGCGGAGAGGAGGAGGGCGAGGGGGCGTGGAATTGGGAAAAGGAAGGTGGGGAGGCAAGGGTCCGGAGGAGCTGCGGGCGGAGGGGCTCGAGGGATTCCCGGAGCAGGCGCTCCCGAGGGTGAGTTTGGGTGGTGAGCCAGTCGAGGAAGAGGGATATCGCGTCTTCTTCCGGGGCACCGCCAGAACCGCCGGCGTGCGGCTGAGGGCTCATGAGCTCGTAGGGAAAAGGGAGGTAGAAGAAGTCTGCGAAATAAGGACTGAGAGCGGCGCCTGAGAACGACCCGGAGGTATCCCGAGCACCGGGGTGAACCATTTCTCTTGGGCGGGGAGGATGGGCCGCTCGCCGGGGAGTGTGGTGTGCGGAAGACTAGGGGCCGCGCGAGTCCTTGGGTAAGGTCTAGAAACGTAGGGATGTCGGCGTCGACGACGGAGCCCTGGACGATGGGGACGCGGGCTGGGGTAGGGTGGTGGGATATTGTTCGCCAGGTGGTACGGCTTGGACCTGGCCGGATACGGGAGACCAGGGTAGCTCTCAGAGCCGCCATGGTCGGGATGTTTGTGTGGCAAGATTTATTATCTGAGGGCCGATTAAACTACCCGTGGAAGAAGAAGAAGTCGAACCCCTGGCGAGTCAACAACGGAATCCGGCTGCCCGTTTTATCGACATGTGGTGTAAGTGCGTCTCTCGCCTCGTCCCATTGGTGTTCGCATTATTTGTTTGGTGTTGCGAGTGACAGGCAAAGCAACACCAGTGACAAGCTCTCTCCCCACATGCACTACTCTATTCGCACCCTCGTCAACATGCCCTGCATAGCTCAGATGACTAATCCGAAGGATGCCAGGCTTGGCGTTTTCCTCGCAAAGACCAAGCCAACCAGCAGCAGGGGCACAAACCCGGACGGATCCATCCATTCAATGGAGGATCCATGATAATAATAAAAGCAGTATTTAATAACATTGACGGCACGATTTGTTCAGAGGGGCGGAGTGTGCGACCCCGCCACCCGCTCGACACCGCGATTGAGCATCTCGACTGTTCGCGGAGCTTGTAGAGGAAGTGGCGCTCCTTGTCCTGATTTTGATTTTACAGTATGGATACTGAGTGCCTTATCCCATCTTTCAGCTGACTGCCACAAACACACTGAACCACTTGTCTTGTATCCAACCCCTTTGTCCCACGTCCTATTTTCTCAGCTTCAATACGAATCCTCCTCTTGGTGCAAATCCACAACATCCTAGGCTCCCAGGGAAGGGAACCATAAAAGTATAGAGAAAAGTACCTCATAAAATTAGGATATCATCTCACTGTGATCTCGTATCTCTGTGTATTTGATCTTACGTTACGGGGCATTCCTCAGACCCATTGGCTTCGTCGATGGGATCTATGATGTATCCTCATCCTTCGATGGTGGTGGCGCCGGGCAACGGAGCGGGAATGGCTTGGCCATCAAGTCGATGAAAACCACGGGCTAATAATTTGATTTGAGGGTTCAATGTTGTACCTCAATTGAGGTTGCGGGTCACTTCCGCCCAAGGCTGCAGTGCAGCCAGCAGCAGACAAGCAAGCCAGCCCAGCGCCAGCCGGCGAGTACTGCCCTCATCCCACCTCGCCTGCCCCACCAAAGTGTGTGTGGTGTGTGGTGTGTGGTGTGTGGTGTGTTGAGAGCTTGTGGTGGTGTGTCTGTGTCTGCGTCTGTGTCTGTGTGCGTGTGCTTGTGTGCGTGTGGGCTTGTGTGTGTGCCGCCTGGTCGCGAATCGCCATTTCCTCCCAACCTGTCACCTTTCAGTCCTAGACCTTGCGGCTTTCAAGGCGCCCAGCACAATTCCCCAAAGGCCATGGTCGCGCCTAAGCTCTAATCCTCCGTCCCACAATCGACCGTCAATCCCGAGATAATTCTCTCGACTCCTCATCCACAGCCTGACCGCGACGCTCTTGGATTCATTTTTGACGCTGTATTTTTTTTTTGCCCCTCCTCCGTCGTCCCCCTCCAACCCCCTGGACGCCCACACGCACCCCGCTATTTCCAGTGAACGTCCCGCCCCGCTTCCTCGAGCCAGTTTCCTCAGACTATCTCGCCAAACCTTCTTCTTCGACGCCATCGACCGACCGACGTCGACCCCTCCCGCCCTCGGCTGATCACCATTCCCATTTTTCACCAAGGACGAGTGGTCGCTAGATGGTACCGAGCATCATGTCCACCTCTTCGGGTCCTGCGGAGACGTGGATCTCGTCCTACTGCTCCACTGTCGGCCACGAATACTTCGCTGAGGTGTCGGAGGATTTTATCGAGGATGACTTCAACTTGACGGGCCTTCAGACCCAAGTCGCCATGTATAAAGAAGCTCTAGAGGTATGCTTTCCCGGTCGCCTTCATTGGACCCAGACATTGGCTCCCCTCTTCCTCCTTTCTTTTTGTTTTCCAACGACTCCCCCTTCGCTTAGCCCAGGGGAATAGAGCCCTTATCTGCACGCCGATATCTTTCGTCGGCGCTCCCCGCCCCCGCACTCGCCCCTTATTTTGCCAACCAGGACAAACGGCCCTGGGCTATCATGGCCGCCTCGGTTTGGAGTGGTTCGCTGACGTTGGAAACACGACGTTTTGTGACGTTATTAGATGATTCTCGACGTAGAGCCAGAAGACGACGACGAAGAAGAAGAAGAAGATGAGGAGGACGATGAGGGCGAATCCGGCGAAAATCAAGATCGCATGATTGCGAGGCAGGAACGGCGACACGCTACTCACAGCCGGATGGCCAGTGACCTATCCGTCATCGAATCCTCGGCCGAGTTATTGTACGGCCTGATTCACCAGCGATACATTTGCTCGAGAGCCGGTATCCAGCAGATGAGCGAAAAGTACGAGCTGGGTCACTTTGGCGCCTGTCCCCGCACCAATTGCGAGATGGCTCGAACTCTACCCGTCGGCCTGTCTGACATCCCCGGAGAAGACACGGTCAAGCTGTTCTGCCCCTCGTGCCTAGACGTATACGTACCCCCAACAGCCGTTTCCAGACCGTCGACGGGTCTTTCTTCGGTCGCACCTTTGGTGCCCTATTCCTCCTCACCTTCCCCGAGTACGATCTCACGAAGCGCGGCGTCGAGTTCCTCTCCAACACGAGGATCCAGGAAGGCTCGGAAATTATCAACGGCGTTTATGCTCGAAACATCGCCCCGGGCCTCGGACGCAACCGCATTTACCATCCCAAGATCTACGGATTTAGAGTCTCCGAGGTGTCCCGCTCCGGTCCCCGCATGCAGTGGCTGAGGAACAGGCCCGAGAATCTGACGGAACTTGACGAAGCCCGCCTCTACGCCGAGCACCACCCCGACACGGACGAGGACGAGGACATGATTTCGGGCGGTAAAGCGATCGGCCGGCCCAGGCCGCCCGGGAAGCTCCGGATTAAGAGGGAAGGCGCCAACGGTAGCCCGATGAATGTAGACACCAACGGCGTCGAGTCGGAGCTATAGTGGGAACCAGCGGCCGGACGGTAATCCGCAGATTAGGATGATTGTAAGGGGCCAAGGGAGAGAGAGGAGGAGCTCAATGGACGGAAAGAAGCATCATGGAATGTGGCACGAAGGAAAACTTTTGGGAAAGACGGACGGCGTGTGTGCACAGGCTTTCATGGCACGGCGTTCATCGGTGTTGCGGAAATACAATACGAAAAGAAAAAGAGAAAAAAGAAAAATCCAAACTTCATCATCAAACCTCCCACCATACAAAACACACATACACACACACACACACACACACACACACACACGCATGCACACGCACGCGCACACGCACATAGCACGAGTGGGCGCGCGGCGCACGGTCAGGAGGCGGAACGCCATGTTTCGACGCGAGCTTACTATCTAAGGGCGTTTTGCCTGCAATAGAGAATCAAATTTCTATTCTTTTTTTTCTTGAGATTTCTTCATGCTCGTGTTTATGTTTTGCAGTGACTACTTTTGTGAACAGGTCTTGCCCGGGAGAAGCTTCCGCACTCCTTTTCTGCTTCATCATGTCTTATAAGGCACTGCGTGTCTACCCACCATATACATCCTCGTCCGTATAGGACCTCTTACGGACGAAGCACGGCAGACCACCCTTCATCGGCAGTGTCAAGCTAATCGGGCTCTTCCTCTCTGGTATGGTGCCGTCAGGGCCCGGCGTCGCAGCGTCAACAAAATCAAAGCTCCAGACAACGACGGCGAGAACTTGCACGGCGATGAGCTCGGCCATCTTCTTGCCGAGACAGATGCGGGGGCCACCGTTGAAGACGGGGAATTCACCCACGGAGCGGTTGACGAAGCGGGGAACCTCACCATCATCGCTGGGACTTATGGTAGGAGACGACGACGGCGACGAGAGGGGGTGAGAGGCTGACGGGGCCGAGGAATAAGAAAGCCAGCGGTCAGGGCGGAACTCAGCAACGTCGGGGCCCCACGTGATTTCGGAGCGGTTCATGGACCAGGGCGACCAGACGAGGACCGAGTCCTTGGGCAAAAAGGTGCCATCCGGCAGGGTGGAGGGGGCGGTGGTTTGCTTGATTTCAATGGGGATCGGGGGATAGAAGCGCAGGGCCTCGTAGAAGACGGCAAGAGTGTAGGGGGCCGAGGTGGGCGTGAAGAGGGAGGGGTCTGGCTCGGACGCGGAGCCGCCGGCGGACCGGAGGATGCGGCGTATCTCGCGGCGCATCTTGGCGGCCTCGTGGGGGTGGCGCATGAGCAGGTGCAGAGTCCACGTGAGGCCCTGGGCGGTAGTGTCGCGACCGGCGGAGAGGTAGTTGAGGGCGGCATCGGCGACGAGGGTCTCGTCCCCGATGGCTTCGAGGAGGGACCGGACGAGGGAGCCGGAGATGCCGCCTAGCGCATCCTCGCGTGTCTCCGTCTTCTCCTCATCGCCGCCATCCTCGTCCGCGGCGGTAGTGGCGGTGGCGTCCCGCCCCGAACGGCGCTCTCGACAATCTGCCGGCCGTGGGCCCTCACGAGAGCAAGGGCCCGGCGGAACCGAAACCCAAACAAAAGCTCGGTGAAGCGCCAGAGCGGGTTCTGAAAGCGCTCGGCGGTAGCGCCGCTCGCGTACTCGAACGCGAGGGTAAACTCGTCGTCGGCGTGCATCTCCATATCGTACGCCATGCGGCCCATGAGCCGCGTCGTAATCTCGTGAAAGACGGCCTGCAGATCCACCCGGCACCGCCCGTCCGCGCGGGCCCCGAGCCCCTCGACCGCCTCGCGCAGGTATAGTGGCAGCGCCGCCTCCGTGAGCACGCGGAGATTCGCGGCGCTGAGAAAGGCGAGGCCGGCGCGGCGCTGCGCCTTCCACAGGTGGCCGTCGGCGTTGATGATGCCGTGGCCGAACAGGTCGCGGGAGCGCGACTTGACAAACTCCCCTTGGCGAACGTGCCCTCGTGCCGCAGGACAAAGTCGACGCAGCGCGGGTCGCTGACCAGCACGCCCCGCCCTACCGTCGGCACCGAGATTTGCAGCGTGGCGTGTCCGTGTCGTCGCTGGCACGCCGCGAACCAGGCGAGCAGCTCGTGCCGCGGCCGCAGGAAATGCAGCGCGTTGCCTAGTAGGGGCAGCGTGTTGGGCGCCTTGGGGATCGGCGTCGCTCCGCGCCGGATGGGCTGCTGCAGGAGCGCGTGGAGGAGTAGCGCGAGGAGGGGCAGCGAGAGCCCGAGCAGCGAGGCCTGCGGGAGCGAGAGGTTCAAAAGGGCCATTAAGGGCGGGGAAGGGGGGCTTGTAGTTTTGAAAAAGGGCTCTCGGCGTCCGCTGACATCGGGCACTGTGAACGCCGTGAGAGAGATGCTAAAGGGGACAGGGCGCAAAGAGCGGGAGAAACAAAAACAGAATTAAATCATCTCGGTCATTTGTCAATTTCTCAGCCCGCAAAACATGTACGGACTCTCCAATTAGGCCAAGTATTTACGCTCCTATCGTTATTAAGGAGAGCGTTGATCTGTCGTCGTGGGATCTCTCATGTTATAACAAGGGGAAGGTCCATGTTCCATCGTTGCGACCCAGTCACGTGGGAATGGGTAGATGGTATCGTACTGTGCATCACCAAGTCTTGAGGCGTCAAGACGAGAGCACTACTCCAACCTGATGCGTCAAGATGCTAGATGTGATCCTTACTAATGACTTACATTGCCGGTGAGTCTTGAGACCTTCATATGAGCATGCTAGATTTCCCAACCCAAGATGATGATGTCAGGCCGCCAAGGATATTGTACTCAAAAACGGAGGCACAACCACAAGCAAGTGAAGCAAAGACACGATGTCGTCCAATTGTTTACAATAATATGTCAAAATATTTTGATCATCTCACGGATCCAAAGCCCGGCCGCAATCCTGATGGCCGCTGTCTATCTACACAAAAACAAATGCTCTTCCCAATTTCAGTGAAGCCACCACCTCCTCCCCGGTTCCCATCACTCACACAATAGCTGCCGCCCTCACCTAGTCGCCGATTCTAAACAACACCTATCCAAAGATATACAGTACTTGTCCCCATATTAGCCCCTCAAAACTCCGGTACAATAAATGAGAGAGAGATTAATAAAAAAAAACAAGTCAAGAAAAGAGAAAGTAAGGTGGGGTAGCCCGCGAAGGGGGACAATAGCAAAAGCGGAGAAGTGTTGTCCCCAAGGAAAGAAAGAGTTGACCACAATGTCTCAAGATGGGGAAGGGGAGAGAGAGAGAGAGAGAGAGAGAGAGAGAGAGAGAGAGAGAGAGAGAGGAAGTGAAAGCGAGGGGCCAACATGGCCATCACCCTTACTCCAAAAGTCAACATGTTGTTGAGTCCCCATCAAAACAAATCCCTAAAGTGGTGAGACACGTTCTCCTCCACAAACCTGCCTAGCGAGTTCGGAGTTGGTAGTAGATCCACCTTGGCGGGACCATGGTTGCCGGCACCGATATAAACATCAAACACCCTCCGCATTTCCGTCATGAGCTGCATCCCATTTGCGCTCTGCGCTATGGGTGGGTCGTGATTATATGGGCCGCCAGGCCGCGCCGGTACCGGTGCGGATCGGATGGTTGGTCTAGAATACGGCCCGACCTGTGGTAGTTGCGGCACTCGGGCTGCGCTCGAGGCCCCTGACGAAGAGTCGGTTCCCTCGCCCATGTTGGGCAACGTACCCGCAATCTTGGGCGCCACCTCCTTCAGAGCGTTAAAAGTACGCCACAGCCTCTTCGAAACCCAAGACTTGGCTGATAAGTCCTTGACTAGATCTAGCACCATGTAAAAGTGGTCGCGGCACACCGCAGCGAAACGCTGTGGGCAATGCGCCGCCGCTAGAAATAGGACGGCGACGGATGATGTGAGGAACTGGTGATAAAACACTTGTAGCTTTCGATAAAGATTGCTGCTTGTGTCGAGGTGGTTGAGGAGCCGGATCGTGTCCGACGCCAGGTGTACAGCCGTCTGCGCATGGCGGGGGTTGTTCAGAATGGTGTGGGCGTTTTGTACGAAGGGCATATAGAGCCACATGCGAAGCTGTGTGATGGGCAGAACGTCAGCGCGGATCAAGACGATAGCGGGACCTGGGAGGAAGGGGAGGGAGAACTGGGTACGAGATTAAAGGAGGGAACCCTTACCTGATTGTAGCGGAGATAGGTCCAGATGCGCAGCCGCTTCAGATTGTATGAGGACGTGGCGCCTAGTTGCTTATCCTGGCTCCAGTCCTTCATTTTGACTTCTTCGGGCGCGTTGTCATACCATTGCACAATTTCGCGATCCAAGTGATCCACCTCGTACGCCGGCATCTCTCGGGCCGCAGGGTGATTATACTTGGATGTGAGCTGGAAGACTCGAGCTCCGAGCCGCGAATACGCGATCAAAGTCATGAGATACGGGTGGTCCTCCTATACGTAAAAGAAAGAATTAGCAAGTCAGCGAGGTGACGCACACGGGGAATCCATCCTAAACCCAATGGAATGGCACTATTTGTGGGGGCTATACACGTACCGGTGGAGGAAGCCGCAAATCAATGTCCTCGTCTCTCACGACATATGGTAGCCCGGCTCCAAAAGACCATAGCCTCTCGTAGATGTAGGAGAACCAAAAGCACGTGAGTGCCGTTTTTCGGTCCTCGTCGATTTCTATGAGCATCATACTGCTTCGGTTGTGAAGACCCAGTTCCAAGCACAGCCTTGACACCTGGCCCATCACCCTCCACGCCAATATCTCTTCGCTCGACAGGAACCGGTAGCAGGCTAGCAAAATGAGCATAGGCAGGTTCCTCACATTGGTGGCTTCTGCCATGAGCTTCGCGTTGAGCTCCGACTGCATGCTTTCGTACATTCGGTTCGCCTTGTCGTTGTGACCCTGGTCCTCGAAGGTGAGGGCGCAGCAAATGATGATCTTGAGGAGCAGGGTCATCTCATCATTTAGATTGGGGAGCATGCCGTTCCGCCTGCTACTCTCCATAAAAGCCGCCAAACTCTGCGCGTGGCTGATGACGGTTTGCATATTGACCACGGGGAACAAGATTCCCACCTCGTCCTCGTGGAGCCGGCAAAGCCGAATCATCTCGTCGCTCGACATATCCCACAGGGGGTCGGTGGGTGTAGGGGTCCCTGGGGTCCCCCACGCGGAGACTGCTCGTCGGGCTCCGAGCCAGCCACGTGGATTAAGCTCTTGAATCCAAGCGGAGGTATAGTGGGCGCATCCGTGGCGAAGGGCGCGCCAACCGTTCCTCCCCTGTAAGCCGGTTTCGGCTGCGTTAACTCGGGCCTATACGCAGAGCCATGGGATAGCACCGGCGATGGCGAAACGGTTGGGGGTCCGCTCGGGGATAATAGCGGTAGCATTCGGTCTTGGGGGAAGCATTCGAGGGAGCGTTTCGGTTCGAAGGGCGCTCAGGTTCTGGAACAAGCTATCAACCTGCTCTTGGAGTTTCGCTACCTTGTCCGTCATGGTTCGAAATTCGTCCGACTCCTTGAAGTTGTTTGAACAACAGTTGGGGGCATAAAGGCAAGTGAGGTTGAGATTCCCGCATCGTTGGCAAGGTGACTCGCCATTGCATTTTATTTTGCGGCGCTTGCATTCGTTGCTACCGAGAGAGGGGTGTCAGCGTTTTGAGGAAGGCAAAGCTAGAGAAAGGCACGGGGAGGTGGATAGCTATGGTTTTGTGGAATCGCAATAGCCCGACCAAAGGAGATGCATAAAGAAAAGAGCTTACCAGGCAATCGAGATGTACTATCGGCGGAGAAGACAAAGAGACCCAAGTTAGTACGTTAAAACATCTCCCAGCCACAGCAAAGTGGCATCACCAAACGAAGCTTGTCCATGATCTAGGACCTGGCACCGAAAAAGACAGTGCCTAGATCTTGGTGTAGCAGGATTCCACTTACCCGATTCCTTTTACTCCTTTGCTGCTTTGTAGGACCGGCTGCGCCCTCTTCCTCGTCTGCTTTTCGCTTCGCCCCATTGCTTGCCGATGTCGCTCCATCCGCTGACATGGAGTTTCGCGACGCGCTGGCGTGCGTCGTAGTATGATGTGTCGAGTGCCCACGATACATGCCCGAATTATCTCCCCAGATGCCGCAGAGGCGGGAGACCCGGCCGCCATGGTATGTGAAAGAGGGTCGTAGGGTGTAGCGGCCATGGGCGCTCCGGCGGCCGAGGGCCTGCGCTCGCCGGGGTCTGCGTCAGGTACCGCAAGTCGCTTACCTGCGTTTCGATCTGTTCCATTGTTCCATTTGATGAAGATATTTCGGTTTCTTCTAGTCTCTTGCGCTGTTCTGATGCCGTGGGATGATCTCGATCGAGGTGCGAAAAAGGGAAAAATTATGGGATGCCGTATTTCGGAGTGAAAGGGGAGTTTGCGCGTGCGCGACTCAGCCAAGAGCGACGGGGACAGAAGGTTTGTGGTCGATTTGGTGGGGTTGAGCAGCTGCTTGAGGGAAAATCGATATTTTTTGTTCCGGTCCCGTCTCGTAGTCGGCGGTTGGTGTAAATGAGAATGCGATGAGGGGAAAGGGATGCGAGACGTAGGTGTTATTCGAGGAAGCAAAAGGGCGTGAAGATAGATGACGAGAAGGGGGAAAGGGGGAGGGGAGGAAAATGGTTGCGGGAGAGAGAGATAAATCGAAAGGCGGGAAGGAGAAGAAGAGCTTGTCTCCCGGCGATGAGCGGAATTGTTCTTTGGCGGAGGCAACGCAGGGCAGGGGAACCTTGAACTATCGTCGTAGCATCGCTTGAACTCCGGCCCAGTCTTAAGCGATTTTTCTTGGTATTCTCATTTGAAACGTGCCCTCTTCCTATTTCCCTTTTATTTTAATTTTTTTGTTCACACCTTTGCCTTTGAAAATGATTGTCCGGCACAAACGCCTCACGGCGTAGGATGGGAAAAAAGAAATCAATGAAGAAAAAAGAAAAAAAAAAAAAAGACAAGAAGACGTTCAACAGTGCAAACGTGCCACACAACGACGAGTCCCTGATGAGAAGAAGCCGGGCGACGACGGACGGGACCTTTCCGAAAGAACGGCACGGAGGAATAGCCAGAAACGAGGCAAGACGCCGGCGAGCAAGGCGAGAAGGGCGGGATATTCCTCGGCTGAGAGGATTGGAAGGAGCGGTTGGGAAGGGGAAGAAGGGAAGGAGCAAGTGGTGATGGTGGAATCGAACATCATACAACGGTCCATTATGACTAGGCCAGACTGGACTAAAAGCCGATTCGATCAATAACTATTATTACATACATGTACACTATAGCCCCTGTGGGACTGGGACTAGTTGCTGGTATGAAGTGATATACTGCATATGCTGGCTGGTGCGGTCCGGTATTTGCGGTCTAGTCCCACTCGAACTTGGATCTAGGCTCCGTCAGCCAGCCCCATTCTTTTCGGGGAAACCATCATCCACCATCAATCGTCCTTTCATGCTTGATGCCCGCCCCTTTTCACCCCGAAAGGGAGGGAAAAAGGGAGAAAATGAAGGAAAGAAAGAGGGAAAGAGAGGAGATGGGGGAAAGGGGAAATCCACTGAGACCTTCGTTCCTGCCCAGAGACTTTCTCCTTTCAGCTACAGCTGTCTTCAATCGCTCAGACTGATCGAAAAGTATTTCAACCGACGCTATCTCGACTTGGGTAATTGGCCATGAACATCACTTTTGAGCTTTTCCTCCACCCCGGGGCTTTTCTCCCAAGGCTGGGCTGGACCGGGCTGGGAAGCGTTAGGTTGGGTTGGTGTGGTGGGCGGTGGGTGGGTGTCTTGTCGTTCCCCCTCGACACGCAAACATCTACAATTGATGGTGGTGGGGGAAGGCACCACTTGATCAATTGATCCATCGAAGCGTTGAAGGAACCTGTGTGGAGACGGTCCAGGGCGCTCAAGATGAGCTACCGACACTGTGTTACGACCTAGCTCCACAGTTACGCATTACAGTAAGATCACCCTGCAGATCTATCATCGACACGGTGCGCCACCAAGGGTCTCATGTCTCGCTCACCTAGGCAAGCTAGGGAGCTCCTTGCGTTTCCCCAGCCTAGGCACTCGTCCACCAAAAGTTCCAGCCCTGGGGGTCCCGCGACTGGCTTCCTTGGTTCACCTATGCCCGAAACCTGCCGGCACCAGGAACGAAGGAAGATTGGATGCGTGTCGTGCTCTCTCGGGAAACATCGTGGCCTCGATGTCTAGCGCGTCTTGGGACTTGCCTAGCGTTGGGCCGCCGATGCACCGATCCTCGAGAGCCGCCTGCTCTTCATGATCGATATGGCATGGTGCAAATTGGTGCCTTACCCCAGTCGATCGTGACCGGCCCTTTTTACTTTGGGGGAGGGGAGGGGAGGCAGAGCGCAACATCTATGAACCCAGCGCAATCTGCAAGTTGAGGCTTTTGCAGATGGTTACTTCGCACAAGCGTTCACGAATGTCGCAATTGATTGGAGAGTGGGCAGTTTTCGATAAACATGGCGCGCGAAAGGTTGATGCAGCAAGCAGCCTGCAACCCGTCCAGTCCCGTTCGTCCATCCATTGGTCTAGGTAGCAAAGGACGGACTTGGTGGTAGATCGAGAACAGATGATCATCCAATTCTGGCCTGGGATTTTACCACCACCCAGAGAATGAGATGGATCTACACTACAGGCTTGAACACCGCGTCGTCTGCTCGGTTGATGGAGAAGGAAAAAGGAAGAAAGAAAAAGAAGAAGAAGGAGAGGTAAAACCGCCCCGGGTGGCGTCTCAATTTCATAAACCTCATCTTTAAGATTCTTCATTTCTCTCCCGCCCATAATTTTTGGGGTTTCATTCTCCCCGGCACCGCCATCGGTTCCTTGCTGCAACTGCTACGCCGCCGAGGGCGCAACCGTGGCGCCCGCAACCTTCCCAGTGCACTCCCCAAAGCCGACCCGTCCATTACTACCACCCGCAAAGCCCTTCATTACCACGGTATCACCGTCCTCCAAGAATCGACGAACAGCACCATTAGATCCCACAACCACGTCCTTCTTCCCTCCCTCCGACATCTCAAGGAGGCTGCCTCGCTGGTGCTCCTCGGGTCCGCTGATGGTACCGGATCCGAGGAGGTCGCCTGTGCGCATGGGGCATCCCCCAAGGTGTGGTGCGCGATCATTTGCGGAAAAGACCAGAGCAGGTTCTTCGCGCTGACTCGCGAAATAGTGGACGAATCTCCGTCGGGGGCTGGCAGGAGGAGGAAATTTCAGGCAAGTCAGCCTCAGCAATACCGCATGATGAACGACCTGAAGTAAGATCCGACCCACCGGGATCGGGGAAACGGTGGGAGGGGAGGGATGGGGCAAGTTGATAAGGTATACATGTACTCACTCTTGAGCTCGACCTCGAGATTAATGTCAAAGACGGGCTTCTCCGCCCCTTTCAGATAATCCTGCACCTCCGTCTTATTCTCCAGGGCTCGTGTCCGGAACGGCTCCAGAGCATCGGCCAGCACGACCCACGGACTAATGGTCGTTCCAAAGTTCTTGCTATTAAACGGACCAAGGGGAACGTACTCCCAGGTCTGAATGTCCCTTGCGCTCCAATCGTTCAGCAGCACGTAGCCGAAAATGTAGTCCTCGGCGTCGTGGACAGAGATTTCGCTCCCCATCTCATTCGGCTTCGCAATCAAGCAACCAAACTCGAGCTCGAAATCCAGCCTTCGGCAAGGAGACGTAATAGGCTGGCTCGGCTGGCCCTCGGCAGGAGGCTGCGTCAGGATCTGGCCCCGCGGCCGCTTGATTGGAGTCCCGGAGACGACCACGCTCGAGGCCCGACCGTGGTAGCCGACGGGGAGATGAGTGTAGTTGGGCTGCAGCGCCGCCTTGGGACCCCGGAACATGCAGCCTACGTGAAAGGCGTGATGGTAGCCCGCGTAGAAGTCTGTGTAGTCGCCAATGTCCATGGGCAGGTGCAGCCTCACAGACTTGGCGGGCACGATGACCCTCGCAATCCAAGAATCATCCTTTCGCAAAAGGAATCGTAGGTAGAATCTTGGGCAGACAAGACGGCCTGCAGGCGCTCCCTTGTCTTCTTGTGAAGAGGCCTTCCCAACTCCGCGAACGCGTTAAGGGTCGGTTTCGAAAACACTTCGCTATGCTCTTGGACAAAGTCGAAGACGTGGTGAAACTCGGGATGGCAGGAAAGCTCCTTCATGTCCACCACGTAGTTTCCCACGGCCACTCCGACATGAGGCGCCGGCGATGCCGGGGTGCTGATGATGCCGAATGGGAGGTTCGCGAGGGAAAAGTCGCTGGCTGGATCAACGTCCAGCCATGATGTAAGTGGGGCACCGTGCTCCATGATGCGCACAAGACCTCGAGTGTGTGTATAATCCAGCGGACAGCTACCTTCAATTCCCTGTCACAAAGGGAGTTTGGTTATTATAACTCAGATGGATCTTGCTCGGCAATGGACTGGCCGAGGTTCAGGTCGTCGTCAATTCATCCAGAAGCTTCGCATCGAGCCCTCAACTTGGTGGGGAAAGTTTAGTTAAGAAGCTCCACGTACGAGCTAGTTTTGTGCGCCAAACATCGAACTTTACAGTAATAGAGCACGCCAATGCCTGATTCTCCAGTAATCCGATGCAGTGCGATTGAATGAGCGTGGAGGCGCATACATTTCGCCATGAGCCCGCGCCGGACACTTTGATTTCAAGCTTCGGCACCCAATGGCCCGATAACTAACCCGACGCAACCCGACGCCGGCCGAAAGCTCTCATTCCGCCAACGCCTTAAGCCTACGAACTCCGCCTGTTGCACAGCAGTTGCACAGCAGATTCCGGCTCTCTCGCTATTATACGGCGTATCATATTCAATGTTGATTTGATTGAACATTTTAAGGGTTAATTGTCTCCACTACATTTCCCACAACCTTGTTTCCCCTCTTCAGTGGACGCAGCATCGCCTGTCAGCCTGTCTCCGCTCCAAGCAGGCGGCCAGATTGGGGACAGCGGATGGAGGAGCGGAAAGGCGACGAGGCTTCCTCTCAAGGATCTGGGAGGGATTCGACTAGATCCTCCCATTTATAATCCACCCTTTCTTCCTCGTGCTTGGCCACGTTTTAGACGGCAGGGTGTTTCTTGGCTTTGGCTCACCACAAATGCGAATGCAACTTAGTTGACCAAGGATACACGAAAATGATAAAATTGACGGGGAGACTGATGGGTCAAGGTCGCACTGGCGTGGCCCCTCTTCTCTCACCTGTCATTCGAAAAATCAGCACATCCATGGATGGATGGATGGAAAGGAGAAAGAGTTGCCCATGTTGTGACACAGCTACATTCGGAGATTTAGAAGCGCAGGGGCCCGCTCCTTTGCCTGCCTTGTCCCTGCAATATATGCTTATAAGATATCTCGATGTTGAGGGGATGCATGCATTATAGTTGCCGATCATGCCCTTCTAGGTCTGTTCGACGAAAGAAGGCATTCGAAGGTTGGATCGCGGCATTCATCTCTGAAGTTGAGCTTTTGTTCTTTGTTTTCTTTTTTTTTTTCTCTTTCTTCTAACATCTCTCATGCTATGGCTCCGATGGCACAGTTTAAAATAAAAACAAACACATTCCGCCTAGCTTGCGCAACAGGCCCGGCGGGAAAGAGGAAAGGAAATATGGGATAAATAATGAAACACGGGATGGCCAGCTTTTTTATTTATTTTTCAAAAGCATCTTGGCTCAAGCCCAAAAGTACTGGTAAAGAACATACGAGACCCCGAAGAAAGCACACCATCCTAGGAAGCCCACGAACAAGAGCTGGTTATACGTCTGCCTCGCGTCATCCCTCGAGTTGTTGTGCGGGAACGGCACGTCCGGCACGGGCAGGTTCAGGATCTTGCACAGCGGCTCCCAGCCGTCCTTGACCTCGTACCAGTGCAGCTTGTCCTTGGGCACGACCTCCCTCAGGTGGTTCTCGTGGAGCTCGAGCGAGCCGGGGTTGAACATGTCGAGGTTGTAGCGGTAGAGGGCGAGCTGCTTGAACTTTCGCGCCAGAAGCCGTACTGGTTCACCTTGGGCACCCACATGAGGACGAAGGGCAGGTGGTAGTTGCTCGTCATGGTCATCATGTCCTGCATGGAGCGCCACCAGGATTCGGGAGAGCGCGTGGTCGCGATGACGATGGCGTCGGGGTAGGTGTCCATGAGCTCGGGGGTGAGCGCGGCCGCGGGTAGATCCATGGTGGCGACGTAGCCGTCGAGGAGGGCGGCAACGAGGTACTGGATGTGCTTCCTGTCGGCGAAGGTCTTGTCCTTCTTGGCCGTCAACACCATCAGTTCGCCCCATTGGCGAATCTGCTGAAAGGTTCCGCCGGTGGAGTGGACCCCGGAATCGTGCACCGGGCCATTGAGAAGGATGGTGAGCGCCTGGTTCAGGGTCTTGGTGCCGGTTCGGGACCTAACCGCCGGACTAGTATTAGCACAATAACGTGACAAAGGGAGAAGGCCACAAAGCCCCAACGGGGCCTGGGTCCGGATGATGGCCTACATTCCCGCGCCAATGACCTGAAACTGGACCCCAGGCATGGGCTTTGCTGGCATTTGACCCATCTTGAAGCTTCTTTTCGGCTGCACCGAGAGGATACAGAGACGATGTGGGAAGGCAGATGGGAGGAGTCCCGATGTCGTCCAGCGGCCGGGAAGTTGTCGCGAAGGTGCGGTCTAGATGCGTGCGTCCTTGTGTGTATCTTGATTCCTCTCGCTGAAGAACTTTTAAAAACTTGAACCTTGACACTTTCTGGAGCTCTTCCAAGGGTATCTCGAGTTCACGACGTATAGTGACACGACACACAACACACCCGAAAATAAAGAGACAAGAGAAAAGGAAAGCTGAGACGATCCTAACTTGCTTCGAGATGGTCAACCAAAGCTACTGAACCCAGCTTCCCAGGCCGCGCTGGCTCAACTTGGGCACGAGGAGCGTTGTTCTCTTATATAGCATCCGCCATTACCCCAAATCGGCTTTTGGGGCACACGACTGGACTTGATGCACCCCACATGCTCCGATCAATTAATAAAAGACCCCCTTTACTATATCAATCAATATCATGGCTTCCTGCGTCGCGAAATAATGGAGCATCCTCGTGAAAGGAAAGAGAAAAAAGTGATGCACCGTGGTGAACCAGGGGTGGCTGATGTGCCGGCTAAAGTACCCTCCCGACTAGTTTTTGGAGACGAGGTGTGCGTTCTCCAAAGTTGGAATCTGGCCAATTCATGGGATGACGGCGCCCCTTGGCTTCTTTCAGGATTAGGCGATGACGCGCTTCTCTTTGAGGCTAATGAGGTTGGACTTTGAGCTAATATCATCGATAGAGGCCATGCCCATATATCCCTGCGAATGGCTTGTCAGAGAAGGCCCGGAGCGGGCGAGCAAGCACCCATCGCATCACAACGCATGTCTCGGATGGGGATGGGGCTGTGGGAACGCCAGCATTTCGGAAAAGCCGCCGAGGATAAGACAAAGACGACGAGAGCAGGAATGTACAGCTATCCTTGGAACTGTAGCCAGGAAACATGAGACACAGAACCGAGACTCGAGACGACAATTGGAGACTCGCCGTGTTCCTCTTCTCGCCCGTTGTTGATTTTCGTCCCTTTTTCCCTTTTTTTTTTTTTTTTTTCTTTCTCCCATTCTTCCTCTCTTTGCTTGCACATAGTGTCCCATCTGCGTGCTCGCACTTTCTCTTCAACCTTGCCGCCGCCGTTACAGCCTCCAGTCTCCAGTCCAGACTTGGTTGCGGGAAAGTTGTATAAGTCTAACGGATCTACAGTTTGTGATCCCCCTATGGGTATAGTTCCCTTCCGACTTTTCCGATCTAGATCAATTGATAATACTTTGTTCTTTCTCGTTCAGTGTCCCATTTCTTGGCCTTGCCTACCTGTACTAATTAGCCCTTGCTTCTATTTTGCCCTCCTGCTGGTCCCTTTCTGTCTTTGTTGCTTTTCCTCTCGACTCTTTCTTCGTTGCTGCCAGTCTCTCGGCTCCCCTCCACCCAGCTCGACAGCTCGACGTCGACGTGCAAGTCGCCCGTCAAGCCACCAACACGGCATCGTGCCAGCTTCCCCAGATTCAATGAGACCCTCTTGTATCACTAATCCCTATTTTCCCCGCTCGTTTCCGACCCGTCGTGGGGCAAAAAGCCACGCAACGTAAGCCTAAAGACACAAAGGCACAACCCGACGTCGGAGTTGTTCGAGACGAGAAACGAAAGGCGGAAGGAGATTGGACTTGACACAGATTTGACGGTTTACTCATCATCGCCTGTCACTTTATTTTATCCCGATGTCCAGCGAAGAGACGAGGAATCGTCTCCGTTGGTTTATTAATCCTTTCCACTCTATCCACTGGGCCGCTACATCAATTGATCCAATGTACGAAGTCGAACAGAGAGCATTGGCTCCCATCGGGTGACAGTTTCAACCCTGAAAGCAGTTTCCCTCTTCCCGCCCGTACTCTAGTACTCCATACACGTACGATGTACCTCTGATCTCTTTTTTCTAATCATTTCTTCCACTCTCTCAGTGCTACTTGTATTTTCCACTCTCCCGATTGTCGTTTCCACCCGTGTCTACCACCCTTGGAGCCAGATCCCATTCTGCCATCTCGTCCCCTTTTCGCCTTTATCTCTTCATTAACCATACCTTTGGCCGCGTCATCTGCCACCCGCCACGCGGCGACTTGGTCCCCGTTTAGATGCTTCCTCCACTTCGGAGGTTTGTTCGGCATCGAAACACGGGACTGTCAACCCAAAGAAACTTGGTTGTTTTGGGTTGGAAGGAATCTGGGGGCCGCTGTCAAGTTTTGCTACACTCTCTTGACGCTCTGGAGACGGCTCGAAGTCTTGTGGACCCGGGCGTGATAGGCTAGTTAAAAACCCCCGACACATTCATATGCTTGTGAATACCCCGTTTTATATTGAACGAGCAAAGAGGCGATAAAAAGAAACAGCGACGTGGTGCGTAGGTGAAAGGGCCGAGCCATTACTGCCCCGGACCTTCTTTTTCCTTTTTTTTTTAAAAAAACGCGGCTATCCCGCAAGAGAATGTGGCCACCGAGATTAGACATGGTGTTTCAAGCCACATCGGTAAGCAAAACCGGAATGTCACAGAAGCAAGCGAGGGTCTGAAGAGACAAAGAACTTGCAGGGTCCTCAGAGGGGTATCGTTACTATTCTAAGCTGAAATTAAATACAGCTGGACAGAGGCGCGGATGTGCGCACCTGCACTATATCGCACCGAAATTCGCACCAGGAGATCAATATAACCGGGGCCAAGTCGGCTTGAGGTCCGAAGATGACCTGACCGAAAAGAAAAAGAAAAAAAGAAAGCTGGGAGGACAAGAAGAGGAGGGAAAAGCAAAACCAAAACAAAGAAAGAGCTAGAATGAGAGTGAGAATCCTCGTCTCCTACATCCTGTCGACGACTTCCCTCCGTCCTATCCCTTGTGGAAAACATCGTAAAAGACTTGGCGTGTTTGCAACCCTATGCAAACCGATGCGAAAGTACGGCATCGTCCTTCGCCTGCGCCGGAACCTGCGCCTGCGCCTGCGCCTGAGGTCCACCTGTGACCGGTGCCACCCCGTACGCTCCCTCCATCCTCGCTGGCACCATTACCTGCGCCGGCGGTTGGGGGTCATCCCGAGCGCTGTGCCGGGGACCGATCCTGCCGAGTAATAGCCACCGGGTGGGGCCACAGGAGCACGCAGCGCGCCACGCGGGCCGGGGGCCATACCCGGAACGAACACGGGGTCGTCGTCAACATCGTCGTTAATTTCGCCCTCGCGGATGGCGACATATTCTCGGGGTAGGCCTGCAGTGAGGCCGCGGTCGATACCGACTGCAATTAGGAGTGTTAGCATTCAACATACCATTAGGTAGATGGGAGTGGCAAGCATGTGTGTGTGTGTGTGTGTGTGTGTGTGTGTGTGTGACGACTTACCAATAGCGCTGTGAACCACTTCGTAGATCAAAGGTATCCACAAGGCAACCGCCAAACCCTGGCCTAGGTCAAACACGTTGGCCTTGATCCACGACGTCTTGCTGACAAAGATATAGAGGATGAGTAAAAACGCCCAGACGGCAAGGAAGCCAAGGACCGCGTAGAGCAAGATGAGGGCGCGCAACCCGCGCCGGATGGTGGGTTTTGCCCACATCTTTGTCCGCCGCAGCGGAAAAAGGGCAAGACGCAGCTGATGACCAGGGCGAAGAGGGCGGGGCACCACGCGCCGACGCCGTGCGTGAAGAAGAGGCACGCCATCAGCACGCCGCTGGGGATAAAGTCATCTGGGCAGATGCGCGAGAAGGAGGTTTGGCGAGAGCCCGAGGAGCCGAGATTGTTGATGATGATGGCGATGGCGGAGAGCAGCCAGGTGAAGACGAGGAGGGGCGCGTCGAGCCACTGGCGGCGAGAGCCCCACAGATAGGCGGGAACGGTGGCGGCGAGGGAGAAGTAGGTGATGGCGACGGCGAGCAGCTGGTGGCCGTAAGGGCGAACGCGGCCGCCAACCTCGCCCAGGGACTCGACGTGCGAATTGTGCACCGCGTCGGCCAAGAGGCCGATGGAGGAGCCGAGGCACAGGATGATGGCGCAGATGAAGAAGTGGCGGGTGGATCCGTAAAGGCGTAGATGACGCGGTCGAACACGGTGAACCGGGAGACTTGGGGAATCCTGGAGGCATCGGGGTGGTGCGTCTGAAGATCACCATGGCCATGATGCAGTAGCACAGCACCAGGACGGCTTCTAGGCCCAGCGAGACCAGCATGCCCACTCCCATGCCCGTGTTGTCGACGTGCGCGGTCGTGGCGGCGCAAAGCTGCCTCTGGCACGGCGCGAACCCTTCTTCGAACCGGTAGAGGTCGAAGTTGGGTTGCCAGAAATAGTCGTGATACTCGATAATGGTGTCGCTGCTCAGGTTCTCTCCCGGAAACATGGCCTTGAAGAATGTCGCGGCGTCCCCGTACGAGGGCTCCGGGTAGCCTCCGAGGAGCATGCCCTGCGCGTATGAGGCTGTCGCGTCGCAGTCATTCTGGAATGGGAGATTGTACGCCCGTCGCGGGGTGTCACCCCACGGCGCGGAATTCATTCTGGAGAAGGAGGAAAGAAAAAAACCAATGCTGGTGGGGCCGTGATCACAAGAGAAGAAACTTGGGGACGTGTCGGCTCGGGCTCACCTTCTCCGGATTGAAAAGAGTGACAGGAGAAATGTGGGAAATTATGCCCTTCCTAATATCAAGCGAGCGTGCTGCTTTAGAGAAGCTAGGATCCCCAAAGATACCCACCAGGCATGCGCAGTTGAAAACTTCACAAGCGCTGTTTGCCGTGAATGCGGCGCTCAGCAAAAAGAGAGAAAGATGAGAAGCGATGAAATCCTGAAATGCTGAGTTGCTCCTCGATTAAACTCGGCTTCGCCCCCAGCTTGGCGGGATGTGGGGGCGGGCTTTGCTTTGCTTTGCGTTACTCCCCAAGGCTTCGCCCCTGAACAAGACCAATTTCTTATTTCCCTCGCGTTGTAGGATTTTCTCTCTGGCGATGTAGGATTCCAACGCCAATGCTGCGCCGCAGTGGACCAAAAAGCGGAAGATGCCGCCGAGATGGGTCTATGCGGACATGTTGCGGAACAGCGCAGCAGGCAGCGCTCGCTCCCAAATTTAATAGTTGGTTGGCCCGATTCCTTTGCGGGTTCACATTCTTCGTGAGTCTCTCTGTACAAAGGCCATACATTTCGTGATCAAGAATTTCATCGCACTCTTGATGGTCCCCTCAATCGGCAATTTTCTGCCTTGAGTGGAGCGAAGGCGAGTTCGTAGCCCTGTCCAAGGCAGGAACCGGCAGCCGGACCCACAGGACCAGGCTTGTTCTGGCCTGCCTATTCATCTCCCGGGGCTACTAGGGGCACCGCCCAGATGAGGGCTGCGTGCAATAGGGCAAAGATGCGAATGTGAAAGAAGAGATTTCCATTATTTGACAAAGACAAAGGAAAGATCCGATCCAATAACATGTGGAGTATCTTCTAGAGCACCTTCTAGTCGCAAGAAGAGGCTGGATGGAGAACAATGAACGCGCCCATGTAAGGAACGGTCTCTGAGGACCAATCTCGTAGGCTGCAACTAGATCCATCGGAAACGCCACCCTTGGATGCTTCATTCGAGCGTGTCCATTTTCGCTGGTTCGTTTCACTGTAGAGGAACAGCAATGTATCGGCGTGGCTGCCTGCGTGTTGAATCACCCAACGTATTAGAGCTCATGGAACAGAGGCGATGTGTGCCAGGTGCCATTCTCCATCTCTTCCACCAGTAGAGTAGTGTCCAAGCCTGCCAAGCCGGTCACGATCCCAAGGCAGCACCACTGCAGCGTTTTGTCCTGCTCCTCGGGCATACCCAACTTTTGAGTGTGTGGACCGCCGGGTCGCCCTTTCATGAACCACGTGAGCCCAATTTCCGCCCGAGATGCGCTCACATTTTAGTCAACGATAGCAAAAGGCTCGCAGAGGTCGAGGCAAGGAAGAAGTGATATCCATAGATGTGAATGGAAGTTCGGCGCTTCGAGGCGAATGGTGGGCAAGCAAAGTCGGACCTGTGTTTCATGTTTCAAGTCTCAGCTTTTTCTCGAATGTGGTTGGCAGATCCAGGGGCAAATCGCCAAAGGGAACGAGACTCGAGACCTTAGTGGTCTTGGTCGTCGAAGAAAGAGGAGCACGCACTTTGAGGGGGATTGGGGAATGGGGAATGTGATGGCCAAGACTCGCACGGTCCATGTATCCCCAAGAATAGAAGTACATGACCGGGTCCCGTAAATTGCAGGCACGCTCCCGTACTGCGCCACGGCGTGAGACAAAAACCTGGCTGCTGGGTATTGAGTTCCTGCACCCCTTCGCTTGGGCGCTAGACATCTCAGTGCTGGATCCAGGGGCCCAGTTGCCCAACCCCATGCGAGGAGTCGTCACCCCAACGCCCTTCTGATGCCACTAGGGTTTCCATGTGCACTCACTTGATCGGTAATACGAATGCAAATGGGCGGGAAAGACGAGGATCTGGAGATCCTTTTTTGTCCGTTTCTTTTCTTTTCTTTTTCCTTTCTCTCCTTTCGTCATCTGTTCCTTGTGGCCCAGCTTGTGCTCTTCGTTATTGACCTCTGTGCTCCCTAGTGCTCTCTGTGGTGATGGCTCTAATCGACGTTGCATGACCGAGCTCAAGAAGCTCCGAGCAATATGCAACGTTGAGCTGTAAGCGGATTAACCACTTTCAGGATTTGGCTTCGAGATCGCTCACGCCCGTTCTATTGGACGATACGCTTCCAACGCTCGCATGAAGCCAATCACCCAGCCCACCTTGATAGGTCCATGCTTGCCATCCATTTCTCCCGTTACCACTTTATCTCCGTCCCATCTTCGCCACCCTTGCTTCAGGAAACTCAAGACCCATTTCCGGTCGTCGTGGGTTTCTCGACAAGGCGAATCAGGAACAGTCCTTTCGGGATTGGTGCCGAATGTGGACTCGTTTTTTGCATCCCCTTTTGCCCCCTAAAGGCATTCTGTTTCGCTTTGAAAATACGAAGCGAATATTTCCCACTTTCAGGCACACGAGAGCATCAAGGGGTGGCGGCTCGCCCTCGTGGCGCCGCCTGGTAGTTGCTAGCCGAGGAGACCAGCCTTGGTATCGGTGATCGACACCTCCCGTAATAAACCAGCTATAGTTTTTCATATCAAGGTTTCTTGGTTGGTTCCATGATTCCAGAAAACGGCATCTTTGTATCAGAGTCTAGAAGACGCAGAAGGCTCCCTTTCTCCGTCCCCTCCTCCTCCGCTTGGAAATAGATCAGTGTGATTACCCCTCCCTTTTGATGAGCACAGCAGATATCTCAAGGTCCAAACCCCTGGACCCCCGCTCAGTGCCACAATGGCCAGTGCATAAATGGTCCATTGATGGCGTGGCCCGGCCCCTGCTCTGAATAGAATCCTCAGCATAATTAAAGTCCAGGAGCCCGAGTGGAGCGCGAGCTCTTTGGGTGCCGCGGAGGCTCGGTATTGGTGGGAAGGAAGGGAGCCAAGGCGCCCCCGCCGAGTTCGACAACAACGCTGCTTTTTTCTCTTTTCTTTTTCACCAGTTGATGGTGTTACAGGTTTACCCCTGCTTTCCTCGTCTTGACCTCGCCACAGCGTCCATCTTCTGGTGATCCTCTCTCTCTCCCTCTCGATGGATCCTGGGATTAAAATAAAATAAAAAAAACCTGTACGAAATAGTAAAGTCATGGGCGAAGACGCCGGGCACACCCACGAACCCCTGTTCGTCCACCCCTCCTCCACTGGCCATGGCTGGCTAGTCGTTCAGGCGATGGGGACCTGACCTGCTCTTCACTTGCGATGAGATGACATCCAGATGGCCCCAACACGATGGACACCCTGCGTAGATCTTGGCCCACCCCCGATTGGATGATCCAGTCCAAGGTGTGAGCCGAAATGGCACCCTCCCCAGAGAGCATCCTCAAAAGACTGCCCCTTGCTCGTACAAGTATTAGAGCCAGTTCCTATTTAATATTCCAAGTTGCCTCACTCACCCCGGCGCTTCTGTGTTGCGATGTTCTGGCTTTCTTCCTCTCTTCTTCATGGTTGATCCAACCTTCTTACATTCTCTTTGTCGCTCCTTCCTTGTCCCTTTGGGCCATCGCGGAGCCTAGCAGGCCTTTGTTCTTTTCTTCTCGATACCTCTTTCTCGCTTCGCCATTCTGTTTCCGACCGGCCTTTTGATCGATCCCGATTCTTGCGCTTCATCGACTGAAACGTACCTTTGAAACTGATTGTGAAGGATACCTTCTTTTTGGCAATCATATTCCAATACACTCCTGGAGAGCAACCCTTTCACTTTTGAACCCTCTTTTCAATATCAAACCACACTTCTTCTTTCTCGGCCCAATCCCACGATCAGCCTGTGCTCATCACCTTGAGCTCCTGACGCATAGAGCATCTAACCTTCTTTTTCGCGTTCTGGCTTCGACGAAACCGCCATCATGAAATCCGTTGGCGTTCTTCTCCTGGCTTTTAGCCAGCTTACCGCTGCCTGGCAGGCCCGTCCTATTACGGCTTTCGCCTTGTTTGGCAGGATGACTTTAACGGCGCTGCCGGCGAGCTCCCAAACGACAACAACTGGGAGTTGGTGACGAATGTCAAGGTCAACAACGAACTCCAAGACTACACCACATCGAACCGAAATCTGCAGCGAAGTGGCGGCAACACGCTCCAAATTGTCCCCTGGTATGAAGGAAACCGGTGGACCTCTGGCCGCGTCGAGTCCAAGTATGAATTCACCCCTACATCCGGGAGCGTCACCATGGTGGAGGCGAGCATCCGGTTTGGCGATAACCCCACTGTCAACAAGAGGGGATACTGGCCCGCATTCTGGCTCCTCGGAGCCGCGATTAGGAACGGGGTCGACTGGCCTCGATGCGGCGAGATTGATATCCTCGAGACCGTCAACGGCCAACTTGAAGGCTTCGGGACGGTCCACTGCGACATCTATCCGGGGGCGCCTGCAACGAACCCATGGGCCGTGGCGCGACGGTTGCCTTTGCCGATCAGGGTTGGCACACTTGGCGAGTTTCTTGGGATCGCCGACCTGCGGACTGGACCCAGCAAACCATTACTTGGTATCGCGATGAGCAGCAATTCCATCAGATTTCCGGCGCTGCTATTGCCAGCGAAGGCATCTGGAAAACCCTCGCTCAGGCTCCCTTGTTCTTCATTCTCAATGTTGCCGTTGGTGGAAACTTGGTGAGTATCTAACACGATTGGCCTACAATTCTTTCTTGACTCACTGCTAACATGTTTCTTTGGTAGCCTGGAGATCCAGACAGCAATACACGTGATGGGTATGGCAGCATGATGGAGGTAGGATATGTTGCTCACTATGTTCAGAGCTGATGGCGGGTAAAGGACGGCACCGCAATCGAGGAAACGGGCACCGTTGATTAAGCCCATGATTTCGAGGGCGAGACTCACTTTCTTCACTTCAACTTGTATATATATTTTCTCTCTGTATCTATGAAGAGTGACATCCCTAAAAGGGACACTGTCAATAAATTGTTGGCCATTGCCGAAACAGCTACTTGCCGTATAAGTTTGAAGAGTCCAGCCCCGGATCAAGTGCTCTAGACCCCTTTGGGCCCCGTTTAGTTTGTCCCAGAATCAGAATATGTCATTGATGGGATCAGGTTGGTCGTTACCCCTAATGATATTGATTCTCTTTGCCAGCTTCGGCCTGCAAGATAATAACACATACGGTTGACATGAGACCATGAACCACTTATTCCGTCGGGAACCTTGGAATGATCCACGTGACTAGCGGAACACTGTGCCAGCCACTACAGTGCAGCTGAAGCTAAGTCAGCCGACCAACTGGGGGCGATGTCGGTCAGGAGACCGTTTACCCTTGAGCATGCAGGGAACTTTGATGGCATCGGTATTTTATGTGGTACGACTCGTGGCGAGGACCAGGAAAGCCGCCTTGAACAATCCGTGACGCTGGTCTGTCGAACGGTGGTGGAACGAGTTGAGTCCGATCCCGGAAGGAACGGGAGTGTTCAGTATTGGGAAAGTGGATGGCACCATGTCTGCACTGTGGCCGCTCCGACGGGGGCATGCGTTAGCGTTTCCAACTGGGGTCGCTTCCCCAGATTTCCATTCTCGGTCGGCGCGGGTCTGTAAGCCCAGCAGTGGGGAGCTGACCGGGGCTAGTACTAAACAATCAGCTCATCAATCGCCTAATAACCTGCGGGCCAAAACGAGCCCAGTTCCTGATGGCCGACTGACACAGTACGGCGACTTGCCCGCGTGCCACCCCTCACGCTCTCTCACAACTCCTCGTTACACTGACGTGCGCAGCTCGCTCAGGTCGCCGTTCCCTCCTCCTCCTCCCTCCTTCCCCCTATGAACGTTTAATTGCTGGCCTACGGTTGACTTCAACCTCGCCAACGTTTCGCATCGTGCATGTAGTTTTACCTCTTCCGTACCGTATTATTGAAAAGAGCCGAGTATCACCTTGTTTTCTGAATAATTTTTGCGCTCATCGGGGATGAGGCCCCGGCTCCGTGTACCCTTGCATCATTTAGGTGTTTCCCCCTGGCGAAGACGCCGTCCATGACGCAGAAGCTCATGTCACGCGATTGCCTCCCACCCCCGCTTTGTACCCCGTACCAATCCCGCCACAGCCGCCCGGCGAAGTGTCTCGGTATCGGTACGGTATCAAGTTCCATCATGGGCAAATTCAGGGCAGGTAAACCCGTCTCCCCCGCGAAGGCGAGGGCGAGGTCCTGCCTTCCCCTCTCCGAGCTCATACCCCGCCTATCCCGTGAACCAAAGGTAGGAACTTAACAGCCCAGCCATTTCCCACAAGTGTATGAGTAGGGGAACTTGAAGGGACCTTGGCTCATCACGGGACCAGACATTGATCGCCTCCCTCCTTCTTAGCCGGTTGCTCCCCTTTCCCCTCATCAGTCTTTAAACCTTCCCCTCAAAGCTCTCTGAACCTCCCACCTTCAACCTTCCTCTTCACTTCTTCATCTTTCCTTGTTCAACCCAAACGACACCCTCAATCGCAAGGTAAGCTTGCTTCTTCTCCTATAATCACCCTTCGTCAAGCTCGTCTTCCCCTTGCATCCCTCTTTCACTTCCATTGTCGTGTTTTCACGAGATACTAATGCGCTGTCTCAGCTTCCTTCATCCTAACCCCGCCCTCCAACCCCGCCTCTCTTCACCAGAACCGCCGCAAACATGGCAGCGACAGCTAAGAAGGCCGATGTCAAGAACATCAACGACCTCGGTATGTAGAGAGCTGTTCGAGTGGTGCTAGATTGTGCCCCTGTCTGTTGACGCTCGTACACATGAAAAGCATGCTAATCAGGTATTTGGCGCGCTTTTGTAGAAAAGGATGGCGTCGAGCTCAAGATCAATGCCGACACCCAGAAGACTGGCTGGTAAGTCTTTCACGGTGGGGGATATGTTCCTTTCCTCAACTCCGTTTTCCCCTTGCGTCTTCATCTGATGCACGAACGGGTGCTGACCCAATGGCCCCGGCGGCTGTTTTTAGGAAGATCAACAGTTCAACATCCACGGTAGAAGACCCTGCCGTACTCAAAGATTACCTCACCACTCCTCCTGTCAAGAAGATTGACCTCCGGTTCCCCCTTGGAATCGTAGTAACTGCCCGTAATCTTAAGGGTGTTACGATCAAGGACGCGTTAGACGCCATTCACAAGGCTTACAAGAAGAGGGTAGGCTTATTCTTCCATTGACCTTTCAAGAGCGGCTAGCTAACAACGCAAATGTCTCTTTGCAGACTGACGACGAGTTGGACCTGCCCTACCTCGCTGGTTTCGAGTGGGACAAGGAAGAGTCGTGGACTGAGCTTGTTGTGCACCTCGCCAAGAACTCTAGCGCGCCCATGGAGAAGAAGAAGAAGAACAAATAAGCGCTCTCTTCGCCTCGTCGGTACTAGCAACGGCCAACGATTTCGTTTCCCTGCTAGACCTTCTCCCCTGCCAATCTCTCATGAGTGGCAGCCAACTGCTGTGCTTGATTGTCGGGTTGCTTGAGACAATCCTGTTTGTAGAACATGGGGGTTGTCGATCACAAGCACTCGATCTCGAACATAGTGTGTTACCTACGCATGCATATAATTGTAGAACAGCCAGCGATGAACCTTGTGCAATTGGGACGGGGGTTAGTAGTTCCTGCCTATTCGACTTTCAATACATTGTTCTGCTGTCATTTATTTTTTCTTCCCTTTGCTCCACGATTCCTAGCGACCAATTGTAGAAGTGAAGCACTATTTATGCAGGAAAACCCCCTTTTGTGTTGACGTTGACGACACGACTAAGAGCGATCAATTGATGTCGTGGATGATGTCGCGATGTGCCAAAGTGGAGACGGCTTCCCAAGTCATCAGGCCAGGGCGGGCGGGGTCTTCGGTGAAGTGGGGCAGGAGCTTGCCGAACACGATAACAGATTTACATAGAAATCACTGAGCACAATGTTAAGAGGATACAGTGGTTGATGAATGATTACGACACCGGCGGAACCAGAACCAAAAGCCAATCCACCACCGGATGTCTGCCTATGTTTTCTCACTCCAAAGCCCTCAAGAGTCAAATCTGGCTCACGTTCGTCGGCCTTCTCCAAAAGGTAGAATTTCTGGGGTCGCCCCGGCCCCTTGGAGCTCTTTGAGTTGTTCTTTTCAAGCGCTGCGCCGAGCTTGTTTTCGCAAATCGCGGGGAAGCTAGGGGCAGGAAGCCGAGGGCTGTCACTGACGTAAGATTGGGTACATGAAGGTTCAACTGCTGGGTTCAATCGGCTACACGCGGATCACCTATGCCATTCTCGGGCCTGGAACAGCTGTGCGGAAATACTCCCTTCATGGCCACACAAGCAACCTTTCGCAAAGGTCCAAAAGCGTGCGACTCCGAGAAGGCGGGGATTAAGAAATTGGAATGGAAAGGACCGGGTCGCGGCTGTAGTTGCTTAGTTTAGAGAATTCCGCTCTTTTGCTTTAAAATCGAAACTGTCCTCCGCCAACCCGTTTCTCGAACTCTTGTCTTTTTCTCAGATGATACGGAGGGCCCGCGGAAACTGCTAATTCGAAGGCTGAGCAAATCATCCAAGCATCCACTTCGATCTGAGCCCTTGAGCACGAGGATTTCATCATCCCCAAAGTCTCCACTCCCTTCCAGCACCATGCCGACGACGCAGTTTAGTTTTGCCGAAAAGTATCGGTATCAGACTGGCTTCGACTCCTATCTCGAGTTTGTCATCCCGCCCTTCCCTCTATGGCGCTTTTGCCAGTCGAGTCTGTCTGATACACAATGCTAACCATGGCTGCCGTGGGATAGGAGCGAAGCTGCACCGGGATCTCTTCCCATCGGGGCCAACTCGCCACAGAAGCCGCCGCATGGCCTGTACGCCGAGAAGTTGTCCGGCACCGCTTTTACCGCTCCCCGACACGAGAATAAGCAGACCTGGCTCTACAGGATACTCCCATCATGCTCTCACCCGCCATTCGAAGCAGCAAATGTGAATGCGGAGGCGGTCAGCGACTTTTCCAAGCTCAAGTTCATCCCTAATCAGCTGAGATGGGATCCATTTGATCACAACGAGTCGAAAGACCTGGATTTCGTGGCAGGTTTGCGGTTGGTCGCCGGAGCTGGCGATCCCGCGCTAAAACAGGGACTGGGCATGTACATATACGCCGCGGGCAAGAGCATGGATGAACATACGGCCTTCTACTCTGCCGATGGTGACCTGTTGATCGTGGCTCAAGAGGGCGTCCTCGATATCCGAACAGAGTTTGGGTGGTTGTGCGTACGGCCAATGGAGATTTGCGTGATCCCCGGGGTGTGAAGTATCAAGTGCATCTCCCCTCTGGACCGGCAAGAGGATACGGACTCGAGCTGTACCAAAATCATTTCGTCCTGCCAGAGCTTGGGCCTATTGGGTCGAACGGCCTGGCGAACGCCCGAGACTTCCAGGCGCCGGTGGCCTGCTTTAGCGAAGACCATGGCACAACGGCATCGGACGGTCCCACCAAATACTCGGTCATGGTCAAGTTCAACAATGCTCTTTTCCAAACCACGCAAGCCCATACGCCGTTCGACGTTGTCGCATGGCACGGAAACTACTACCCATACAAGTATGACTTGGGGCGCTTCAACACCATTGGCTCGATATCGTATGACCATCCAGATCCGAGCATCTTTACCGTTCTTTCGGCTCCAAGCGAACACCCTGGAACAGCCGTGGCCGACTTTGTCATCTTTCCTCCCCGATGGCTTGTGGCAGAGGACACGTTTCGGCCGCCTTGGTACCACCGCAACACGATGAGTGAGTTCATGGGTCTCATACTAGGAGCATACGACGCCAAGCGAGCCGGGAAGGGAGGCTTCGTGCCAGGCGGTGCTAGTTTGCATAATGTCATGAGCGGACATGGTCCGGATGCGGCGAGCTATGAAGGGGCACGCAACGCCGAGCTCAAGCCAGCCAAGGTCGGGGAAGGGAGCTGCGCGTTCATGTTTGAGAGCTGCTTAATGGTAGGCGTGACCGAATGGGGACTCAAGACTTGCCAAAAGGTCCAAGAAGGATATAACGACGAGAGCTGGGGTGGGGTCCGGGTGCACTGGCAACGACCTGAAGGAGACCATGGAAAGGCGCACTTGTTGTAGGAGAGGCGGGGGCGCCGGCGTCCAATATTACAAGGGAGAGAGCGCAATTTGACGACTTGGAAGATATCACGAGGGCAAAATAGGCATAGTGCAATTGCATTTTGGTGAAATTGGATTTTGTAGGAAAAAGAAAAGGGTGGCATGGCCCCGAGGTCGAAGTTGTCGCTTCGCTGGGATTCACGCGGAACCTTCAATACACCGTTCCGTTGCATTTTTTCTCTGGCGCATTTTCTTCTCTGGCGCTCTTTTTCCTACTTTCTTATGAGGCAGCTTTTCTTTTACCTCTGTTTCCATCGTGTTAATCTTTGGGAGATAAAGGCCACGGAACTTGTCCGCATGGCTTTCACCATCCATGACACACCCAGCACCTTAAGACAGGTGCTATTGAACACAGCGGGAACGCTGGAGGCAGGGTGGCTTTCAGCTCAAGTCCTGTTTCCATGCGCCGTTGTTAAGCCTGCCGCATTAGATAATAACCTCAGAGGCTGTGGGATCTGGGGCGGCGTTCAGCAAAACGCCATTGGGACGCCACCTCGTTCCCAGAACCGGGTTTCACCCTCGCCCCCTCCTCCCTCCCTCCAAAAGCATAGGCTGTCAGAACCCACAGCTCGGATAGACTTTTGTGCTACGTTCGTTTGTGCAGGGCATCGGTGGAGACGTGCTAGTTTTCAGGGTTCGAAAAGAGCAAAGACGGACAGCCATGGACGAAAAAGATGGCCCTCTCGTGCTCGCGTGGCGGTAAGCCTCCCCATTGACCGACGTGCGACCGAGAAATGGGGGTGCAGTCATATTAGGTGTTGGTGGTATGAAATATGAATCAACGAGAAGCGAGGAGATCGGAGTTTCTTCCGCCTTTTTTCTCTCTTTTTCTGTCCTTGGCCTTCTTTCCTTGCTTCTTCTCATGTGCTTCCCCCTGTCTATTCTGCTCCTTCGACGTATGAAAGTATGCGTGCTTGAGCGTACATTGGATGGATTCGACGTTGAACCTGGAGCCGAACTTGCAGATGTTTAGCATGTTTTTCTGTCGATCTCTTGGTCCGAGGCTCGTTACTGGATGCAGCCGACCGCCCTGGTTATGCTTTCCATCACCGCCCTTTTTCCGTAAACTCGTGACTCTCTGACTGTGCTTCGTTTTCTTTGGCCCCGGCCCGGGCTGGGGGTTTCTTTTTCTTCATCTCGGGTCCTTGCCGTTCGTGGGCCCGGCCCGCCCCCTCCCCTCCTCTTAGATGCCACGAAGAGGGAAATAAGCCGCTTTGGGCATCCTGCCGCACGCGAGAAGGGAGATTGACGGGATTGGGTGGTTGAACTCTGGAGGGCGTGGCGCTCCGGAATGCAGCTTTCGCGTAATTTGGTCGACTCAGGACCGGAGGACCAGACGCGATGATGACAGGGCATGCAGGTGAGCTCTTTGGAATTGAACCTGCTGCGCGGCCATTCCTTCCGACCTTCTTTTCCCAAGAAGAAGAAGAGAAAAAGTAAAGAGTCGTGAGGAAAATGAGGGAATGGGAATGGAAATCGACAGGGGGCCGGTATGAGAGTTTCCAAGTGCGGAACCTAGGGCCGCCTCTCGTTTGTTTCTTTTCTTTTTTTCTTTTTCGGTCCTCGCGGGTGTTATTGTATATCGGATCAGGGAAGCCAAGAGACGACTAAATGGCTCAAAATGCTAGGTTCGTGGTGAGATTATACCAACGTAGTCTATAATGCTATGCGCTATGAGGTGTGCTAGGTGCTATGTATGTCGTAGAAGGAGGAATGAACAATGGTATCTCGTGAAGCTATTTCCTTTTCCCCTCCTCTCTATGATGCCCTAGATGACATGTGTAAACTAGAAGAGAAATTCGCTGTAATACCGGAGGGACAACTAAAAAAGGGGGCTTATTGGAGGAAAGAGAAGGGTTGAAGAAGAGGAAAAAAAAAAAAGACATTGGGTGAAATGCAATAAGACGCCGGACAGGAAAACGGACCTGTCTCCCTCATTCACGCCGCGCTACTAACCAACCGTACTCCCTTCCCTGTATTGATTATCATCATGGACATGAAAAAACAAAGAAAAGACGCTGTACAATGAGACGAAGCATTATAGAAAAAGAAGAATGGGGGCGTGGAGGGGAAGAAAAAGGGGAAAAGATGGTGTAAAAAAGGACAGCAGGAAACCGGCGCATATCCCGCTTCACGCATCTTCGTCCCCTGTAAACTTTTCCCACTCTCGCCTTTGCATCTTCCAACCCGTCCCTCACGGCAGAGGTTTCCTCGCGTGGATGGCGTGAAAGGGGAGAAAAGTGTGAAAGGACACGTCGGCGGTGGCCTTCCTGACCTCGACCAGAAACATCTCGAGCTGCATCATGGTCCAGCCGAGGCCGTGGACAAAGGGTTTCCTGGCCATGCCCTTGAGGCCGTCGATGATGACGGTTTTCAAGAGCTGGCCGCAGTCGGAGAGCTCGCGCTTCTTGGGCCACACGCCAATGGGGCACTTGAGCGTGGTCTGGGTGACTTTTTCGAAGCCGAGCTCGCGGAGGTCGTCGGCCACGTGAGTGATGGCGTGGAGGTCGGCGCCGAGGGCGAGGAGGCCCTGGGAGAGGTGGAAGAAGAAATCTCGGAGGCGGTAGGTGGTTTCGGGGGTGAGGGTGGAGTCGTCGGCTTGGGGTTCGTAGTGCAGCTCTTGGATCTCTAGGTAGCCGCCGGGTTTGAGGTGTCTGGAACGTGAAGAGCGTTAGTGGGAAAAAGGCGCCTGCCTACCCTGGGGGCCTGATCGCTTGGGCCGGCCTTGGACCGCGCCGGAGAACGAAGGAAAAGACTTACTTGTACGCTCTCTCGAGAAGATCCCGCCGGTTCTTGATGGAGTGCAGGGTGTGGCGTATGTGGATGTAGTCGAAGTGGTTTTCGGGGTAGTCCCATCCGTTTTCGTGTTCGATGTCGTCGACGAGGAACTGGACGTTGGGGGCACCAACTCTGGTTGTATGGGGGAGAGGTCGAGTCCGAGAAATTGCGAATCTGGGTACACGTCTGCCACTGCGGAGGGGGCGATGGGTGTTAGACTTGGGATCTCTACACGAGGGGACCAGAAGAAAAAGGCAAGAAAGAAAGAAAGAAAAAGAAACATCAACGACCATGACAGCACCATAGCATCTCCTTTTCCTTTCTTTTCTTTTCCCTTTTCTCATCAAGGAAGGGAAACCCCCAAAGCGAGAGACAAGAAACGAGGCCTAGGGGCCCAACTCAACTTACATTCCGTGCACCAAGCGCCCGTTCCAGTTCCTATAAAAGAGCAAGAAGTGGTGTTAGCCGCATTTTTTCATATCGAAGAAAGTCCGAGCTGTTTTGAAGCCATCTCCATCAAAAGCAGGGCACAAACCACCAAACGAAGAAATGTGCCCCATCTTGTCCTCGTCAAGCTAGAGAATCAACTTACCAAGGTCTAATACCTCGGCACCTTCTGTTAATAGATCCTCCACGGGTGCATAAAAGGCCTTGCCGTCGCACAACTCAAGGGTCATAACATGGCGCATCTCGTCACACTGCTGCTCGACGTCGTCGTTGGGAAACGGGTATTTGCCCGCGTGGTAAGCGTGATAGCGGAGACCGCCCTCGACGACATGTTCAAGGATGCTTTCGGTGAGGCTCTTGGTTTCGATGGACCGGTGGTAGGTTTCCGAGTCGGAGGAGCCCTCGCTAGACTGCCCGCGGGGCTCTTCAGAGGACATGTTGGTGGGCGAGGGGCGGCCGAGGCTGACCAGACCTACGGGATCGAAGTAACGGTGGCGAGGACGGGGATTTGGACAAAGGCCGGAGAAGGATGTTGGCGTGACCACGATACTGCAATGGCGTTCTCGGGATGTGCAAGGATGCATATGGAAAGTTCACACAAGACTTTTGAGACTAGGGAGAAAAGAGAAAACAAGAGTGTAGGAAAAAGAAAAAGCGGGAAAAATTAAAGGGGGCGGAGGAAAGAAGAAGAATGTGGAGAGCTTCTAGCGGGAAGCTGTCAAGCTTGGACGGCAGAACTAGGCGGAAGTTTGGTGAAACCGGCGTGCGGGACTCGGGGCTTCGGAGAAAGAGAGTGTTGAAAGGGGGAAACTGAAGCCGTTGGGTGGCGATGTCGGGACAAAAACGCTGTTTTAAGGTTGGGACAAGTCCCGCTTCCTCACAAGGTTTGGTGCCTTTGAACGCCTTTTTTCCCCTGCTCTCCGCGTCTCCCTTTCTTTTCGGTTTAGACTAGGTCGAAAGAGGCGGGACAAACATTAGGAGTACGGAGAAAGGAGGAAAGATGGTCGAAAAGAAGTCGGATTTTAGAAAGGGAAAAGAAATTCAGGAGAAGAGGAAAGACGATCCGAGGAAGAAAGTGCGTGTGTGTGTCTGTGAGTGAGTTTGTGTGTGCGGGCGGGTGACGGAATAAAGTACCAGGGCGGAGGAAGGTAGGCGGGACTGGGGAGGCTCCAAAGGGGGAAGAAAAAAAAAGAGACCCAAGCAGTTATAAGCAGAAGCTAGCAAGGGAGTTGAGCCAGCAGACCCAACAGCCTGGGAAGCCAGAGATCTCGGCCGAGGATGCGGGAGTCGTGTGTACCTGGCCGGGAAGGCGTAGGATGCGAGTCCGACTGGGTGGGAGAGAGAACGGCAAGGGGGAAGGATGCGCTAAGGACCGAGGAACCAGGAGAAAGACGATCTGGCACTCGAGCAAGGAAGACGTAGGCCCCAAATACTTCGATGCAGAGTCGATGGAGGCGGGTCCAGGAGGGAACGGGGCGCCCGCTAATACGTCGTGGAGGCTTTTGGGAGATAGACAGCGGGCGAGGGCGTAGGGAGAAGGGCAGGGAGAAGGGTAGAGAGAGCGAGGTAGAGAGAGAGAGAGAGAGAGAGAGGTTGAGATGGAGGAGGAGAGAGCTGGAAGGGGTGGGCGTTGCCTATACCGCCCACGCTCTTGCGGCACTCAGTGGTTCACTGGCCCAGCTGCCAGGACCCGTTGGAATGAAGGGGGTGCGTGGATGAGAGAGCTCGAGAATGGAATGGGCGCACGCAGAAGAGTGGATAGTGAGACTAGGCCCCATGTAGAAGTCAGAGACGCATCGCATCGATTCGTGCTGGAAGCTTCCCAAGAGCCGTGGAGCCGTGGACCCGTACGCCGGGAAGCAGGGACCAGGGTCGGGTGTATTTTGTTTCTTGCACCAGTGCTCCCCCTTCAAAGATCCCTCTGCCCCCGTTCCTGCTTGACTTACAGGTTCTGATTAGTCGAGAGGGTCCTCCCGTGGATCAAGGGGTTGGGTGGAGACGGTATATGTATATATATTATGGATAAGAAAAGAAAGAGGCTTTTTCGGCGTTGAGGGGTGGAAAGGACCTTGGCCGGAGAAAGAGCCCCGAGGAGCTCGGGGAGATTGTGGAAGGGGAGGTGGGGAGGAGGAGAAGATCTGAGGTGGATCCTATCGTAAACGCCGTCGAGAAAAGCAGGACCAAGGGTCGGAGTATAGGTATGTTGCTCAAGAGATGGAAAAGGGGAAGGAAGAAGAAGAGAGAAAGAAAAAAGAGAGAGAAAAAGGATGGCACTCGTGGGAACCCACACGTCGAAAAACGTCAGACGAACAAGAGGTCGTGCGGCAGCACAGAAGATGGGATGTGAAGTCGAGGCAAGGAACAAGCATCGATGGGTTTGGGAAGAGAGACTCGTGGTCGACATTGAAGACCCAGCTCGCTGGCTCGGGGGAAGAACAAGCCCTTGTCACAACCACCAACAACGCAACCGATACCCCCATGTCCCCCATGTCCCATGTCCCATGTCCCGACAACCTGGTCCCCTCATGCAACCCGGAGACACAAAAACCCGCCTGGCTGGTGGAGGTGGAGGGGAAAACACGGAACTGGCGGACAGGACAAGTCGCAATTTGCACCTGTCACGGATCCAATTACTTACATGCGAAGCAAAGGGGGGTTTCTTTCTTTTTCTACCCATTATGAAGCTTGGCATTGGCTGGAGAGAATTGGACTTGAAGACGCCGGATTCGTTTTCTTCATTATCCTCCTTTGGTCTGCTGTCTTTCTTTCGTTTTTCCTCACTTCCCTCCTTTCCCTCGGCCGCTTGCTTTGTCTGTGGCTGGATTGGATACGAGAGTTGGATATCGGACAGGGTGGCTTTCCTGGGTACAAGTAGGTATTACGATTATTATTATGAGTAGTATTATCCAACCCTCGGTCCTTGTCGTATAAAACGCCGCCATGCTCTCTGATGGTGCTCATGTCCTGGTCAAAATTACAAGCTAGACCACTTGCGGGAAGGGGGTGGGTGAGGAGTGACGCGATGGCAGAATCTGGTTTGGGGGAGCAGCTGGAAAAATAGAAAAAAAGAAAAATTGAAGGGTTGGTGCGGGTGCGGGTGCAGATGAGATCAACCCTGTCCTCAAATTCATCCGACTAGCAGGACACTGGTGCACGACACTGACGAAATGGTCTTGACATCTGGGGCGGTGCCAGGCCACTGGGTGTCGGGCAGAGAGACTGGACATGAAAAGGGGAGGAGTACCGAGGGAGGAGAGGGTGGTGGCGAGAAACGGCGGAGGGGAGGGGATGAGAGGGAGGTGGGTGCGATGACCAGCATGCGAGACTGCGAGCAAAGATGGGAAAGGAGGGCGGGGAAGCAAGTAAACCTGGCGATGATGCCAGCTCGCCAACTGGGAGGAAAAAATAAATAAATGAAAATCTTAGTCAAGGGAGCCAGATGAGAACAGAAATCTCTCTCTTCTAACCCCTCCGCTATCCCAAAGGGGAGGAAGAAAACACTTTTCAATGGCCCTCTCCAGACGAACGGGTTTGCAAAATTTCGCTTGTTGCATCCATGCCACGCTTGGTCGCATCCAAAGAGGAATTGCATATCAAAATGTCCCGTGCCGAATCTGGATCTGGTCCTCTTCCTTTCCTTTTCTTCTTCTTTTGTTTTCTCCCTCTCGCGTCCAAAATTTTCCCTTATTTGGTTTGACTATCCCCTGTGCTTGTTCTGGAAAAAAAGGGCCGGCTCTTCATTTCGCTGCCATCGTCCCCAGCCGCGCTTCCCTCCTTTTTTTTTTTTTTTTTCTGTCCCGAGAATCTGGGCCTTTGGCGTTAGTTAAAATCTTGGGAGGGGCAAAAAGAACCGTTTCCTGGGACCGACCCGACCGTGCGCACACGTCGTGGTACTTTGTACCTCCCGAGTTGGATGTTTGGCAAAACGCCTCAACTGGGAAACGTACAGAATCACACCTTGTGCGGATCTGGCCTGGGCCGGTGGACCAGACTGGCGGTAAAGGGCCAGTTGGCGACATGTAACCAGGGACGGAAAGGGAAAGGCGGACAACATGAACAACATTAAGAACATTGAATGATTCGGGGGTCTCCACTTGGTACATGCCCCCAAGTTCAATGTTGCTTGCTCCGCCCACGGCCTTTTGCCCACTTGTATCTGCTGGTGTTTTTCGTACTACTCGTAATCCACACCTCGAGTCCGCGCTGAGTTTAATTTGAGGGGATGAGGTGAAATGGGATGAAATAGGATGAAATAGGGATGGGATCGCTCAATTGTGAGTGCAGCCACTGTAAAAGTTGGTCAGACCTAGTTTGGCGACGTTGCACTGAGCCGCTCGCCATCCACTCCTCTCCACCTCCGGCACAGAGGTCAGCGCAGCATCGCTTCCACTCATTCCACTTATTCCACTTATTCCACTCAACCGATCCTGCTGCAGCAGGTGTCTCGGATCGGATATATCTAAAGAAGAGAAGAAGAAATTGCCCTCATTGCCCGCTCCACGGGCTCTGGATGAATCGACCAAAATGTGATTCTAGCCGCGATGTGGGGTTTACTTCTACATACGTGTCCTTCTTTGCGTCCGCAGTCGGGCGAAGATGCACCAGGTTTATAGGGACTGAAGACAGCAAATTGATAGCAGCTGCACGTGGATCAGCGGTCCTGCCTGAGCATCGCCGGGCCGGAGCCAATGCGGAGAACTGTCAAAAAGCTGTGAGCCAGTGCCCCTCGAGCTTTGATGTTCCCATGCTGAGGGTGCGAGGTGCGTAAATTGATCCATCTCGTCAATTCCTCAGGAGATATTACTATCGTTTCCTACAGAGGGTGGGGCGGGCACCGGCCACGGGGTGTCTTCAGAGTGTCTTCATCATGGGTGTCTTCGTCATGGGGGATGTACTTCGTACCTGTTTCTCCCCTGGTATCTCCTTGACTGGCTTGACTAGCTTGACTGGCTTCGGATGGACGAGCGGATGCAGCTAGATATTACAACAACATGTTCACTGGGCGGCCTGTGCGGCAGCAAAGGTGGATGACTTTGATAATCCCCGAGTCTTTGACCGTCTCTTTCTCTTGCCTTGCTTGCCTTGCCTCAAACTTGTTCTCCCTTCTTCCTAGGAGGTTTGGGATAGATAACTTGGGCGTACCAAGTACTAAATGGTGACTGACAAGGGCACCAATTCCACGGTAGATATTTGGAATGAGTATCTATGTCTCCGGTATATCAATTTCTGCCAACTCGCAGTCATTTCGGCGCCATCAAACGGGACCAACGGGATGGATACCTCCCAATTTCAGTACCGAAAACAGAGCAAAGAACAAAGGTCGTCGAACCCAGACTCTCGGGTGGGGTACGTACCTTTTTCTTTCTTTCTTTTTCTCCTCCCGCGAGCTTGGACCCAGCGATCGCCTTATGCTCTTTCCTTTTCTTCGTGGGCTTGC